CCGTAGCGCGGATTTCTGAGAGAGCCCGCTTTTTCTCTCACCTCTCTCGCTTTTGCATGATTTTTCGCGCTTCCAATTCGTGATTCGCGCTACGCTTTGTTAGTGGGACAGGCCCCTGGTTTTCGGGGTAGAGATGCACGGCAACCCGAAGTGTTTCCTGGCTCCTTTCGACCCTTCGCCCATTTTGTATTGGTTGAATTCAAACGAAATGTCAGAAAAGAATTTTTCGTGGGATTTTCCGACCGAAAAATATTTTTCTCGGAATTATTTTATTTCTTTCGTCAATTTTGACACTTCGTTTGGACGAAACTCAAAAGTGGGCGGGAAACATTTTTCTTCTATTTCGGGTTGCCGTGAGATGCCTCTACTTCAGAAGGTCGTAGCGACCTCAGTTTGCACTTTAAGAGCTTATTATTTCGTAGACAAAAACTTATGTCTTTTAAAAATACATATTTCAAATACGAAGTCTCTGCGCCGCCTCCGCCGAAAGTTATAGCCTTCCACTTTCCTTCACGTTTTTTGTAAGACCCTGTAATTCCGGGTATCTCTAAAAAATTTCTATGACCTTTTAAATCTACAGTAATCCTTTTCTTAATAGATTTTTACATAAAAATGAATTTCAAGTATTGCCTTATTAATCAACACATTGGCATTCAAAAAGCTCTACTTGGAGTAATTGTTGCAGAAATAATTTACAGTTGGAAACACTTGTGCCTACAGCCCTTTCAAGAGCCTTAAAAATGTTTGCAAAATTATCCGTTTTTTTGGAAACCAGGAAAAATTTAGCAACAAAAAGGGAATAGGAAATGGTAATACATCAACCTTTTCCCGAGAGAACGGCAATTACTCTGAAATATGCGGGTGATTATGCAAAATATATAACGTATCTTTCGAATACATGGAGAAATAAAGTTAAAAATGAACCCTTGGTCCGACGTTTTTTCGGCCTGATGAAGTCGCAACATGGCGTGGAAATGGCTGTACAACAATACGCTATTCTCTGCAAAAGGGCAATTTTGTCGCCCACTCCACAGAAGAAGGTTATTTTCGGCTAGACAGGGAGGTATTTAGTAATATCCGAAATGCCTCAGAAATGTGATTTACAGTAACTTTTACTACTGTATTTTGTCCGACATTGTTACAAAGGAAAGGTTTTTTACATATAAACAGGATTACATATCAGTCTGTCGGGAAAATAATGAGCACATTGTCGCTGCACCGATCGCGTCGCTGAAGTGAAAGAAAATTTGATTTTGCCGCGACACAATTCATTTTCTCGACGGCGACGCGATTTTCGATTGCAGAAGAGTGTTCATTATCGGTCTGTCGGGAAAAAAACGGCGGATCGTCGCGCCTCGGAGTCGCTCATCATCGCTCTGCGACTGCAAGCCGCGGCTTGGGATTTGGTGCGCGATAGCGGCGAGGCGAGACATTTTGCTGCGACAATCCGCCGTTATTTTCCCGACAGACTGATATTTTCTTGGCTGTTGAGGTTCCACTGCACCTCGTATGACATACAAGGCCCTCATTGAAATTTTGACCACTCGACCCTACCGAAGTGGTGTAATATGGTCGTCTGATTAACCCAAACAAGGATGTGAATTTTTGGCCATCATGTGCATGTGGTCAAAAAAGATTTTCATCATGGCACAAACAGCAAATTTTACATTTGTTTGACGTCTAGACTCGACAAACACACACATGCAAATGATACCAGAGATATAAAGAACCTCAAACCGGAGTTTTTTAAACATAAAGGGAGGTATTTTGCTATATTTTTGGTAGTTCCCGGAAGCAAAATAATACATTTTTTGTCACTGCATCTGAGCCACACCGTAACTAAAATCTTTGTTTTGATTGCTATACACCTTTATACACCATATTTATTATTCAACTCAAAGCCATGTATTCTGTGTGGCCTTAATCAAAACACAAAAAAAACATCTATAAACTCTCCTTTAATTTCCGAAATGTGCTTTCCATTATGTTTATTAAACCCGCTGTAATATTCCAATGAATTTCGTTTCTTTCCAAAACAATCACCGCGTAGAGTCACGTTGTCATACCAGTCGATCATTCCTATTGCAAAACCTTTATCGAAAACAACAATTACTTTTAAAATGTCATTTAATTAAGGGTCTTTGGCAAATGTTTTGGACTATCAATACGTTCCAAGCTCGCGTGTCGAAGCGAAATTTACGTGGGTCACAACACGTTGGATTTCTGGAATGAACAATGCTGAACACACTTTAAATAGGACGGTCAAGGTAAACGTTACTGTGGCGCGAATGGTGGATGTCTTACTAGCGACGCGACTAGCGCAGCGCTCGTTACTTTCCCGACAGACTGATATCATCGCCAAATGACATATGTATGCACAATGTAGAAAGACATGTATTGTTATCAAACATTTTCAGAGGCCACGAACGTCAATTTTAGGCCAAAACTATCTTCCGTATCTTGATGATCTTGTATAACAAGTTGTGGTTCGTTATGCAGAGGTTTCACTGTATAATATACCATGAGACAGCTCTTGAAGAATAGTAACCGCTGGTTAGTGGTCCATCAAAGCTTAACCCAATACAACACTAAACAGCGGGGTTGAAATTGAGCTCATTATTCTCCCGACGGAATGATAGGGGTTCTTGGGCTGCACCCGACCTTTTTTGCACAGTTCATGTCGCTCAAGTCAATCCAGCGACTTTGCGAACGGACTTGTAGAAAACAGGCTATCTAGAATAGACTGGAATCTCTGTAGAACGAACTCCCGGACAACAAGAGCTGCCTGTAACAAACAATTTCAGAGATCGCATACTTCAATATAGGTGCTACACGTTAGTGATTCGTTTTACAAAAAGAAAAAAAAGTATTTTTAACGAAGACATAAGATACTGGCTGTATTTTTTTTCTTTTCTTCACTGGACCACCTGAACGTATTTAATTAGGCGCCCATGCAGAACTGACATGAAATGTTTTTCATGAGAATTAGACTTACAGTAAAGTTTGGGGAAATCTATTTCCCGAAACCGAACTTAAATCGTGTACTTTTAGTCGAGAAAAAATATGTTGGATTGACGCGTCATGCGAAAGGAACAGAAACAGAATTCTAGCATTACCATAGTCAAAAAGTGAACAGTAGAACTTAATGATACATAAATGGATACAGTGGAACTTCATTACAACAAATCGCACAGGGACAAAGAATTTATTCGTTACAGACAGGTTCTTTATAGACGGTTGTTGTAGACCCGAATTATCGCCAAATCTCTGACCACTCTCCGCATTTCGAGTACTCTCTGGGCAACAAAGATCGTTGAATTTCTCGGCTACGCCTGTAAAGCGTGAACTAAAACTTTCATTAATTGATGTTTTCATTAATTGATTATGCCTGATGTGTATAGAAAGTCGAAAGAAAATCCGAGCGTTCCGCTCCCCCTGACCAAAGCCCCTCAAGCGAAGAAGCCCCTAAAAAAGTCGAAGAGGTCCCTTTTTTCATTTTCACAAAAAATCCGAAGAGGCCCCATCGACTAAAGAGGCTCCCTTTTTGAAAAAAATAAAAAAAAATCGGAACGAAGGGTGACATCTTATACGATGAAGAAAATTGTTTCAAATTTAAAAATAGGGAGTGTTCACCGTATAAAAAGCCGCATCCTAATTTCATTTTGAAAAAAAAAATCATCTATAACATGTCTTTGGGCATCCACCTGCCCTATATGCCCCGTATCAATCGATTTTGTGATGACCCGAACTGTCACGCACCCGAAAAGTTGGGACGAGACCTAGCAGACCCCTCATCGTATAACATGTCACCCTTCATTATGATTTTTTCGAGGGCCTCTTCGAATTTTTCGTGAAAAATGAAAAAAGGGACCTCTTCGACCTTTTTAGGGGGCCTCTTCGGGCTCAATCCTTCCGTTGTGGACTAAAAATAAAAAAAACTTATTTTTTCTCCCGCCGTTTTCACCGGCCATTTCTTTTTTACCATTTTTATTACCTAAAACCCCTAAAAACTTTTTCTTTTATTTTCAATTTTATTTCCCTCCCAGAAAAATCGAAAAAATCCCCCAAATTTTTTACAATTTCATTAGAGCAAAAACCTAATTACAAATCCAAAATTGTTTTTTTTTTCAAGCGCACCTTTTCCACCATTAATAAATGCGGAAAAGAGCGCCTTTTCCCCGTTTTTCTCGCTTTTTTCTCCATTTTCCCCCATTTTTGCGGCGTTGGATTTTCTCGCTTTTTATTTTTTCCTCGAAAAACGCAAAATTTTATTGCAATTTCCTCGTTTCTCCCTCAATTCTCGTCGGGTTCGAGTTGAAAATAATATTTTTTAAATCGATAAATTTTTGTTTTGGGATTTTTGAGATTTTTCGATATTATTTTAGATATTTTAGGTACCTAAAAAAATAAATTTTTTGGATTTAAAATAAATCGATAAGAGACGGAAATAAATTGCTTTTTAGGTCGTTAAAATGGAAATTTCGCGAATTTTGAAGCAAGTTTTATTGTTCTCAAATGAAATTTTTTTATTTTTTGACGATTTTTTTTCGATTTTTTGAAGAAAAAGAGGTGAATAAGTAAAATTGATATGAAAATAATGGTTTAAATTTTATTTTAGGCAATAAATAGTCTGAAATTGAGTAAAAATCGAAGCTCTTCCTTCAATTTTTCGAGTTTCGATATTATTTTAGATTTTTAGGTACCTAAAAAATTTTTTGTGGGAAAATGTTAGGTAATTGTGAATTTTGAGGATAAATTTTGTCTTTAAATTTATTTTAGATAACAAATTTACTAAAAAAAAAATTTTTGTTACCTAAATTTTTTTTCCGAATAAATCATGGAAATCTTGCGATTTTTGATGGAAAAAACACAGAAAAATAAATTTCAGGCAGAAAATTCTCTCTAAAAAATATTTTCGAGTTCATTTTTTTTCTTTTTTATACCAAAAAATCTTTTTTCCCCGATTTTTTTTTCATTTTTATTTTCAAATTTTCAGCAAGATGGCGGAAGCCCAGTTCAAAGACATTATGATGCAGCCCAAATTGGAGCTCTCGGTGAATCCGAACCGCTTGATTCAAAACATTCCGCATCAACCCGATGTTGTAGTAGACAAACCGGCTCCATTCATCGAAACTGTGCCGATTCCAGCTCCGAAAATTCGAGAAGAAAGTTTGCCCAGGAAAAGAGGAAGGCCAAAGAAAGAAAAGGTGAGTGGATCTTCAAAAAGAATTTTTTTTTTTTTTTTTTTTTTTTTTTTTTTTTTTTGATTTTCAAATTTTGCGCACTGTGCGGAGCTGATTTTTATGGGAAAAAAATTATTTTTTTTTTCTCAAAAAAACTTGATTGAAATCTAGATTAGAATTTTATAAGATACATTTGAGATTTCTAGCTCACTTTTTGAAGAAATCGCTGAGATTTTTACCGAAAACAAAAAAATTAAAAAAAAAATTTTTTTTTCGATTTTCGACCTGAAAAATTGATGTTATATTTTTGCTAATCAACAGAATATTTCTATAAAAAATCAATTTTTTCCCAGTGAAATTCGCTGAGATAGCGCAAAAAATCTTTTCTTTTCTCTGGCCGTCTCCTAAATTTCCATGCTCTCTCGAAAAATGATTGTCCAAAATCTCGGCTAAATTTGCAACTGGCGAGCTGAAAATTTCAGCGATTGATTAGTGGACTGTATAGATTCCCTACACCAAATTTGAAGACAATCAAAAAAAATTTTTTTTAACTTTTTTACTTTTAGGAAGACCTGCCAAAACGCCCTCGAGGTCGTCCTTGTAAGAATCCGGTGGATTGGACGGAGTATATCCTCCCGAGTTTCGCTCATATCATCCCGAAAAGGGAGCCGGATGCTCCGGGCTCTTCAACTGCGCTTCAGCCGGCTCCACTCCCGGTTCCTCTGCCCCGGCCAAAAATCAAGTTGCATTTGTCGGACGACAAGAAGAGCAATGAATCCGTGGCACTGAACTTTGTCAATAGATTGTTGGGAATCCGGCGGCCGAGGGGAAGGCCACGTTTGCATCCGCAAAGGGTAGGAAATTTGAAGATGTTTTGGTTGAAGTCTAGTGTAATATAAAAAAAGTGATAACTCAAACTGTGAGCGTTGGATCTGCTTCAAATTTAGCATACACTCTCTAAATAGGGTGAAATTTTAATCAGCCAAGTTTCGATGCATTTCCGCGTGGCAAGGGTAGGAAATTTGAGGATGTTTTGGTTGAGGTCTAGTGTAATATAAAAAAAGGTGATAACTCAAACTGTGAGCTTTGGATCTGCTTCAAATTTAGCACACACTGTCTAAATGGCCTACATTTTAATCCCTCAAAATTTTGGTTTGCTATTTGCAATGGTCGCTGAGATATTCGAGGTCGAGGATATTCGGGTGGTGCACATCCTGAATATCCTCGACCTCGAATATCTCAGTGACCGTTGCAAAGAGCGAACCAAAATTTTCAGGGATTAAAATCTAGGTCATTTAGAGAGTGTATGCCAAGTTTGAAGCAGATCGGACGATCACACTTTGAGTTATCGTCTTTTTTTATATTACACTAGACATCAACCCAATCATGTTCAAATTTCCTACCTTTGCCACCCGGAAATGCATCAAAACTTGACTGATTAAAATGTGACCCATTTAGAGAGTGTATGCCAAATTTGAAGCAGATCGAACGATCACACTTTGAGTTATCGTCTTTTTTTATATTACACTAGACCTCAACCCAATATTGGCACTTTCAGGATCCAAGCCTCCCGAAAAGACCTCGCGGCCGTCCCCGTCATGACGATCCCAACAATCCCATACACAGAGTCGTCAGTCAGGCTCGCATTGACGCCGAAACCCAGTTGATGAACTTGGTCGCGAACGCGATGCGAAGTAAAACCCCGAAAGAAGAGCCCCAAACTGAAGCCAGTTTCTCCGGATTCCCCTTGAATTTGAGTCGGGAGAGCGATGCGGATAAGGTGAGGAGACTTTTTTGGAAATTAGATGATTTTTTTGGGATTTTTGAATAAAAAATTTTGACTTTTTTTAGCAAAGTGACAATGAAATGAATGGAAATGAAGATTCAGCGGATGTCAACGACTTTTACCCACAAATCGAGTATTTGGAGTGAGTTTTCTTGGGGAATCTGGTAGATTCAGTGTGAAAAATCACTATTTGTTACCTAAAATAATATTATTTTTGGTTGAAAAAATTAAATTTTCTCTAAAATAATGCTCAGTTATGTCAAGAAATGTGGTTTTAAGAGTAATATAATACATTTTTTGAAATTTTCTCCAACAAAAAATTTTTTTTTGATAGAAAATTCAAAAATCGTCTAAAATAATATAATTTTTGCCTAGAATAAGGTGGTATTTGCCCAAAATAAGATAATTTTCTACTAAAAATATACATTACAATGGCGGACCTGATCCAGTGAAAAAAAACTTACCATTTTGCATCCGGGAAGTATCAAAAACGCGGCAAAATGCCTCCCTCTCAAAGTAAAAAAACTTCGTTTTGAAGGGCGCGCCTCACAAAAAGAACGAGCGCGCTTTTGAAATCGGAATGTTTTCACTTGGAGAGGGAAGCATTTTGCCACATTTTTGATACTTCCCGGATGCAAAATGGTACGTTTTTTGCCGCTGGATCAGGTCCGCCACTGTAATTATAGTTTTAGAAAGAAATTGTCTTATTTTGGGGGAAATAGCACCTTATTCTAAAGAAAAATTGTATTAATTTAGGTGATTTTTACATTTTCTACCAAAAAAAATTTTTTTGGCAGAAAAGATTTCAAAAAAATGTGTTATCTTTGTCTTAAAAAAATCATTTTTTAGCCATGTCGAAGGTGAAATATTGATATTTTGACCAAAAAATATTTCCTTTTTTGTCGTTTTCACCTAAAAAATACAATGGGGGACCTGATCCAGTAGCAAAAACGTACCATTTTGCATCCGGGAAGTATCAAAAATGTGGCAAAATACCTCCCTCTATAACTAAAAAAAGCGAAGAGCGCGCCGTTTCCCTTACAAAAAGCAAAGTATTCGGCGCAGCGACATTGTGCTCATTATTTCCCCGACAAACTGATAAGTAATGAAACCTGCCTATAACGAACAATTTCAAGGGTATCCAGACCTACAGTGGGGGACCTGATCCAGTGGCAAAAACGTACCATTTTGCATCCGGGAAATATCAAAAATGTGGCAAAATGCCTCCCTTTCCGAGTAAAAAAACTCCAATTTCAAAAGCTTTTCAAAAGCGCGCCCACTCTTTATGTGAGGGAAAGGGCGCGCAGTTCAAAACGGAGTTTTTTTTAGTTGGAGAGGGAGGTATTTTGCCACATTTTTGATGCTTCCCGGATGCGAAATGGCACTTTTTTTGCCACTGGATCGGGTCCGTTACTGTAATTCCCCTCAAAAATTTTCAGCACCGACTCCCCGCTCTACCGCAATCTGTGGCGGACCCATCGTCTTGCGGAGCGCGAAGTCATCTTCCCAAGGTCTCAACTGGAGAAAGTGTTGGACGAAAATCTTTTGATCTGTCTTCCAGGCCCCGAAATTGCCCGAAAAGATTTGCAGGTGAGCCCATCGGCGGTCTCCAGATGCACTTGTGGCTACGATGTGGCGGAATCGGAATGTGGCCGATATATGGCGCTGAAGTTGAGACCGAACAAGAGCTGTGAATGGTATTTGAGCATGGACAAAATGGAGGGAGTCCGGTTTTTGTGGCCCTTCAAACATTCTTGAAGGGGTTTTTTTTTATTATTAAAATGGTTGTGTTGGAATTTTAGCGAGTTTTTTTACTTTTTTAGGCTTTCTACAGTGGCGGACCTGATCCAGTCCCAAAAAACGTATCATTTTGCACCCGGGAAGTATCAAAAATGTGGCAAAATACCTCCCTCTCCAGGTGAAAAAAAAACTTTCTTCAAAACTGAGTTTCTTCACTTGTAGAGGGAGGTATTTTGCCACATTTTTGATACTTCCCGTTTGCAAAATGGTACGTTTTTTGCCACTGGATCAGGGTAAGGTTTTTTGTGTGAATTCATGTTTATTTATTTCGAAGTTTATCCATTACTTTTAGCGATTTTCAACTGTTCAGTTTGTCATTTTTTGGAATAAAAATGTAGCCGTTTTTTTTGAAATTTTCGCAAAGTTTTGTAATACCACACTTTGCGAGCAACAGGATGAAAAATGCTGATTCTTTGGAAGCTTTGGAAATTGGCTGACATTTCCAAGCATCCGGTTTTTGTCCATGTATTAGCCACAGTGACGGACCTGATCCAGTGGCAAAAAACGTATCATTTTGCATCCGTGAAGTATCAAAAATGTGGCAAAATGCCTCCCTCTGCAACTAAAAAACTCCTTTTTGAAGGGCACCTCACAAAAAGAGCGAGCGCGCTTTTGAAATCGGAGTCTTTTCGCTTGAAGAGAGAGGTATTTTGCCACATTTTTGATACTTCCCGGATGCAAAACGATACCTTTTTGGCCACCGGATCAGGTCCGTCACTGTGGCTTATCCAGTGACAAAAAACTTACCATTTTGCATCCGGGAAGTATCGAAAATGTGGCAAAATGCCTCCATCTCCAAGTGAAAAAACTCGGTTTTGAACTGCGCGCCCTTTCCCTCACATAAAGAGCGGGCGCGCTTTCGAAAAGCTTTTTTGAAATTGGAGTTTTTTTCACTTGGAGATGGAAGCATTTTGCCACATTTTTGATACTTCCCAGATGCAAAATGGTACGTTTTTGCCACTGGATCAGGTCCGTCACAAATACGCCGAGAGAAACACTTGACCCAAAATTTCCTCTTTGGGTCAAGTGTTCCCCTCAACCTCAAAACACTGTAGTATTACATAGCGAATAATATTTTTTGTTCATTTGTGATTCGTTGTACAAAATTTTTGCCTACACCTTGATTCGCATTTTTTATCGAAATTTTTTTGTCCCCAAAAAATCGACCAATTGTAAAAATATATTATTTTATTTACAAGAATGGCCAAAGCAGCGAGAACCTTCGTAGCCTCGACTTCTTCATCCTTTCCACCGCCTCTTCGTAGCCTGGCGGCGGCCGCACATTAACGCATTCGCAGGCCTCTTTGACGCTCAATTCCGGCTTCAATTTGATCTCCAACACCTCCTCCAGCCGGCCACTGCCCGGGTCCGCGAACCCATTCAGAATCCGACAAACATGGATCAGCAACTCGGTGGTTGTGGACTCATTTCGATCGCGGATCTCGCGCCGGATCAAGCCTAGAAAAGGCTCGAAATTGCGGGAGAAGCGGAGCGAGGCGTCGTAGGCATACTGTAGCTTCGACAGGAGTAATGTTTCGTTGTTTTTGGCGGGTTTGAGGATTGATAAAACGTCGGGGCAGGAGGAGGCGGAGTAGTCCACCCAATGCCAGCCTTTGTAACGGTACTGAAAGTATGAAAATAAGAAAAAATTTTGGGTTGAGCCTGAACTCTCCCCCTTTTTGAACACTCCCCCATTTTGAAAATTGAAAAAACTAGGTGTGACACCTTATACGATGAAAAGTTTTTTCAAATTGTGAAAAATGAGGTGTGACATCTTATACGATGAAAAAATTTTCAAATTGAGAAAAATGAGGTGTGACATCTTATACGATGAAATTTTTTTTCAAATTGCGAAAAATGAGGTGTGACATCTTATACGATGAAATTTTTTTCAAATTGAGAAAAATGAGGTGTGACATCTTATACGATGAAAAGTTTTTTCAAATTGAAAAGAATGAGGTGTGACATCTTATACGATGAAACGTTTTTTCAAATTGAGAAAAATGAGGTGTGACATCTTATACGATGAAAAAATTTTCAAATTGAGAAACATGAGGTGTGACATCTTATACGATGAAAAATTTTTTCAAATTGAGAAAAATGAGGTGTGACATCTTATACGATGAAAAAATTTTCAAATTGAGAAAAATGAAGTGTGACATCTTATACGACGAAAATTTTTTTCAAATTGAGAAAAATTAGGTGTGACATCTTATACGATGAAATTTTTTTTCAAATTGAGAAAACTGAGGTGTGACATCTTATACGATAAAAAAATAATAATTTTTTCCGGCAAAATTTCATAAAAATATAGCCATAAAAATTGCATTTGTTTTAGGGCTGTATCAGTCTGTCGGGAAAATAATGAGCATAATATCGCTGCGCCAAACGCGTCGCTGAAGTGAAAAGAAATTTGATCTTGTTGCGACACAATTCATTTTCTCGGCAGCGATACGATTGTCGATGCGACAGAGTGCTCATTATTTTTCCGACAGACTGATATGTAAAGCAACAAAACTTTTGTGGGCCGAATCTTTTTGAATTTTTCTTGAGTAAAATTTTATTTTTTGTAGTTTTAGCAGTCTACATGTGGAATAGAAAGAGATTTTTTAATTCGATTTTTTTTTGATTTTTGGACCGAAAACTGAAAAAATCCCGATTTTTTTATTTTTTTTGATTATTTAGGATTGTGGATACCGTGAAAAATGTTGCCACAAAAAATCAATTTTTTCCGTTCAAAATTCGCAAAGATACAGTTGGGGACCAATCCAGTAACAAACAACGTACCATCTTGCATCCAGGAAGTATCAAAAAATATAGCAAAATACCTCCCTCTCCAAGTGAAAAGACTCCATTTTCAAAAGCGCGCCCGCTCTTTTTTTTGAGGGCCCTTCAAAACGAAGTCTTTTCAGTTGGAGAGGGAGGCATTTTGCTACATTTTTTGATACTTCCCGGATGCAAAGTGGTACGTTTTTGCCACTGCATCAGGTCCGTCGCTGTATCTTACAATTAGCGAATTTTGAACGGGAAAAATTGATTTTTTACAGTAATATTGTGCATGTTATCCACAATCAATCTTATAATTTTCATCCTAAAAATCAAAAAAATGAAAAATCAGAATTTTTTTTAGTTTTCGGCCTAAAAATCAAAAAATTTTTTTTAAATATAACGAGAAAAATTTCTCACCATAGCATACACATTCAACGCATCGCTCAGCTTTCCCCATTGGCCAACCTGAACCTCTCTGAACGCCAAGTTCTCCGGGTTGTCCTGGAAATCATTAATTCGGTTTAGTTTTGGCAAAAATTCAATCAAAAATTTACCTTGCTGAACCTTGAAATTTCATCAACCACTAGTTTTAGCCGATGAAAAGGCTCATAATATTTGTCAAAGTCCATCAACAAGTTGTCGATAATCTCTTGCAGCACGATTTTTGTCCTCTCATCGACATTTTTCTGCGCTTCCAGCAAGTTGTTGATGAAAATTGTCGAATTTCCATCGAGTATTTGGTCAATTTCGGAGATTTTTTGATAAAATCGGCCAATTTCCAAGAAATTTTTGATTTGAACCTCTGGCGTTATGTGAATATGCCCACAATCCGTCTCAAAATCAAATTTCATCGATGGGTTTTGATTTTCCGTCGATGATTTTTTTTCAGTCATCGATGAATTGGCTGAATCTTCGTTAAAATTCATTTCAATTGACGAATTATTGGCTTTCATCGCCAAAATAGTCATATTCATCGATGAATCAGAAATTTCCATCGATGAATTTTCCATATTCATCGATGAATCTCCCTCATCCATCGATAAAATCGCCTCAATCGTTGAATTTTTCACCTTTCCCGATGGTTTTGTTGTTTTCATCGATAAATCCGTCGATGAAAACGCTTCCAGCCGTTGGAAAACCTTGGTAATTCGCATGTCATCCGAGTAGTCCTCATTTCCCAGGATTTTGTTTTCAATGTCGTCGAATAATGGCCGAATAACGTCGATATTGACTGTGTACCTTGATAAGCATGTGTCGATAGCTGTTAGAAGTGGGATGCTCCCATTTTGGGAGCGTTTTAGCAATGATGGAGCAGCGTGAAGGGCAGGCTGGAAATTTGGGAGCTTATTTTCGCCGAAAAGAGATTTTTTTGCAGTAATTCAGTTTCTAGGCTAGTATTCTATTCAACAGCAGGGAAGCGGAAAAACGCGATATTTGGATTTTGACAGCTTGGGGGCTTGCGACGAGAATCTCGCGGTTTGCAGAAAAAATCGATATTTTTTAGCCGAGAAGTTTCATTTTTCCTCCATTTTCAAGCAAAAAATTAAAAGTACACTTGTTTCTGTCAAACGTGAGCTGAAAATCTCTCATCTGTCTTATGTTAGAAAACTCCATGTGTAAGTTACTGAAAGTTTTAGCTCGCGCTTTCCAGGGACCGTCAATATATTGTGGCAGGTCTCAGAAAAAATTGTTTTAAATTTGTGCCAAGTTTTGCCAAAATCTGAGCGTCGCATTTGGGTTCCTTCCCTTGTCAATCTCTTTTGGACTAGAGAGACAGTTGACCCAATGTTGGTACGAGCTTGAAAAGTTTCATCAGGAACTACGGAGGCGGACCTGATCCAATAATAAAAAACGTACCATTTTGCATCCGGGAGGTATCAAAAATGTGGCAAAATACCTCCCTCTTCAAACGAAAAGACTCCGATTTCAAAAGCGCGCTCGCTATTTTTGTGAGGGACCCTTCAAAAAGGAGTTTTTTGGTTACAGAGGGAGGCATTTTGCTACATTTTTTGATACTTCCCGGATGCAAAATGGTACGTATTTTGTTATTGGATCAGGTCCTCCTCCGTAGTTCCTGATGAAACTTTTCAAGCTCGTACCAACATTGGGTCAACTGTCTCTCTAGTCCAAAAGAGATTGACAAGGGAAGGAACCCAAATGCGACGCTCAGATTTTGGCAAAACTTGGCACACATTTAAAACAATTTTTTCTGAGACATGTCAGAATATATTGCCTGTCCCTGGAAAGCGCGAGCTAAAACTTTCAGTAATTTACACATGGAATTTTCTAACATAAAACAGATGAGATATTTTAAGCTCACGTTTGACAGAAACTAGTGTACTTTTAATTTAATTTGTTTTGCTTGAAAATGGAGGAAAAATGAAACTTCCCGGCTAAAAAATATCGATTTTTTCTAAAAAAACTGATAATCCCCTACTTTCTTTCCCACAAACGACTTCAACTAATTAGTTTCCCAACTCACATCCAATGCAATGTTGGCGATTTGCGCGATATAGCCGAAGGCGCCGAGCCACGGCGGCCCGAACATTTAGGGCGCTGAAAGTGCGTAATAAATAAAGTTCCGTAAATGCCTTGAGGCGAATAAACAATATCGGTCGGGGCGGTTTATGAGGGTTTTTTTCGCGAATTTCGACCCATTAAAGAAAGAAAAATGACTTTGGCCATCAATATGGAAGAGGGTAATACAATGAAAAAAGGGTAATGTTGGGGAATTGGGACGGAAAAAACGTTGTGGCCGACTTGTGGTCGATGAAAATGTGGGACTTAAAACCCAAAATAATTGCAAGGGAAGTACCCCAAGTGGGACGTTCAGATTTTCTTCAAATTTTGCATACATTTCAGGGATGAACCGCATATGAATTCCTAAAAGTTTCAGCTCGCGCATTACAGGCGCTGCCGAGATATTCAACGGTCTTTGCGGCCAAGAGAGTACGCGAAAGGCGGAGGGGGGTCAGAGAGAAAACACTTTTTGGCCATATCTTTTCCAGTTTCAGCGGAAAAAATTTTTTTTGTGGAAACATCACCCTTTGCGGTAGAAATCTTGATCAAAATAAAAATGTTTGCTTTATGGTAACTTTCTTTACAACCTTAAAATTTAACAAAATTTGATGTAAATCGATAACAAGTACCCCAGATATGGGACTTCGATTTATGCACTGTATGAGGGCATAATTTTTTAAAATGGTACCACTCCAAAAATAAGGAAAATTCCGGCCCTTCAGGCACCAAAAAATCCAAAAAATAGCGTATTTTACGTGTTTTTCGCGGTTAACCGTAGATTAGACGAAATTTGCAAAGAAACGGCCAAAACCCCATTTTTCTCTGACCCTCTCTCATCATTCTACGCGATTTCTCAAAAAAAATTTAAGTTTAGCTACCTCAGCTCTCTGAAGACTTCAAACAGAAACTTAAATAACAATACTTTTTTAGATGGGAATTCGGGTTAGAGGGCAATAAAGGAGTACCGAGTTGGAGATGAAAACAAAAATTACTGTTTTTTTGCGATCGACTGGTCGGAAATACCTTTGGCTATAGCTGCTCGGGAAGCACTACGATTTAGAGCCTTTGATTTTGAAGAAATTTAGGACAAGTTGAGATTAGAATGTAACGTATGCTAGCTCTCAACTTATCCCAAATTTCATCAAAATCAAAGGGTCAAAATCATAGTGCTTCCCGGGCAACTACAGCCCAAGGTTTTTCCAACCAGTGGATCGCAAAAAACAGTAACTTTGTTTTCATCTTCAACCCGGTCCCCCTTTATTGCCTTCGAACCCGCAACAAATGTCGTGGAACGCGGCCGTTCCGCTCCGCTCCCCAAGAAGACGGGAGGCCCGTAAATTTGTAAAGAAGAGCCCAAATGACAATGAATGTCACGGTGAAAAATGAATATGTTTCCCCGACGCCAAACATGCCCTGAGGAGATGGAGCGGCGGATGGCCATCAGAATGAGGGCCAAATCCCCCATGGGAGCTGTCGGGGGGATGGGGAGGGTCCGACGACAATAATAAACATTCGAAAATATTAGCGGCATCGGAGATCAGACCGTTAAGAGTTTTTTTAGTCGACTTTTGGCTAACAGGGAAGTCCTCCAAGTGCGAGGCTCAGTTTTTGATGAAACTTGGCATAAATTTAGAATAATTTTTTAAAAGATATGTGCGAGGATCCTAGCTCGCGCTATGCAGAAACAAATGAGATTTTTAGATCAAAAGTCGACAAAAATATGACGCCTTTTTGCAAATTTTGGCACGAAAAGTTTTGTGCCTATTTCTACTTTAGAGGGTAATGTTTCTACAAAGAATAAAATTTTTCCTCACGAAACAGGCAAAGATATGGCCAAAAAGTGTCTTTATCTCTGATCGAACTCCGCTTTTCGCGTACTCTCTCGGCAGCAAAGATAAATTAAACTTTTTGGCCATATCGTTGCCAGTTTCGTGAGGAAAAAATTTATTCTTTGTGGAAACATTACCCTCTACAGTAGAAATAGGCACAAAACTTTTCATGTCAAAATTCACAAAAAAGGCGTCACATTTTGCCCACTTTCGATCTAAAAATCTCGGTCGTTTCTGCAAAGCGCAAGCTAAAAGTCTGGCATAAATCTTTAAAAAAACTATTCTAAATTTATGCCAACTTTCATCAAAATCCGAGTGTCTAACGTTGAGCGCATCCCCCTAGTACAAAGATCGTTCCAACAGAAAATAATTACAAAAACAAAATTGGCCGAAAAAACCCAGAAATGCTCCAAGAACGCGAATGGAAATTGCTCGGCCGTCTGCATTTGACATTAGTAGGGAGTCGCGTAGTCAGGTTTAAAACGTTTTCATTTATTTCCACTTCACTTGGCCTATTCAAATTCCGGAAATTATGGGAGAAAGTGGGGGGAGGGCAATTTCCTCCCCTTCAAATGATGCTTGAGCCCCACGGGTCGGCAAGGAAAAGGCGGTTGAAACAGTCGGTAAAATACGGGGAGTTTTGTGGCATACCTAGACATGGCTAGTGGGCCGGGCCGGCCCGGCCCGGCCCAGCCCCCCGGGGGGCCGGGCTGGGCCGGGCCGAACGAGTTTTAAAGGCCCCGGGGCCGGGCCGACCTCTTCCGGCCCCCGGGCCGGGCCGACCGGGGGCCCCCGCCAGGCCCCCAATCGGCCCCCAATGACTAAAATTCTCAGTCTCAAAGCGAAAATTAGGGATGCCAATAAAAATAAGACGCAGAGCCAAGAACCGATAGGGTTTTTTGAAGTAACTTTAGGCAATGGTTGGTAATTTTTTGTTTCAAATTTTTTTTTCGATTGTTATAACAAAAAAATGGGGGCTAAGGTAGTACAACCCCCCCCCAGTCCAGTTCAGCCCCCCTAGACCCAGTATAAAACCCCTCATCCAATCTGAACCGCCTACTTGGGATCGGGTTCTCTCGGCTACGATCATCGTTGCCTGAACCATAAGAACGAATGATGCACGGACGGTAACTGAGGGTTTGAGCTAAAACGCCGGGGGTCATTTTGCTCTAATTTGCATTTTTTGTATAATTCTAATTTTTGAATTATGGGGGGTGTGAAATGGACAAAACAGTGGGGGTTTGAACTACCTTTCGTGGGGGGCTGAACTACCAAAGCCCAAAAAAATGTGTTATATCTCGTAATGAATGCAGATTTTATATTTACAGTTCGGCCCCCGGTCGGCCCCCGGCCCGGCCCGGCCCCCAGGGGGCCGGGGCCGGGCCGGGCCGAGAAAATTTGAAGGGGGCCGGGGCCGACCTCTTCCGGCCCCCGGGCCGGGCCGCGATTTTCGGCCCGGCCCGGCCCCCCAGCCCTGTCTAGGCATACCACGAGCTCCTACTTCCTTTTTTGGCTCGCCTAGTATGCGTCCTAGTTAGATTATTGCGAAAAATTGTTTTATACTTCGTATTTTACCCAAAAATCCAACTAAAAAAACTGAAAGCCCTCCTAGATTTCAAAATCCTACTGTCCCAAAAAAACATCCCTATTATTCCCATTTCTTCTCTGCAAACTTTATCCTCCCGGACCAAGTTTTACGAACAAGAACAATGTAATTTACCCGGAAATTGAATTAAAACGGAGAGTGCTTTTGAGCGCACGAAATCTGAGAGTAATAACAAACTACTCAAATTTTCATTGCATGCCTAATCATGTTTGGAGACAAATATGGGAACAAATCCCTTGGCAATTCATTCATTGTTTGCAAAAAGTGCCAACAGTAAATTTGAATTTTAATTAAAAATTTTGGGTAATTTTGAACTATGTACCGCATGTGATATCGTAATGCTACAAGAAGAAAATATAATACAACTTCATCGCTTAATAACCCTAGAAGTAAAAAACAACGTATTTTAAAACTACCGTAATATCTTTTCACCAACAATAAGGAGGTACCCCAAGCGTAATATTCAAATTCCCTTCAAATTTTTTACACGTAATTTTAGTAGGACACACTAATTTTTGGTAGGCCACATATCAAGCCTTGTAAATTTTAGCCCGCATTTCACAATCGCAGCCAAGACAGTGGCGGACCTGATTCAGTGGCAAAAAACGTATCATTTTGTATCCGGGAAGTATCATAAAATGCAGCAAAATACCTCCCTCTCCAACTAAAAAAAACTCCGTTTTGAAGAGCGCCCCTTTACCTCAAAAAAAAAAAATAAACGGGAGCGCTTATGAAGTCGGAGTTATTTCACTTGGAGAGGGATATATTTTGCTGCATTTTTGATGCTTCCCGGAAGCAAAACGGTACATCTTTTTGCCACTGCATCAGAAACTGTACATTCAACGGCTTTTGTGAAAGAGTACGAAAACTGAGGAGGGTCGGGTCGGTCAGAGAAAAGTACTCGATTTTCGATTGAATCTCAAGGAATTTTGCGTCGAAAAAATTGATTTTTTTGTAGAAACATCCACAAAAATTGACCGCCGAAAAAAAATGAAAACATTTCTTTTCGGAGATGAAAAAATATTCGTTAGACTCTCAAAACCACGATCTCGACAGACCATTTTGGTCTGAAAAACTTACCACATCTTTTCCTCAAGTTTCATCCTAATCATTCTGCAAAAATTAGTGTCAAATTCCCCCTCAAACTACTCGATACACCTTGCAAATTCTCTAATGCACCATAACACCATTCATTTCAATTTATTTCAATCTTAAGCCACAATTTTTTCTCAAATTTCCCATCAACTCTCCAAAAATCTCATTTCTCAAAATTTTTATTATATTACACGTTTTATTCCATATCACTCTGGTTTATCCTTGGCGTAGGACCATGCTCACTCCATTCAACCGAGCATTCTTCAACTTACTCTAAGTATCTCTTCTCTTCCTTTTCTTCTCCTTTTTCTTCTTCTCCTTCTTATTTTTCTTCGATTTTTTTCGTTTTTCGCCTTCCGAATCCCTTCTTTTCCGTTTTTTATGTCTATGACTCTCTTCTTCGCTCGATTCCTCGGAACTATCATCAATTTCTATTACATCCGGGGCCTTGGGGATGATCTTTTCCTTTTCTTTTGGATCAATCTCCAATGGAAGTACATCAGGTATCTTCGGGCCATATTCATCATCAGATTCCACCAAATCCAGGACTGTGACAAATCTCTCGGGGCTTTTTGAGGTCGTCGGTGCTTGAATTTCTCCTCCATTCGTCTTATTTTCATTTTTCATCGATGAATTTGTCGATGGACTCTTTGAAATTTCCGGTTCATCGACGGGGGCTTCTTCCTCATCCGATTCCAGGTCTATTCCATGTTCAAAGACGGCTTGGAGAAGGGCAATTGGCGGGAGGAACGTTGGTTTTTCCGTTTCTGGCGCCGGGGCTTCGAAAACTTTGTCCATCGGCTTCGGTGGTTCTTTGTCGGCTTCCCAGCGGGATCTGCGTTTTTCATGTGCTTCACGGCCCTAAAAATTAGGTGAGAATACTCAAAATCAGGAAATTTTATATAAATTCCTAAAATACGATTTTCAAAAATTCTCAAAAAATCGCAATTCTTGAAAAATTTTCTTACAAAAAATCATCAAAAATCATAAAACACGGGACAAAAAGTCATATTAACTCAATTTCCTCAAATTTTTATACCTAAATTAAAAAAAAAAATCCCAAAAAATCAAAATTTTTCACTTTTTTGCAATTTTCTTCATTTTTCCAACAAAAAATCACCTCCAATTACTCATTCTACCTTCACATTTCCTCAATATTCGCTTTACTTTTCTTCAAATTCCCAAAAAAGGCTCAAAAAACCCCAAAAAGTATCAAAAAACTTCAAAAAACCTCAAAAAGTATCCAAAATCACTCACAATTCGATCGACCACTTCCTTTTGCGTGTCCGCTAGGCCGAGCATGTCCAGACTATAATCTTTTCGATGTAAATGCTTCTTCACAATATCCGGGCATCCCTCTTCTCGCGATTCTGGATACGGATCTTCCACATTGAAGTACTTGACCAGGTATTTTGATGGGTACCATGTGAATTTCTGTCTCGTTAGGGGTCCAAATTGTTTTTGTTGAACGGCGAGACGTCTGGTCTCTTCCGCCGAGGTCTCGGTGGGCTCTTGTTTGAGTGATGTTGAGGCTTCGGTCTAAAATAATAAAAATAAAGTCAAAAATTGGGAAAATTTTTTTTATATTTTATAAAAATTATTGTAAAATACGACCCGAAACATTCGCTTGTGCTCAATTTTATTATAAGCTTTCTTTTTGCCAAAAAAATATCAAAAAAAACCTAAAACAACATAAAAAATTGAGAAAATTTTTTAAAAATTAATTTTTTTCAGGTACACTCGTAGTATTTCGTATCAAAAATTTCATCAGAAGGCTCTTGATATCATTATATCTCAATGTCCAATGAAAAAAAATATAAAAAAAAAAAATCAAAAACAACACAAAAATTAGCTGACAAGGAAAGTACTTCTATGGGGTGTGGAGTTACAGGTCGAGATATATATCAAAAAATTCGCAAAAATTTTCTGATTCAGAATATATAAAAATTAGCTGCCTAATTTTGGTCTGATGACATGTTTTTGTCCTCAGAAGTTTTCTCGCGACACCATGCAAGTGTCTTTTTGACCGTGTTTTTACCAATAAAAAAAATTTTTGTTGTGCTAAAATAAATTCTGAGGCCTTCACAAGCCTTAAAGTATCAAATTGGATTACAACTACACCTTAAAAATAGTTCCAATGTAAAAAAACGGGTTCTGTGGCAAAAGGAATCGAACCCGCTCCCCTCGGATTCCCAATCTACCGCTCTAACCACTCGGCCACACCACTCTCTTCCGAAGGAAGAGACAGAGCGCGCTTTTGTTGCCGCAGATTTTTTCCTCGAGAAATACATTTATTGATAAAACTCGTAGGTAGACCAAAATTAGGCAGCTAATTTTTATATATTCTGAATCAGAAAATTTTTGCGAATTTTTTGATATATATCTCGACCTGTAACTCCACACCCCATAGAAGTACTTTCCTTGTGAAATCTCCAAAAACCCCCAATTTTTATGTAAAATACGTGGCAATCATCGTGATCATTCTGAAAAAATTCTCTATATAGCCTATAGTACCCAATCTAAAAAAAAATGTCAGCCACAAAATCCACAAAAATTACAGTGAGGGACCAGATCCAGTGGCAAAAAATGTACCATTTTGCATTCGGGAAGTATCAGAAATGTGGCAAAATGCTTCCTTCCCCAAGCGAAAAAACTTTTTTGAAGGGCGATTTTGAAATCGGAGTTTCTTCACTTGGAGAGGGAAGCATTTTGCCACATTTTTGATACTTCCCGGATGCAAAATGGTACATTTTTTTCCACTGGATCAGGTCCCCCACTGTAATTTTTTGGATTTTGTGGCTGACATTTTAATTTTTTTAGATGGTATTGGGTACTATAGGCTATATACAGAATTTTTTCAGAAAGATCACGATGATTGCCACGTATTTTACATAAAAATTGGGGGTTTTTGGAGATTTTAGCCAATTTTTGTGTTGTTTTAGATTTTTTTTAATATTTTTTTCATTGGACATCGCGATATAATGGTCTCAAGAGCCTGCCGATGAAATTTTGATACGAAATAATGTGAGTTTACCTGAAAAAAATTTGAATTTTTTAAAAATTTTTACAATTTTTTATGTTGTTTCAGATTTTTTTGATAATTTTTTTATCAGATATAGAGATGTAGTGGTCTCAAGAGCCTCTATCTTACCCTAAACCTGTTCTTCAGCTGGTCCGCGATTGGCTGAGCGGTCGTGAGTCTGGCCAGAGGCTGTTGTCGGTCTCTGACAGACGGAAGAAGTGCTCTTAGCTCCGGCGTGAGATAATTTTCAAACTGTTTTATTTCCTCTTCCCATTCGAGGCGGGTCATTTCGATTGGGGCCGTCATTTCATGGCCCGATTTGAGGTAATGGACAAATTTCTTGAAGCGATGGGCTTTCATTGGCTCTTCTTCGAAGGGCTCGGGTTCGGGTCGCCTTTTGGCCGCTTCCTGAAAATGTAAAATACGTCATTTATAACTTGTATCAAAAAAAGTCAAAAAATCTCACTTTTCACCCAAAAATCAATCGAAAAACTCGAAAAACTCAAATCGACCGGTAAGTAGATTCACTAGCAATAAATTTCAGACCCTTTATCTAAAACATTATACAACAAAAAAACTTCAAATTTTATGAAAACCCCAAAAAACTTTTGAAACCCTACTTTTTCAAAAAAATTTCAAAAATCTCTCAGACTTCAAAATCGACTGGTCGAAAAATATCTCCTATATAGCAGAACACATAATTTCAGCAAAGATAAAGTTCATTTGAGCCATCAAACAACTTACTTTCATACCAAAAAATAAAAAAAATCCTAAAAACCCCGATTTTTCAGACAAAAACTGCCAAAAAGTATCAAAAACGCTCCACCAAAAATTTCGTATTATCTTCCATACTGAAGAGCACATAATTTCATTCAATATAAAGCTCATTTGCGCCATCAAACAACTCATTTTCATATCAAAAAATCAAAAAAATCCTAAAAATTCCCATTTCCCAGACAAAAAACTGTCAAAAAGTATCAAAAACGCTCCTCCAAAAATCTTAAAATTACTTTTCCTATATGTCCAGACCTCTGTACTCCCCTCCCATCCCAATTTCCTTACCTTTCTCACAATTTTCGTTTCAATTTCCGCTTTTTTCGTCAACAACTTCAATTTTTCCCTGTCGGCCGAAGAAAGTAGTTCCAAAACTGATCCACTTCGATCTCCCAGGAAGACTGCCTTCTGTAATGGGTTCAGGCTCTGGAATGCTTGGCCTAGTTCGGATAAATTGTCCTTCAAAATGATCGGAGAGGGTCGATGTTGAGGGTCGAAATGTCGGCTGGGCTCGGGGGCGCGATAAAATTTCGGGCGTTCCGAATGTTTGGCGGGGACAAATGCGGTCTCATCTGAAAATTATAGATGATTTGGAAAGTCTGTAGTAGTTAAAAATCAAAAAAAAGCTTTTATAATTTTCAAATTTTAGGGTACCCAAAAATTTTTTTTATTTTTTCAATTCGCTTCAAAATTTTCAATTTCACAGAGGAAGTACTCGAAGTGCGACGTTCAGATTTTGATGAAACTTGGCACAAATTTAGAATAATTTTTTCTTAGATATATGCGAGAATCCTAGCTCGCGCTTTGCAGAAACAACCGAGATTTTTAGATCGAAAGTTGGCCAAAATTTAGGACTTTTTGCCGAATTTCGGCACGAAAAGTTTCATGCCTATTTCTATCGTAAAGGATAATGTTTCTACAAAAAATCAAAATTTTCCGCACGAATGCCAAAGTTATGGCCAAAAAGCGTTTTTCTCTCTTACCGCTCTCCACGTTTAGCGTGCTATCTCGGGAGCAACGATCGTTCAATATCTCGGCGGCGCCCGCAAAGCGCGAGCTAAAACTTTCAGGAATTGATATTTAGTCCATACCCGACGCACTGCGGGTCGGGTCAAGTTTTTTTCATGGGGTGGTCAAGTCTTTCCCCCTAATTTTATTTTTCCCCGAAATTCAGACTGTTATATCGGAGGTTAATCAAGGTAAATCTGGTCAGTTCTTGTTGATTATTTCAAGAACAAGTCTTATTCTATTTTTAGAAATCAAATTTGATTGAATTACGGTGTGGGTTTGCCTCAATTTTTAGCATTCTTTGGGGGTAGGTATTCTATACCTAGATGATCAATTGTGAGACAGTTTCAAGTCGGATTTACAATATCGTCTCCATTTCACCTTTGGACGTACGCCCTCTGTCACATAAAAGTAAGTATTTGTTATTCTGGTTGTACGTTTTTTAGTTATTAAAGATTTTGTATATTATTCTAGGTTATTCAGAAAATTTTGTGCGGGATTTGGCTGGTTTTTCCTCAAAATCACGTTCAAAATATTAATTTTACTGTCCTAATCGCGTTTTCCATGACCAGAAGTCTTCACAGATGTGATCCAGGTACCATACATTACAGGGACCATGTATAACATCCGCCTGAAAAAACGCTGGATTGGTCTCAAACACATTTTTTCTTTATTTGATAAGTCTTCACAAGTATTTTCCTTCATTTTTATGAACATTTCGCATAGTTTGGGCGTTGAATTTCATCTCTACCTAAAATCTGCATCAAGTTTGGTCATGAAGAAAAAGTCTAAAAGAGAAGGAGAAACCTGTCCAATTATGTTTTTATAGGCACTAAAGAGCAATATTACGCCAAAATAATCTTATCCGGGCTGAAAACTCGGAAATGTCAACTAAAATCTTCAAAAGTACCTAGTATAATAAACAAAATCTCTAATAACTAAAAAACGTACAACCAGAATAACAAATACTTACTTTTATGAGACAGAGGGCGTACGTCCGAAGGTGAAATGGAGACGATATTGTAAATCCGACTTGAAACTGTCTCACAATTGATCATCTAGGTATAGAATACCTACCCCCAAAGAATGCTAAAAATTGAGGCAAACCCACACCGTAATTCAATCAAATTTGATTTCTAAAAATAGAATAAGACTTGTTCTTGAAATAATCAACAAGAACTGACCAGATTTACCTTGATTAACATCCGATATAACAGTCTGAATTTCGGGGAAAAATAAAATTAGGGGGAAAGACTTGACCACCCCATGAAAAAAACTTGACCCGACCCGCAGTGCGACGTGTGTGCAGAATTTAAAGAAAATCTGACCGTCGCACTTGGAGTACTTCCCCTGTCAATTATAGCCAACTTTTCTCTAAATTTACCAAAAAAATCCTCAAAAATCCACTTACACCTTTCGACCTCTCTAATCTCGCTTTCATCTCCTCCAATGGCAAAATCATACTTGGAAATGTCTTCATTTGCATACACATCATCGTCATCCTCCTCAAACGCGCCAACGCCAAAGGCTTGGCCTCGAATTCCCTTGGACTTGGCCTTTTCTTTATAAGCGTCAACTTTCATCAAGAAGTCTTCTTCCAGAACGTTCGACTTCTCCAACGGTCGATATCCGAGGCCATGTTCGCCTTGATTTGGCTGTAAAAATAGTCTGGGGATATCATCCGGGGCATATTCAGCTTCTGGCGCCAGTTCTTCCATGGCTTCCACTTCATCGGAATTGAACGCGGCCGAACGGCCGAGCTGCCGCGCATCGTTCACTAAAACAAAAAATTCAAATGATTATACGTATTTTACCCCTAACCACTTTATTTTAAACCATTTTCCGACAAAAATCCAACAAAAATTATATTACACTAGACACCAGCTTCAAAAAAATCATCTTACCCTTTTGTCTCTCCAATTGTCTCCGTTTCATTCTTGGTCCAATCCCTTTGCCAGGCCGCCAGCCCATCTTTTTTAGGATTTTCACTCCAATCGAATCGCTAAAATCACCATGGATAACATAAATTTTAATCCAAAAATAAAATCTTTCAGAAGATAGAACTCACTTTACTCCTTGAAAAGTTGAAGCCAAAGTCATAGCCAAATCGTTGAAATTGTCGGAAGTTGAAGGGCCAGCGCGCTCCCAGGCTAACGGCGCATTTTTAGACTGATCATTGAGTTGGGCCATAAAATTGGATTTGGTCCGGATTTTTTGATGAGCAAACCCGAATTCACCTCTGTCCTGCAACAAGAACAGTCAGTGGATCGAAAAAATACAAAAACTTTTGAGTAATTTTGTATAAATTACAAAAATCAACCTTATTTTAGGTAAGCAGATGTAAAATAAGGTCGCAATTCTGATGAAATCAAAAATTTTTCATCAATTCTTACAAGAAAACACAGAAAAGACCTTCATGAACCTAAAAGAGATCAACAGACGAATCCGCAACCTCAATTAAGCCACCTCCGGCCCAAATTTATATTATCCATGACCACCACCGTAAATGATCTCGCAGCTCTAAAATTCAAAACCAATAACAGTAAAAAACCTACCTCATCATCCATAAAGTCGTCCACAGACCGCTTAGGCTCATCAGGGCGCTCATCTCGACTTGATCTGAACGTTTGAGGAACCCATCCATGTCTAGAGCCAACCGTATTGAAATAACCGGCCGAGAATCCACCAGTGAAGGCACCGTGAAATCTCCGGCGACCCTTCTCATCAGTCACAATCTCATCTTGAATTGCGGTTGGACGACGAGAAACAGCGGTGTCTAAAAATGAATCATTTTATATTATCCATGACGGATCAAAAGGTTTACTTCAGTGGCAATTAATAAGAACCGAGAATAGAAATCGCGTATTTTAAAGAGCAATGTATATATATTTTACGCCATTCCCAAAGGAATCATCCGTAAATTTCAAGATAAAATTTATATTCTCCTTGAGCTATCCAAACAAAAGAAACTCCGCTAAATTTTTTAAAAAAGCAGGATTTCTTCTGGCTAGACCAAGGACAAATCCCAGTCTTACTCCAGTCACCTTTTCATCCCACTTTCCAACTTCTATTCCCATCAGAATCCATCAATCTCCTCTAAAAATCAACAAAACAAAAAAATCCTTACTTTTTTCGTCCTCCAAATTTTCGTGAGCTGTTCCATATTTGGCTAGCGACATATCTGTTTCACCTTCGACAATTTCCTCTTAGGATTCCATCAATTTCAACATCAAAAACTATTTTCCTTTCCAAAAAATATTCTTTTCCGAGAATTAGCGAAAGTCAGGGAAATCAAGCTTTGGCATTCTGTTACAGGTACTGAAACTTGGCCAGAAAAATTTCTACATCTTTTTAGGACCATTGTTGGTGTTTTGCGTTCGGATTTCAGGGATTTCCAGCCTGTTCAGCTGATTTATCAAAGGTTTTTCCTTTTAGACACCTGATTTTTCGTTAATGTTAAAAAATCGCGGGTTTCTCTTGTTACTCTTTGTTTTGATGGAAGTTTAGAATTCTAGACATGTCGAAGAAGACTCTTCTTGCTGAAGACCTTGCAAAAATCGACAAAAAGTTGCCCAAAAAACGTTTATTCGACGGATATATCGCAGAATGCAAAATCAGGGAGAGTTGCGTCGGAATGGTGCCTGATGGGCTGAAAATAAACATCAAAATAAAAAAATAGGCCTAGACGAGGGGTGAATAAAGCTTTTATGGCTTCGCAATCGCTAAAAATGTACTTTATCTAACCGCATCTTCGTGATTGCACTTGGCCTTACACGGTGGGGTTCTCAGCGAAAACTCCTTGCCGGTCCGCACGTAGGACGGCATTTTGGCCGGGGATCGAGCCGTGCGCACGTCCTGTTCCTCGTCTTCGTTCATGGCGCGGCGAATTCGCGATTCCGATTCCTTTTTGAGAAGATGTTCGCGCATCATGACGGACGCCGCGTCCGATTGACCCAGCTCTCCGACAAAGTTGGCCTTCTCCTTGACCCTCTTGTCCAGCTGCCAGTCCATGGGCGCGTTCTGGTCGATGCCGAGGCGTTGGACTGCTTTTTGCAACTGATAATCGATCATTTCGTAATGTGGGCGGTCAGTAAAGCTGAAAATGGGAAAATTATTATCTGTAAAAGTATTGTACTCAAATTTCATTCAAATTATGTGTATATATCTTCTGAATAGGCTGCAAAACAATCCCTGAAAATTTTAGCTGTCCATTTGCAAACGCCGCTGAGACATTCAACAGTCTTTTTTGCGAGAGAGTACATTAAATGAGGAGGGACAGCCAGAAAAAAGATGTTTTTTGATATAACTTTTTGACTTTTGTTTGGTTAAGGTCATAAATTCAGAAAGTTTTATCTGAAAAAAACATCTTTTTTCTGACTGCCTCTCCTCACTTGACGTACTCTTTCGCAAAAAAGATTGCTGAATGTCTCAGCGGCGCTTGCAAATGGTCAGCTAAAATTTTCAGCGATTGTTTTGTAGCCTATTCAGAAGATACATGCATTCCCCAAAACTCACGCTAAGCTATCAATGATAGCGAGTATGCTATCCAGTTCCTCGGGGCAATTGGCGAAGAAGTGTTCGCGGCCGTGGACACGGATGAATTGCTTCCAGTCGCAAATGATTTTATGGTGCTTCAGAGGGTCTAACTTGGCCCACGGCAATTGTCCTGAGCAAAGCTCGACAGCCATGTAAAGCCAGCTCTCCAGATCGTCTCTTCGACATTGTTCTTGGTTCATGTGGGAGGCCAACGAGGCGTAATGAATGGTCCCCAGAAGGGCGGCGGCTGGACGAGGAGGCAGAAGCGCCCCGTTCTTGTCGCTGAAAATTGAGCAAAGGTTTGGAAAAAATGCCAATTTTTGGCCTAAAAATCTCTGTGGTTTCTGCAGAGCGCGGGCTAAAAATTTCACCAAGTTTTTAGAATTCTCTAACCTAAATTTGCGCCAAGTTTCATCAAAATCAAGGCGTTATATTTGGAGTAGCCCCTTTGTAAAATTTCCGCACTCCTTTCTACCAAAACTCACCGGAATCGCTTCGCGAATCCAAAGTCCAACATGTACACAACTCCATCCTTTTCTCCAAGTCCAATCGCAAAGTTCGGTGCCTTAATATCGCGACAAAGCCATCCCAGATCATGAAGTGTTTCGATCCGCTTCAACGTTTGCTGACAAATCTTCAACGCGGTGCTGAGACTGAATCTTTTCGCGGGCATGGCGCGGCGAAGCCGATTCAAGTCCGGCCCCACCAATTGCATAACGGCGAACTTGAAATGTGGAGTTCGATATGCGGCGACGAGCTGGGGGAAACCGGGATGGTGCCCGAGTTGGCTGAGAACGAAGACATCGAGCTTGAGGACTGGTCTGAAAGGAAATTTTGGGATAAAAATTAAAAAAAAACAAATAAAAAATCGGGGTACCCAAAAAATGTTTATGTCTTGATGAAACTTGCGGGAAATTTAGATTATAATTTACCAAGAGATGTGTAAGATTTTTATCTCTCGTTTTGGAGAAACAATCGATATTTTTAGATCGGAAACAAGCCAAAATGGCCGAGTTTAGCTCATTTCCGATCTAAAAATCTTGATGGTTTCTGCTAAGCGCGAGAGGTTAAAAATCTTCCATATCTCTTGGTAAATTCTAATCTAAATTTCTCTCAAATTTCATCAAGACATAAACATTTTTTGGGTACCCCGATTTTTTATTTGTTTTTTTTTAATTTTTCTCCTCATGCCGCAACCCACCTCAAATTCCCCTCCTGTTTCTCGGTCTTCATCGCGTACTGATGGCCGCCGTTCACGTCCCTCACCACGTAGACGTCCGAAAACGGCCCCGACGCCAGACATCGGATCACCTGGAACTTGTACTGTGGATGCGAGACAATCGAGCCGACTTGTGGCATGCGCGGGTCGTCCACGTTGTTCGAGCCCATACCCCTGTTACGTCGATGGAATGCGGGCGGAGAAAGGCGCGTCCAGACGACTGAACCGCGGAGCGAAACTTTTGCGAAATGAAAGGGAGGGCAGAGAGAATGAGGGGGGAATTTCGAATTCTTGAATTTTCCTTTTTTTCAAGTTTATTTCGATTTTTTTCGGCCGCACCGTGCAAAATGAAAATTTTAATTTTTTTGTGAAGTCTGGAAAATAAAGCAATTTTTTGATGCCCTAAGGGCTTCAGGATATCTGTACTAAAAACAAAGTCGTTTTGCGGCGGCCGAATTTTCTTGTTTTCGTGGCGGGACCCAGAAAAGTTTAAAAACATGGTATGGAATGACCTCAGGCTTCCAGAACAACAGTTTTTATGACTTTTAATCCAAAGTGCTTGAACTTTGTTGAAAATGAAGGGTAGACGGGAAAGAATAGATGGTATTGCATCACCTCAGACTTCCAGAACAACGGCTTTGATTAGAGGTGGCAATCGGGCTGGGCCGGCCCGGCCGGGCCCGGTGATTGGGCCGGGCCGGGCCTGAGCAGATTTGAAAAAGCCCTGGGCCGGCCTGACCGCTTCGGCCCGCGGGCCGGGCCGACACTTTCGGCCCGGCCCGGAAGGTAGATAAGTAAAAAAATTTTTAATGCTAAACCAGCAAAATAAAGCACAAATGCTTTGTTGAATGGATGGAAATTAGACTAAACCTTTTTTGACTTATACGCTATTTTACTACGTTTTAAAATTATGTATTTGTATATGCAACTTATTATGTATATGTAAAATCCCACCCAAATATGCAGGGGTCGGGCAAAAATCTTCGAATTTTTTTATGATAACTTTAAAAATTTCACTGTAATTTTGATTCCTTGATGTAAATGAAAGTGTTTAAACAGTTTTGGTTAATCATGTACCTTATAACGTCCATACTTTTATATAGCTAACTTCCTATAGGATTAAAAAACTCAACACAATCCAACTTTTTGGCTAGGTTTTAGCTACCTTTACGGATGTTCCAGTCATCCGACTAGACTTTGTAATTTCACGCAGACACACGTAAAAACCTTCTGGAAATCGTAAGAACTTCCAGTAGAAAGTGCAAAGACTTTTATCCAACTTTTCTGTATTAGCGGGCCAAACCGGGCCGGGCCGGCCTGGGCTTTCACCGGGCCGGGCCGGGCATGAGCAAATTTGAAAAAGCCCTGGGCCGGCCTGGTCAATTCGGCCCGCGGGCCGGGCCGCAAAAATCGGCCGGCCCGATTGCCACCTCTAGCTTTGATGACTTTTCGCTATTTTTAAACCATTTTTTTAAATTTGAAAAATCTTGGCATTCTGTTGCAGCGCGTAATGAAATTTTTTTTAAATCTCAGCAATTTACTTTTTAACTATTTCTGGTCGCTTTGCTATACTTTATATTAAATATTTCAAATTCCCGCCAACTTTGGCATTCTGTTGCAAGCCGTTGTTTTTGGCCAAAGTTTTATAAAATTGCAAAAATAACTCTCTGTATGGCTAACATACTCACTTTTTATTTCACATCGGTCAAGTTTGTTGGTCATGCTATTATAAATTTACATTATTCATAAGGGAAACGACCAATTAGTCCACAACGATTTTGTTTACTCCGTATTTACTTTTATCTGCGCTCCGAGTACATTTGTTCTTTCTTCGTTCTAAAGTTCTTTAATCCCTCCTACGGAGCGTTCCAAATTTAAAAAGGGCATGCATAATCTGCAAAAATTAAATCGTCATGCTAAATTGAGCTTTGTTTTTACAGTAGTCGTATTTTAGATATCGCTGGTAAAGTCAGTGATGAATTTTTGTAAAATTGTAATCAAAAAATTTAATAAATTTTTATTGGTATGATTACACACAAAGACGTGTGATAAATACGCATTTCTCGAATGTAAATTGCGATTCATAAAGACTAAGCGGCCTTCGAAAATGATTTTCAAACTCCTTCTGTTCTTCGCGCTACTTCTTTTCCCATTTTGTTGGTCTCAACCTAAAGATCAAGTCATTCCAGTGTCAGGCCCAAAAATTCAGGTAAACTGATTTTTTAGCGGAAGTTTATTCTGGCCGAAAATTGCAGCAAGGAGTTAGCACAGTAAAAAATCTCAGGATTTCTTGCTCCGAGTAGTATGTTAACCTGTCGGGAAAATAATGTGGATTTGCCGCAGTAAAATGTCTCGCCTCGTCTTTCACTTATTTTCCCGACAGACTGATAGACAGGATTTTTTATAGACAGGTTTGTTAAATTAGTCTGTCGGGAAAATAATGAGCACCTTGTCGCATCGAAAATCGTATCCGAGGAAATGAATTGTGTCGCGACAAAATAAAATCGCTTTTCACTTCAGCGACGTGATCGGCGCATCGATATTGTGCTCATTATTTTTCCGACAAACTGATACGGTGGTGTGATTTTTGGCCAAAAATTTCCTTCTGGTAGTTTCATATTAGTCGTAATCCGGCTCCAAAATTTAGGAGCTAGCTGCAGCCGGCGTTCGATTGTATTCCCGGCAACGAAAGGCCAACTACCATTTCGACGGTGTTGAAAGCGCAACAATACAATTCGACCGAGGACATCATTATGTGATCTTTATCCTTGTCCAGGACGACTACGGCCAGCTGGACAAGATCCGAGATGAGGTGTGGTCCAGCCCGAGGAATGGGAATATGCATCGGGTTGTGCGGGTGGAGTAAAAATAGAGGATTACATACATACGTTGGCGTACCTGATGCAGTGGCAAAAAATTTTATACATTATTCATTTATTTCATAAATGCAGCAAAATGCCTCTCTCTCCAACTGAAAAACTCCGATTTCAAAAGCGCGCAAGTTCTTTTTGTGTGGCGCCTCCTTCAAAACGGAGTTTTTTAGTTGGAGAGGGAGACATTTTGCTATATTTTTGATGCTTCCCGGACGCAAAATGGTACGTTTTTGCCGCTGTATCAGGACTACCACTGCGTAAGGAATGATCAATTTCAAAGTGCAATAAATGGACTAACAGACATAACAGGGGATGTACGTCAAGTGCAATGCTCAGATTTTGATGAAACTAATCTAAAATTTAGGATAGTTTTTTCTAACATCTAAGATCTAAGACATTTGCGAGACTCCTCGCTCGCGCTTTGCAAAAAATACCGAGTTTTTTAGTTGAAAGTTGTGAAAAATGTGACACTTTTTTTGCAAATTTTAGCATGAAAAGTTTCGTGCCTATTTCTACCGTAGAGCGTAGTGTTTCCTTGAAAAATCATTGTTTCCCCACGAAACTGGCGGAGATATGGCCAAAAATCTTTTTTGTGTGACCACTCTCCGTGCTTCGCGTACTCTCTCGGCCGCAAAGATCATTCAAAATCTCGGCTGTCCCAGCAAATCGCGAGCTCAAATTTTCAGGAATTGATATATGGCCGATGTACAAATTGTATGCAAAATTTGAAGAAAATCTGAGCATCACACTTGGGGTACTTCTCTTGCAAATCTTGTTGTTTTCCATCTGCGCATAATGCTGTTTTGGGTTCACTCCATGTTATTCTTGGACTGAGTGTGTTTTCTGTCCTCTCCTACGTTGTTATGACGTTGTTTTGGGCATCAGTCCGAGAGTTCGGTTGTGGGAAAAAGATAAGAAATGTTTTCCGGAGAGGATTTGTGCCCTCTTGTCAATACTGAACTTTATGTTTTTTTTTTTTTATTTTGCAGTACTTAATAAGTTTATCTTGATGATTTTCCGAACTATTAAAAAGAGAGAAAATTCTGCTATCAAATTTACAGTGGCAGTCCTGATCCAGTGGCAAAAAACGTACTATTTTGCTACCGGGAAGTATCAAAAAATGTAGCAAAATGCCTGCCTCTCCAAGTGAAAAACTCCGATTTCAAAAGCACGCCTCACGTCAAACCGAGATAAGCTAAAACAGTCCGGTGAATGGATTGGCAGTTTGCCAAAAAGGACGCGAAAAAACGTTTTGTCGGGGAAGAAATGGGGAATTTTTGGGGCGAGAGAGTACGTTTTTGCGTGTCTTTCTTCTCTCTTTCTCTGCGAAATCAAGACGAAGTGTAAAAAACCGATAGCGAAGAGTCTATTCCGGTCACCGGACTCCTCAGTTTGACGTGCGCCTGCTCTTTTTTTGAGACGCCTTTCAAAACGAAGTTTTTTTGGTTGGAGAGGGAGGTATTTTGCCACATTTTTTGATACTTCCCGGATGCAAAATGGTACGTTTTTTGCCACTGGATCAGGTCCGTCACAGTAAATTAATATAAACAATTTTTTCTATTATTATACGTTTGCAAAGTTAGGGGACTTCTTGCTCTCGCTTTGCAGAAGCCATCGAGAATTTTAATCCAAACGCTGGTGAAAATTTGAGAGTTTGCCCATTCATTCATCAGTCTGTCGGGAAACTATCGAGTGCAATTTCGCTGCGCCAATCGCGTCGTTAAAGTGAAAAAACCAAAAAAAAAACTTTGTCACCATACAACTAATTTTCTCGGCAATGCGATTTTTGATGCGACAAATTGCTCATTATTTTCCCGATAGACTGAAACTTATGAAAATTCTGATATAATCATAAAAACGATAATCTTGATGTTCTAAGCCAATCAATTTTTTTACATATAATATTTCAATACGGTTCAAAAAATAACCCGCTATTCGCTTCCAAATTTGGCCATCTTCCGGTTCGCCGGCTCTTGTCCAAAGATGATGATCTCAGGCGAATATAACATCAGAGCGACCAGATTGTCTATATCCCATTATCCAACCCACACGATTGTCTAGATTGCCAGCCAAAAATAAAGACAAACAGCGACAGCTCGCGTCAGCTTTTCTAATATTCTTATTGCCACAAAGGCCAAAATAACAAATTTACAGAGTACAAACGTTCGCAGCGCAGACTCCGAACGGACTTGCTTTGGTTTTAACGAAATTTCCAACGACTTTGTTTTGTCTCTTTGTTAACCCAAAAAGTCTTGCGTGCACGCCAAAACGGCTAAATCGGGTCCTTTCCGCGGAACTGAAACTCGCACAAGAAGCGTGGGTATTTTTAACCGAATTACAGTAACTGGATTCCCAAACTTTTGCGAGAAAAATGGTCCTAGGGTCTTTGACATATGGAAAATGGATATGGTAAATGGAGGTGGTGGAATTTGATGTGTAATAGTCTAATCTATTATACTTGTAATGGAATTTTTGTAAGTTTGGGAACAGGTGAAGACTTTCAAAATATTCAACAGAGTAGATAACTATACTTTCTACCCAGAATTTACAAAATTCTGTTAACACGTTGGTTTTTATACCCTATAGAACTTGATTTAGAACTTGGCCTATGAATTATGGACTTAAACTTGTACTCGATCCATTTTTGGACATGAACGGACTTGAGCTTATTGTTAGGATATTCAAAAGAGTCTTGGAAAAACCCTCCCAAGACTTTGGAATCACACGGCGGAAGCAATGAGGACTAAATAAACTTCTGGGCCTACTGCCAAGTCCCGGTACACGGCAACCCGAAGTGTTTCCTGGCTCCTTTCGATACTTCGCCCATTTTGTATCGGTTGAAATCAAACGAAATGTCACAAAAGAATTTTTTGTGGGTTTTTCCGACCGAAAAATATTTTTCTCGGAATTATTTTATTTCTGTTCTCAATTTTGACACTTCGTTTGGACGAAACTCAAAAGTGGGCGGGAAACATTTTTCTTTTATTTCGGGTTGCCGTGCGGTAGAACTCGCTCAAGGCTATCCCAAGGTTCCGTTGGCTTATATCGCCTAGGCGTCGCTAAAGGATTGCAGATAGGAGGTCCGAGAAATCTTTTTTTGACCGATTTCTTGCCCAAATTGGCGAAAATCATGTCGTTTTGGGCAAAGCTGAGCAAAAAAGGTCTTTTCAAGCCCTCTGATTCGCGGTTGCATTCAGGAGACTCAACAATCCTTGCAGAGAAGAGTCTGTGGCTAAAGGGGAGGAACGTTAGAGACCAGACCACACACTAGTCCATTCGCAACCGTGCTGGAGTGATTCTTGCGTCATGCACTGTGAGAAAACAACAGTTCACATTGCAGTATGCAAATGGCTTTTTTGGACTGTCACCCTTATGACCGCCTACCGGAAGTTCGAAAAACCCCAAGTTCGACAACCAAAAGTTCGAATGCCGCAAGTTCGAATGCTGCAAGTTCGAATACTAGAAGTTCGAAAAACCTCAAATTAGAAAAACCAAAAGATCGAAAACCGGAAGTTCGAAATATGAAAATATAAAAAATGCAGAATGAAAAAAAAGAATTAAAACAGAAAAATAGATTTTGTTTATAAAATAGGATAATTTTAACTTAAAGTCTTTGCGATCTCATTCAAAAAAGACGGAAAATCGAACTCGGAAAAACGGGTTACCAAATTACCAAATATGAAGGAAGCAATATCCACCACACAAAGCCACGAATCCCGAGAACGACACAGTTGGATTGGCTCCGTGACGAATCTTGATCAGCTCGACACCACCAACCTCCATCGTAGAGAATGAATGAATGATTGAAGAGGAAGTGTATTTTGCAAAATAATTATATGCAAATTATAATTTAAATATTAATTAACTTTTTTTTCATTTTCGAACTTTAGTCATTCGAACTTTAGGTTATTCAAAGTTACGGTCATTCGAACATTAGGTAGTTCGAACTGGAGGTCGTTCGAACTTTAGTCATTCGAACTTTAGGCATTCGAACTCGCGGATTCGAACTTGCGGTATGTCTCCACCCTTATGTAGTATTTTTGCACAGTGCATGTCGCCAAACCACTCCAGCAACTTCGCTAACGGACTAGTGTGCGATCTGTTCTCTAACCTTCCTCCTCATTCACCATAGCCTCTCCTCTAAAAAAGATTCTTGGTTTTGTCCGAGACCGTGAGCTCAAACTTGTAAGAATGGATGAATAGGCGAAGGTTACGGAAATTTTTGGTGTCACTACAGCATTTACCCTGTGAAGTCACGCCTTGGGGCTTCAAATTGCCTCTGGGATTCCAAATGTTCTCAGAAAGCCAAAAAGTCATTATTTATTGGAACATTTTTATATTGTTCTATGTTTCGTTGGTCTTGGATTTCTGTTTTATATATTGTAATTTCTGTGGTGGGCTACTAAAACATCTGTTCCCCATTTACCAACATTATATTTCACGTAAACTGCTTTACTTTCTCTTGCCAGTACATTACTGTATGCTACAGTAAAAAATCCCAAAATTTTGCCGAAATGTTCTCCTCGTCATCCACCGTAGCCTCTCTCGTGCTTTGGGGATCCCACGTTGGACTCATCATTTCATTCTTTCCGAATCCCTGAGTTCATGTCAGCTATTATTAATCTCTTCGCATAACCTTGAATGACATCCGAAGACGGCTAATATACTATACAATTTCACGTCATAACCTCCCCCAGATTCCGGTAAAGCTTGTTGGCCGCTGTTTACCGCATAGCTACGGTAGATTCGTTTCCTTGTCACGTTCCATAAAACTTATGTCATCGGGAATATTTCTCCCATATCCGCCTCCAAAAATCCGTCGTCTGCGGGGCGGTAATCGAATCGCATATGCCCTGCGGCCATTCCCCTACTTTGCCATTACTTTTCCAATCCAATTTACTTTTGGTTTATTTGCCATCTTCGCTCTTACCGCCATCTTCGCTCAGTAGAACGCGCATAGGCCACGCCCACTTCAAGGCGGAGAGGGCGGCGAGCTTAAGCTGGAAAATAGTGGCACTTGGACTCGCGGAACGTTCATGTTTTGGGATGGGGAGCTGCGGGTGGAACGTATGGATTGTATTTGAGGGGATTCTGGAGCCAGTGGTAGGCGATTCTTACTGTAACATCGGGTTTTTTGATTGGCAAGTATTTGAAATGGGGGTTGAGGTAAAATACGGCCTTAACTTCGTTGCAGTCAGTATTCGTATCAATTTTTGCTTATTGCTTTACAGCTACTATATTTGACAGTAACTTAGAACATAGAGGTTTTCAGTTTCGGTAATGTTTTATGAGATTTTAGCGATTATATTACTCTAGAGGTCCATCTAGAATAAGGTCAGAGGAAGACTTGACACGTTGAAAAAGTGATAACAGTCGAATGTAAAGCAAAGCGTAAGCCATGTAGTCTTTAATCCGGCTCATCAAAGATTTATACAACCCCGTTTTTACCTCAAAATTTAATTTTTCCTACCAGCTATCAAGTACAATATTAAAATGTCATCTTTCAACTATAATGTTTCGAAAATACGATCTGTACTACGATTTTTACCCCCTTCCCGCCTTCATAACTAATTTTATATTCGATATAAATTTGGTATGACATTCCAAACCGGTGAAATTGCCGTGTATTTTTAGAAAACTAAAAAATTTAAACGTTTCTGAAAGAGAACTTTGATGTCACTTCCACTGCTTACAATTTTACTGCTTCCAGATGGAAAATTTAATTTCGGATTCTCGTCCGATGGACGGCGAAATTAGGCGAATTACAATTTTCACGCGGCCCCGAACATCAGGCCAATCAAATTGGGCGCTTCCACTGGACTGGGCCCGTTCTTTGGCAAAAAGTCCCGATTTTTTTTTATTTTGAGACCATTAGAGCGGATATGGTAATCAAAAATTTGCATAATTTCTGTAGTTTAATTTTTGCACAGTGCGGTATAAAAATTTTTTGTTCTGCACAGTGCAAAAAATTTTTTGCACAGTGCGATCCCAAAGTTTTTTGCACAGTGCAGTCGAAAATTTTGCACAGTGCGGCACAAATATTTTTTACACAGTGCGGTATAAAAATTTTTTGCACTGTGCAGAACAAAAATTTTTTGCACAGTGCGATCCTAAAGTTTTTTGCACAGTGCAGTCGAAAATTTTGCACAGTGCGGTACAAAGATTTTTTGCACAATGCGGTACAAATATTTTTTGCACAGTGCGGCATAAAAATTTTCTGCACTGTGCAGAACAAAAAATTTTTTATTTTTGTCAAAATTTTTTTGCACAGTGCGATCCCAAAAATTTTGCACAGTGCCGTCAAAAACTATGCACGTGCAGAACCTGCCGAAAATTTTAAGTTACCATTTCCCAAATTCAATCCAAAAAATTGGAATTTTTAATAGAGTTTCTTTTGTTTTTGAGTAGCATCTCAATGGAAGAATGACAACAAAAAATCACGTCGTCTTCTCTTTTTTTCCGATTTTTTTTTGTCACAATCCGTGCCATTTCTTCCCAAAAAACAATGGAACTGACCCTCAATTACTCAATGGAAATCCTGTCGTTATCTGGATGGGGATCCGAGATTTATTGCTTTGTCGGGGAGAGTTTCAGTGTTTCACAGTGAAACACTGAACTCCATCCTTGGGACTTTATCCACTTATTTGGCCGCACTGTGCAAAAATTTTGTTGGACTGCACCGTGCAAAAAAATTCCACCGCACTGTGCAAGAATTTTGACGGACCGCACTGTGCAAGAAATTTCTACTGCACTGCGCAAAATTTTTGTTGAGTGCACTGTGCAAAAAAAATTCCATTGCACGGTGCAAAAATTTTGACGGACCGCACTGTGCAAAAAATTTCTACTGCACTGTGCAAAAATTTTGATGGAATGCACTGTGCAAAAAATTTGTTGGACCGCACTGTGCAAGAAAATTTTCAGCCGCACTGTGCAAAAATTTTGTTGGACCGCACTGTGCAAAAAATTTTCTACTGCACGGGGCAAAAATTTTTGTTGCCTGCACAGTGCAAAAAAAATTTCTACTGCACTGTGCAAAATTTTTCTAACTGCACTGTGCAAGAATTTCATTCTCTGCACGGTGCAAAAAAATTTCTTACTGCACTGTGCAAAAAATTTGTTACAGCACTGTGCAAAAATTTTGTTGGACCGCACGGTGCAAAAAAATTTTTTTCTGCACTGTGCAAAAAAAAACCACTGCACGGTGCAAAAATTTTGATGGACCGCACTGTGCTAAAAATTTTCTACTGCACTGTGCGAAAAATTTTCTACTGCACTGTGCAAAATTTTTCTAACTGCACTGTGCAAAAAGCATTTTTTACTGCACTGCGCAAAATCAACCCTTAAATTTTAATTTCTACTTCCTCCAAAAAATTTGTCATTTTCTCAGAACCCCAAGTATTTTTTCAGCGTTTCCTGTAAACCAAATTTTTTCAAAACCGCAAAAACTACCATGTCATTTCAAAATGTCCCAAATTTACTCCGCCTTCCGGTCACCACCAACTTCCTCGGATTTCCTCAACTTTATTTTGGCCCATCTTTTTTTGCCTTCCTTATTTCCCATCGCCATTTATAGCGTCTATTCCGGGCGTTTATAGCCGGCTAATAGTGATGTAATTTTTGTCTGGACCAAAATTAAACTTTTTTTTTAATCATCAATTTTTTGTCAAAAATATTGATATAAAGTGTTACGGTAGTAACAGTAATACTAAATTTAGTTTTACATCATTTCCCGGATAGAGTTACTATAGCTTATGCGGGTAAGTTTGAGTAAAAAATATTGCGTGTTTTGGTGGAAAAATTATTATTTTTCTCGATAGAAAAAACTTTGATTTGTACAAAATGACGAAGAAATTTGTAAAACGAAGGCGCTGCAAAAGTGTAATTGGACAAAAAATGGATGAAATTGCATTTTTGTGTCCAATTTTTGCCAAGACTACAATTTTGCAAGAGAAAAAAAGAAATGGTATTTTTAGCTCGGGATTGGCACAAACCATCGAGTACAAAAATGTAAAAAAGTTTACCAAAATTTGGCACTGTTCATTGGAAAAAAGCTTATTTTTTTAACCGCACCGTGCAAACATTTTTCCACTGCACTGTGCAAAAATTTTGTTTGACTGCACTGTGCAAAAGATTTACTGCACTGTGCAAAAAAATGCTTTTTTTGCTGCACAGTGCAAAAGTTGACTGCACGGTGCAAAAAAAATTAACGCACTGTGCAAAAATTTTTTCGCTGCACTGTGCAAAAAAGTTGATTGCACTGTGCAAACTTGCTTTTGACCGCACTGTGCACAAAAAAATGATTTCGCTGCACTGTGCAAAAAATTTTCAGCCGCACTGTGCAAAATTTTTTGTTGACTGCACCGTGCAAAAAAAAATTCCACTGCACTGTGCAAAAATTTTGTTGGACCGCACTGTGCAAGAAACTTTTGACTGCACTGTGCAAAAAAATTGATCGCACTGTGCAAAAGATTTACTGCACTGTGCAAAAAAAAAATGTTTTTTTTGCTGCACAGTGCAAAAGTTGACTGCACGGTGCAAAAAAAAATTAACGCACTGTGCAAAAATTTTTTCGCTGCACTGTGCAAAAAAGTTGATTGCACTGTGCAAACTTGCTTTTGACCGCACTGTGCACAAAAAAATGATTTCGCTGCACTGTGCAAAAATGTTTTCACTGCACTGTGCAAAAAAATTTACTGCACTGTGCAAAAAATTTACAAAAGAAAACGCTTTATACCAACAACAATAGCCTAAATTTTACCAACAGACTACCTTTAAGAGCCTTTTTCTCTGACCGTCTCCTAACTTTACTATTCTCTCGAGATCTCGCAAAAGCCCCCGTTAAGTTGCTTGGCTGTACTTTCGAGGCGAAATCTCAATATTTCAAGGATTCTTGGGTGTCCTATAAACCAGGCGGGCCAAAAAGTCTTGACATGTTTTCGGACGGTGCGGCCGGCGTCTGGCTTTGCGCGACAAACAATCAGCACAGTGCAAATTAAAAAAAAGCACTGTGCAGTTTCAACCCTTTTCAGCAAGGTTTATTTTGGCCTAAAATTGGCTTTTGAGGCCGTTTAAATTTTTCTCTGTAGACAGGTGTTGTTCTGCGGTATTTTGCTGTACAGAGATGCATTGTGGCCACAAATTTTAGCCACGTAGACATTTGTCATCGTTTTTTGATGCCTCAAAGTATTCACAACGCCTCTTGCGGCGAAATATCGAAAATTTGATTACAATTACCGACAGTTTTCTGAGAAGACGGTCTGTAATTTAGTAAGTTGTAGGTGTATTTGAAATCCAATAAAAGTTTTTGGGTATTAAATTTCAAAAATCAACTAGCTACGTATGTCAATGTTATCTCAATCAAACTAAAAATATCGTAAAATTGAGACAAACTCACTTGAATTGCCCTTCAAGAAGGCTACAATTTTACATTGCTTTATAAACGGCGTCATGTGTAAATAGCCGACTACTTTACTGTTACAATTTGTGTAAAAATTGAGCCCAAAAAACTGTTTTCACATGAGATTTTCTACTTTGTTTAGTAATCATGTTTTTGAATTACGTCGGAAACGGAAACGGAATTGTAAAAAGATTCAAAAACAAGTGGGTGGTACATTTTATACGGCAATAAGGCTGTTATGAAGATGGAAAAATTATGGAAATTGTAGCATAGGAACAAGATTTCAGTATGATATTGTAGTATGCTCCCAGATGACGTATTTTAAACAAAAGGTGTTAGTCTGTCGGGAAAATAATGACCAGAATGTCGCATGAAAAATCACGTCGCTGAAGTGAAAAGAAATTTGATTTTGGCCCGGGACAATTCATTTTTTCCGCGGCGATGCGATTGTCGATGCGACAGAGTGCTCATTATTTTCCCGACAGACTGATAAGTATGTATAAAGCAAGTTATCGTAGCGTATCGTAGAGCAAAACCCGTCTATAACGTACAGTTTCATGGCTCCAAAGAGTATATTCTATTGCCAAAATGAACCTCCGTACACTGAAACCCTTCTATGTATAACGAATAATTTCTTGTCCCTATTTGATTTGGTATACGTAATTCAGCTCTGAATTTTTCGATTTCTCGCGATTTTTGTAAGATTTTTACATTTTTTAAACAATTACAATATGCTAATTACCCATCAATTCAGGCACCCCCGCTCACCCCCGCCAAACGAAAAGAATGCACTCCACATTGGGTTTGATTGTCTGCGCATCGTTGGCTGTCATGGTTTTGTCACAGGAAGTAAGTTGGTGTCAAACAATTTTTTCGTTAAAATATGCTAATTCGCGTAGCAATTACCATTCTGATGTTCCGCATATCAGTTTGACTTCCAAATTAGAGGAACTAAAAAGACCAAAACGTGAAGAAATGGAAAAAAATATTTTACCGTAGAACATAGGAAAAGTGGCTCTTCCAAGTTCTACTGTACTGAACTTGTGGGATGCCAAGAACGCTTCAAAAGTTGAGAGATTACAACAGAGCCTCTGTATAACGAATCGTAATGGACCAAAAGATTTATTTATAATAGAAAGGTTTCGTTTTGCGGAGGTTCATTTTTGCCTGAAATTCAATCTTGCGACCTTTGAAACTGTTCGTAATAGACCGCTTTTATTGAACTGTAGTCTGTTCTGCGGGACTTGTCTGTAATAAATTTCAAGAGACAGTTACAGTGCATAAAAAAATTTGTCAATACGATCATGCAACTCGCACTTTTGGGTTGCAGAAGTTTTAAGAATGAAATTTTTTCAATGGTCATTGCGAAGTTTATGCGATGGGGTTCCTTACGATATTTACATTTCCTGAAAGCCGGCTTTTTACTCTACTGCTATGCCAAATTTTAGCCCTCTAGCTCAAACGGCTAGCGAGATATGGACAGAGAAAGCAAGCGCATTCCGAAAAAAATAGAAAAAGTCGCGGAGATCGGTTGTGTCCCGAAAGTACAGAATGCCGTGCAGTGGCCTCTGAACAAAACTTCCTCTAGAAGAACACCTCTCTTTAACAAATCATCTCACAATCATAGGTCACAAGAGTCAATTTTAGAGCCAAAGGAAACTCTATACAAAGAGGCCTTCTAAATATGCCCTAAATTGACTCTTGTTCCCCCTGAAATTGTTTGTTAATAGAGAGGTTTTCTTCTAGAGGAGGTTGTTGTTAAGGGGTCGCTGTAACTGTCGCTTGAAATTTATTACAGCCAAACCCCGTAGAAGAAACTACAGTCCAATGAAAGCAGTCTATTACGAACAGTTTCAGAGGTCGCAAGATTGAGTTTTAGGAAATATGAACCTCCGCAAAACGAATCTTTTCTATTACAAATAATTCTTTTAGTCCTTCACGATTGTTCTACAGAGGCCCTACTGTAATCTCTCAACTTTTGAAGCGTTCCTATAAGGCCACAATTTCAGTACAGTAGGACGAAAAGCAGTCTGTTACGAACAGTTTCAGAGGTCGCAAGTTTGAATTTTAGGCAAAATGAACCTCCGCAAAACGACACCTTTCTATTACAAATAAATGTTTTGGTCCTTCACGATTCGTTATACAGGGACTCCACTGTAATCTCTGAACTTTTTAAGCGTTCTTATAAGGCCACAATTTAAGTACAGTAGAAGTTGGAAGAGCAACTTTCTCTATGTTCTAGTGAAAAATATTTTTCATTTCTTCACGTTTTGGTCTCTTTATTTCTTCCAATTTGGGAGTCTAACTGATATGTGGAACATCATACTGATAATTGCGTAATTACCGCGACTTGTTGAACTACACATACTTAGCAATAAACACCCAACTGTGGTGTTTAACCACCCTCAACTCTATTTATGGGTGCATAAAAAATTTTAATGGCTGTTTCTGACAATCACAATGTTTGAGTATTTAAAAGTTATGTCTGTCAAAAACAACCGCTTAGACATATACGTGTACATAAAAGGAAGCTATTGAATAGCCGAAATTGGGGGATTGTCGGGGAATGTAGGTGGAGATAAACAAATTTGATTGTGTTTCGGATTCAGGAAGTTCGAAAAATGGCGAACAATGAAAAATATTTGTCATAAGCCGAGATAGAGAGGTCATAAAAGTCTGATAAATCGAGGATTTTATAAAAAATTGAAAAGAAAAAGAAATAATTTTTCGTTATAGTTGCAGTAATTGCGAATATCAGTCAGACTTGCAAATTGGGAGAACAAAAAAGACCGAAGAAATGAAAAATATTTTACAACAGAATATAGAGAAAAATTGCTCTTCCCAAGTTCTACTGTACTGAATTTGCGGCTTTATAGGAACGCTTCAAAAGTTGAGAGATTACAGTGGATCCTCTGTATAGCGAATCGTAAAGGACCAAACGATTTATTTGTAATAGAAAGGCTCCGTTTTGCGGAGGTTTACTTGGCCTAAGCTTACAGTGAGGAACCTGATCCAGTGGCAAAAGAACGTACCATTTTGCATCCGGGAAGCATCAAAAATGTGGCAAAATGCCTCCTTCTTCAAGTGAAAAAACTTCGTTTTGAAGGGCGCGCCCTTTCCCTCACAAAAAGATCTTTTGAAATCAAAGTTTTTTCACTTGGAGAGGGAAGCATTTTACCACATTTTTGATACACCCGGACACAAAATGATAGTTTTTTGCCGTTGGATCAGGTCCCCCACTGTAGGTCTGGATACCCTTGAAATTGTTCGTTATAGGCAAATTTCATTACTTATCAGTCTGTCGGAAAAATAATGAGCACAAGGTCGCTGTGCCAATCACGTCGCTAAAGTGAAAAGAAATTTGATTTTGCCCCGACACAATTCATTTTCTCGACGGCGATGCGATTTTCGATGCGACAGAGCGCTCATTATTTTCCCGACATACTGATATACAACAGTTTGTTGTAGAGACTTCCCATTGCCCCAAAAATACAACAACCGCATCAAATCATCCCTTTCTCACCCCACACTTTCAGCTTTCCGAACAAGACAGCATGGACAAACGGGCGCGATCCTTCGCGTTCGCGAAGCGCGCACGGTCCTTCGCCTTCGCCAAGAAGTTCGACCCGTACCCGTTTGGGCGATCATTCGCGTTCGCCAAACGATCCGCGGAAGAGCCGCTGCTCGACGTTGACTCGCTGGAAGAGGACCCGATGGACAAGCGCGCGAGGTTCGCGTTCGCGAAACGACCCCGAAATTTCGCGTTCGCCAAGCGAGCGCGTTTCGCCTTCGCGTAAATTGAAGGAGGTGGGTTTTTTTTATTACACAAGAGGAGTAATAGAAAAGTTCTTGCAACTAGTAAGGTTTACGAGAGAACGACAATCGAGATATAACTCGAGCAACTTATAATCTCTGTGTGTCCAGAAAATGTGTCACGATGGCACCCCTTTAAAACGTGCCAGTGGTACAGACAACAGCTGTATAAAGCTAGGAATACTCGCTAGAGCATGTTGAAAAATTTCGGGCAAAGCAAAGGTTCCCGGAGCAAAAAAATCCATAAAATCCGTCATACAAATTGCGCACTGTAAAAGTTTTGACCTTAAAATTTTTTGTGGGTACCCTAGGGAGTGCTCCTAGCCTTATCAAGCCGATTTTTATACCACTGGCATATTTTAAACGGGTGTCATCATGACTCATTTTCTGGACGCTCGCGGAAAATCTATAAAATCCGTCATCCAAATTGCATAAATTTGTTTTGCGGATACTTTAGGGAGTACTTCTAGCCATATACAGTTATTGATTATACCAACGGCACATTTTAAACGGGTGTCATCATGACACACTTTCTAGACGTTCGCGGAATATCTCGAAAATCCGTCTTCCAAATTGTATAAATTTTTTATGGGTACTCTAGGGAGTACTCCTAGCCATGTAGAGCCGATGTTTATAATACTGCCACATTTTAAACAGGTGTCATCGTGACGCATTTTCTGGACACACCAATACGACTTTATGCAGTCGATTTCTAAGGTGTGGGATAGCTTACAGAAAATTCTAGAAGAAGAAAAAATACTGTACTATATAGTATAATCCCTGCATTTTTAACCACCCCACTTTTTCAGCGCAAAACGGTCAAACGAATCGATGTCCCCCTCGCTGTTGCTGTAGAACTTGGTCTCCACAACAAAAAACCCTTTACTTCGACTTGGTGTTATGTTGGACAAAAAACGAAAATCTGGCCAGCTGGTCAAATTTGCACCACCCTATCAAAATATACCTTGTATACGTTTCTTTTAGTATCGCCCCGGTTGCCGCCACCACATCTGAAATTTTTTGTCTCTACTTTTGTTATTTTATGATAAAACAAAGCTTTTTAAGTTATTGCCGCTTGGGAATTTTATATATAAACATGTTTTACGTGGTAAAAAAAGGCAAAGATAAACTTCAAAAAATTTGGAACGCTTTTGGTCAAGTGCCGTCTTGAGAAGTAGACTTGACGGCCTCTTGAACCCTCAATGACGTAGGTGATGGCGCTCTGGCCAGAGGCTATGTGTTCCCGAAACGTTGAAGAAGCTCGGCTGAATCCAGGAAATGAAAAATTTTTATTGATGCTATTTGCAGCTCGCTTAATTTGTTAGATTCTTCTGATAGCGCAAGGTTATCGAGAAGTCACAAAAAAATGCAAATTTACCTGTCTGTCGGGAAAATAGTGAGTGCTCATCAAAAATCGCATCGCCGCAGAGAAAATGAACCGTGCCACGACAAAATCAAATTGCTTTTCTCTTCAGCGACGCCATTGACCCAGCGACATTGTGCTGGCCCACCTTTGGATCAGTGGGCCAGATCCAAAGGGATTTCAAGTCAATCTGAAAGATTTTTTATGTTATGCATGTCACTGATGAAGTCAAGAATGCGGAAAATCAATTTTTTTATTCAATGCATTGCAATGTGCGGCTCAAATTCATCATAAGTTTGCCCCATTTTTTCTCTCGTTACTCCAAAAACTCTGTTTATGACTGATCAGTATCGATTATGATCTATTGACGTAATAGTCGGCTACTTTAGGAGGAAACAACCAATGTTGTTGGATTGATGACATAAAAAAATGATGAAGTCATAATTAGCTCGCCAAAAAGTTGGATTGACCTAGGCCCCCTCTGGACGAACTGGTTGGCAATACAACCTTTTAGCTAGAAAATTATGAGAGTTTTTGCATAGTCCAACGTCTTGATATCCATTTCGTCCTAAACTTGGCAACTGTTTACAGCAGAGGGTCATAATCGATGTTGATGGGTCGTAAAAGGAAGTTTTTGGGTCAATGAGAGAAAAAATGAGTGCAAAATTATAAATTTGAACTTCACATTGAAGAGGAAGGCGTCGAGACACTTCCGGGCAACCACTTTGCGGGCAAAATTTGGGGGGCCACATTTGCGGGCAGCTGAAACATTTGCGGGCAGCTGAGACACTTGCGGGCAGCCTGGGACACTTGCGGGCAACCGACACTTGCGGGCAGCCGACATTTGCGGGCAACCGGCACCTGAGGGTTAAAGTGTGGAGGTGGAAATATTACTGCGATATTTTGGAAATTTGCCGACATTTGCGGGCAACAGGAAAAAACAATCACACAGACAGTATAGGAACCTTTGGAACCGTTGCCCGCAAATGTCGGCTTCCCGCAAGTATTGCCTGCCCGCAAATGTCGGAAAACTTCCAAAAATATCGAAGTAATTTTTCCATCTCCACCTTGTAATCCTCAAGTGCCGGTTGCCCGCAAATGTCGGCAAATTTCCAAAATATAATATCATAGTAATTTTTCCACGTCCACCCTGTTACCTCTACAATCAGGTGTCGGTTGCCCGCAAATCTTCCAGGCTGCCCGCAACTGTCGACCCTGCCCGCAAATGTCCCAGGCTGCCCGCAAAGTGGCTGCCCGCAAAAAATTTGCCCGCAAACTGGTTGCCCGCAAGTGTGCGCCCGCCAAGAGGAAAGATTAATTTTTCCCCGATCTTGACCTCCTCAATGACGTGTGTAACATAAAAACTCTATCAGACTGACTTGAAATCCCACTGTGGCCCATTAAGTATGCAAATTTTCGAGTAAATCAGAGAGGAGCCGAAAAACATTTCCAGGCCCAACAGAAGCCTGGAATAAATAATTCATGTTGGCCAATTAAGTTGCCCTTTCCCGACGTCAACAATACACAAAAACAGACAACGTTTGCGATCGCCTACTGCTTGGAATGTTCGATTAAGCATACTTAATTCGTAACGTTGACGTTGTCTGAGATGGAAGCGAAAGTCAGAGAAGAGTAATGCAAAAACAATGAGTTCTATGGGGAGATGAGGGAGTACAGAATTACAAGGGAATATTAATCAAGTGTAAAGGGTGTAGCATTCGGAGTATGAAAGCAAAGATCAGAAGGCGAAAAGGAGATGTCAAAATACTACAATTTCAGTGTTAAAGCGCCATGAATAACGTCAAAATGGGCAGAGAAAAATCGATTTCAAAGCAAAATACTAGTCATCTAAAAATTCTAGAGTTTGGTTTCAATGAGATTTTTGCATATTGTAATATCAAATCATGGCTATTTTAAATTCAAAAACGTAAAATTTTAGGGATCCAAGATCATTTGGACGTTCAAACAAGGCTCTTGTGTCTATAACACAAGTTTTCCGACATGTCAATAAGAGATTTCAACAAGAATAATCACCAAAATGGGCTAAAACAAGGTCATGGCGACAGTTTTCACAAATCAACGTAATTTTTACGCCATTTCAGTAACAATACTGCCCTAAAATAAGGTCATAACGACATTTTTCATAAATTAACGGATTTTTTCCTGACTTTCAGACAAATTCATCGACTTTTCAGCCAGTTGAATACCAGGTGAGCTTTTCAGCCATTATCAAAATGCTCATACGAGACACACGTGCCCTCAGACATAAGGACCCGGTGCCACTAGTTATAACTCATGGGAGTCATACTCGGGCTAAAATCATCGCATTTTGTTGCAGATAAGTTTTTAACCTTCTGTCAACCAATGATCAACCTGCTGGAAGGGCGAAAAAATTAAACTCGCGAAAGAAATGGGAAAGTATTTAGTGCAGAGAAACAAAGAAGAAGTGTTTCCTTTGTGGCGTATTTTACAACTAAACCTTAAATTTTAAGCATTTTGAGCTTAACATAGTGTAGTTGAAGCAACTCTAAATTCCTTATGTTACAATCTTCATGGAAATCATGTTTTTTATCGCCCTTTCTAATCAGAGATCACGCAAAACGAGAGAGACAACGCAAACTTGACGCAAAAGAGTAAAACTTGACTCAAAGTGACTCTTGACGCAAAAAGGAAGAGTCGACGCGAGACAGGAAAAGTGTTGGATGTCCGGTCAAAAGACCAAGTAGTATTATTTTTCCCAGCCATAAACAGTATCAATTTCTACCTGCGGACATTAATTTAACCTTATAATTTATTTTGAATTATGCTTTAGATGCTCAAACCATGTTTTTGCCGGTTAGTTTGGTCCTTTCTGCCCGGAGAAAGATTGTTTTAGGACGAATGCACTGTAGAGCTGAACTTACCCTTCAACCATGAGCCGATCTTGCAGATTGTTGGGAATCGGGAGCGATCCATATTGATCGCGGTAACGGCCTCAAGTTTGTACGTCTTTCTGCCAAATGTAAGTCGATTTTCTTGGTGTACTTTGATGTTTAGGGGAATGGAAATGATGTGGAAATCTGTATCATGGTCTTTTCTATCTTTTTGTTATTGTTTCATACTTGAGCGTTTTGTTTTTTTGGAGTTATAGCAGTTTCCACGAAGGAATCTTCTCTTTGACCTCCAGGATAATGTTTTTTGATCTTGCGGCGAGAACCTTTTGATTTTAAAGATGAAATGGTTAAATTTAGTTGGAATAAGGTCTTCTTCTTCTTTGCAAAACATTTTCGAATCCGGTTTAATTCAAATTTCAAAGCTACGGACCAATTTCCCATCTCCATCTAGGTTAATATAATTTTATGTGTTTTTTAAAAATTTTGTAGTTTTAGAATGCAGAAAGCATCGTTTTTAGGCCTAAGATCATAGGAAAATTATGTTTACGAATCGATGAATCGAATCGCGTCTTCAAAATATTATTATTCTTTGATTTCAGCCGCTTTTGCTCCTCTGCACATATCGAAGAGAGACCGCTGAAGTTGAGGAGCGTGGAAGGTACAAGAATCTCTACTGGAGGCATAATTCAGCAGCCGTTTGTGTTACTGTAAGAATTTGGAATAATTTCGGATATTACACTTGAGAAGGATATGGGAAAAATGTGAAAAAAACTGATATAAAATACTTTTTAATGTTTATTTTTGTTTCAGACCGACAGTAATTGTCTATACATTTATTCGGTTGCAATTTCTGCTGAAAATGAATGCTTTAACCTGGAGGACGAAAACCACGAATTCCGCAGAACTTCAAGCTTGCTGTATCTGAAAGGAAGACGGCCGGTAGTCGATGTGACTCTCTCTGTGATAGCCAAATTGGAGAGTGAACCTTCCTGGTATGCTTTTTGTTTTTTTCTTTTGATTTTAGGTGATGATGTGGAAGATTGGACAATATCTATGGAAAAATTGCTGATAATGGGGTCAAATTTGATTTTAACAGGAAGATTAGGACTTGGTCTTCCTATTGATATAAATTTTGATCTTGTGAAAGTTGATTTTTTCGCCGAAATTTTAATTTCTTCCAAGATGCATGGTTTACAAAAAAAATTTATTTTTAGTGTGACACCTCTTCGAGATGAGCTCTTTGTATGTCTAAAGGATGGCTGGGTTCATAGGATCACTTGGAGTGGCGATTTCCTCAAGGAATTATCCTTCCACATCCGATTAATTCCATTTGCTTTTGATCAAGTTGGAAGTAAAAGTGAGTCGAATTTTATTATTTTTTTTCGAATTTTAGGTATCAACCATCATTTTCATTCTCTTTCCTATCGAATAAACTTGTTATCGAACTGATTTTCAGCCGAGACTCTCCACAGCACCGAAGTTTTCATCACGGACTTTGTCTATTCCCCGTTGATTGGAGGAATTTGCATGCTGTTGAGCGATGGTCGTCCAGCGCTGCTCGTCTCCAGCAGTCAGCAGTTCAATGCAGACTCTTTAGCAGGGATTTGGGTCCAAGGAGCGAAGAATGTCACTTGCTGTGCGGCAAATCACAAGTTTCGAATGATCTACTTTGGACATGAGAGGTAAGATAAGATCGGTTTTTTTGAAGTGATGGTTGGAGTTTAGCCTGGTTTTTTGGGATGATTAGAAGGGTTAAGAAGCCCTCTTTCGAGTGGTATAAGAAGTAAAAGTATTTGGCTTTCAGCGGAGAGATTTCGGCCTATTCTTTGGACGACACCAACGGCTCTCTAATCCAAGTTTTTGTTCAAAAACTGTTTGTAAAAAATGGCACTCAGTTCCTGGACCAGGTCGGTCCTGTCAAGCAGATTGAATGTCTAAGTCAAGGAGGTGTTACTGCGGTCATTTGGGAGAAAAATAAAGCAAAATCAGGTAAATTTTGAGATTTTTTGAAGATTTTTCGAGTTTTAGGCACATGAACTTATGAAATCTTGGTAAATTGGACTTGGTTTGATCTCAAAATTTAAATAAAATTTCAGACGCCCGTTGCCCTCCCGTCCTCGCCCTCTTCAGCCCCTTTGGCGCTCAATGGTGGACCAGCTTGGAGGATGTTTTGGCCGACAGTTACTCGGAAGACTCATATTCATGTATAGAATGGGGTGTAGAAGGACATCAGTTATGGCTGGGCCTCGAGAAAAGTGTTTTTGTCATGAATATTGTCCATTCACAACCGGATTCGGCAGATCGGATAGTCCTGTTGGGTAATGATAAGGTATATTTAAGTCCGAAAAGATGTCACCAACCGAAGGCGTCAGCTCCACAGTTTGTTTGGCCAACCTACAGTGTCCCACATGACTATATTTCGGCTAATTGGCCGGTTAGGGTAAGAAAAAAGGGATTTTTTGGAGGTGGAGGTCATGGATAATATAATTTATGTTTTATTTGTGGGTGTTTGAGGGATATTTAGAAAAGAAAATGATTTTTGGAGTATATACAAAGGCGATAAACATCAGTTTCTTCAATTTCCAGCGGTGTTGACGACGAGGGAAACAGTTGACTCAAAATTTCAAAGTTGGGTCAAGTCTTTCTCTCCGGCTGAAAGTTGTGTAAAAAAGCAAACAATCTTATTTTGAGGATTGATTGGGTGTTTGTATGTAATTTGAAAACAAAATTGACGGAAATTTTCATTTCAGCTAGTCGGATTTGACCCAGATTGCAATAAAATTCTGGTCGTTGTGGGCTCCCGAGGATTTTGCTTTTACAACTTTAAAACTAACAAGTGGCGACTCTTCAGAAAGGAGGCTCAGGTAAGAATACACTTTATTTTTGAGTATGGAGACTATTTTAAGGCATTTTTGATTATTTTTTAAGTATTTTTTATGTTGCTTTAGCTGCGTTGACCTTATTTTTGGAATTTTCAGGAGAAAGCCTTGTTTGTGACGGGTGGAGTGACGGTTTTCGAAGATTTCATAGTCGCATGTGCCTGCGATACGAGCCAAGAGGCCGAGAATATCTACATTTTCCATCACGAAGACCAATTGGATCTGGATTCGGCGGAAAAACTTCGAACGGGACGGGTCCTTTTCATGAATTCAAAACAAAACCATTTGATCACGTTTGATGTCCAATGCCTAATCACCATATTCGGCATGAAATCGGAGCCATCTGGCGAGCGGAACAGACTGAGTTTGCAGCGAATCGCGGAGATCCGCATCAATGATCTTCTCCCACATCCAACTTGTGTGGTCTCCGTGCAATTGACCTCACTTAATTATTATAAAGGTGGGAGATACTGATGGGATAGTTGCTATAGGACCTGTAGGGAATAATGGAGCTGATGGGAGACCGGAATTTTTTTGAAATTTTGGTTTTTTTGAGAAAATGAAAATTTCGGGATCAGATGTCTAAAATAAGGTCGGAAAAGTATGTTTTGATCAAAAAATTTTGGGTTTTAGTTTTTAGATATGTTTATGAGATATTTGTAGTTACTTTATAAAAAAAATCAAAATAATTTTTTTTGAAATTTTGGTTTTTTGAGAAAATGAAAATTTTGGAACAGGTGTCTAAAATAAGGTCGGAAAAGTATATTTTGATCAAAAACTTTTGGGTTTTGGTTTTTAGATATGTTTATGAGATATTTATAGTTACTTTGTAAAAAACCCAAGATTTTTTAAGGTCATGATGACTGATTTTTTGGAAGTTTTTTGAAAAACTTGGCTTTTTTGGGGATTTTTTTTATTTTGATTTTGAAAAATTTTTTGTTTGATAGAATTTTTATATTTTTTATCGAGAAAGCCATTTGGCACGTATTTTACACTTTGATTTTCAGATGCGGCGGAATTTGGCTTCGGAATGGACGCTCTTTTGGTGAATGTGTCCGGCCATTTGCTAATGCTCTGCGCTCTGAACAAACCTCACCCAACTTCGAATGACACCAATCATTTTCAGGTAAAATACGAAGACTTGTCAGCTAATTTTAATTTTTTGGGCGAAAATTTTAAAAAAATCGAAAAAATTGTAAAAATTTTTTGAGTGATTTTTGAAAAATTTTTGTTTTTTCAGCTCCATCCTCCAATGCTGATTGCCTCAAATGTTGAAAGGACCTGGGTTCAGACCGCGCAAAGAGATATCCCGCATCTGAATAAGGCCCTTTGGATTAATGCCGGCTGCCGAAAAATGAAGGTCTGGCTGCCGTTGGCGGACCTAGATGGACCGAGAACCGACTCCAGACACTCGTTTATATCACGGTGAGTCAAGATTTGTCGGTTTTGGGAAGTTTTAGGGGAATTCAGGTTTTCGTGGTGGGACCTGAAAATTGAAAATTTTGCGGAGATTTTGTGGATGCGGTTAAAATTGGTTAGAGAAAACGTTTGGGAGAGTTAAAATTTCTTAGTGAAACCGGTTTGAACTGGATTTTTTTACTTTTTTGAGGGGTTAGTTGAAAATTTTGGGTCCCGCAGCGAAAACTTGAAAATTCCTGAAATTGTAAAATTTTGCTTTCAAATGATTTTTTATCGTCTAGAATGCTTATATTTGTAATTTTGATATATTTGTAAATATCAAAAACGTGAAATTGAAAATTTTTGGTCTCACCACGAAAACTTGGAAACTCCTGAAATTGAAAAATTTTGCTTTCCAATGATTTTATCATCGTCTAGAATGCTTATACTTAAAATTTTGGCTTCTCAAACAAGTAAAATTGCAATTTTTGGTCTCACCACGAAAACTTGAAAATTGCTGAAACTGTAAAATTTTGCTTTCCAAGTATCTTTTATGGTCTAAAATGACTTTATTTCAAATTTTTTAGTTGTATTTCCGCCGTGTTTTAGACGAATCATGCTCCCAGTTGAGACCAACACCTACCCTCTGGCCATTGATGAGGACTGCCTGGCCTGCGGCGCGGAAGCCATCGCTCTTTTACCCACCATCCCTTCGCACGCCAACGAATCCGTCCACCAATTGAGCAGAACCTCGGAGGTTTTTATGCACCGGTTGTTGAAGCAGCTGCTGAAAAGAAATCTGGGAACGTACGCGCTGCAGATCGTCTCCGCATGCCGTTGTTTGTCCTATTTTGGCCATATTTTGGAGTTGCTATTACATGATGTGCTGGAAGAAGAAGCCACCAGCTCTGAACCAATACCTGGTGAGTGTTTGTGGGGGATTTTTTGGGGACTTTGAGGGTTTTTGGAAGGGTTTTGGAGAGGTTTTGAGGTTTTTTGGGATTTTTGGAAATTTTGGGAAATTTCTTGGGATTTCAAGAGAAGTTTTGGGATTTTTGGGCGGGATATGACTCCTCATGGGATTCTAAGGGCTCTAGACTGATTTTTATTTTCTTGGGGAGACTTTTTGAGACATTTTTTTCGGATTTTTTGGGATTTTCGGGAGTTTGAGAAAAATTTTGGCATTTTTGCCCATTTTAAGGGATTTTTTGGTTGAAAAAGCATTCTAGATACGGATTAAGAAGTCTTAGGTCAGATTCTAGGCTGTTTTACTGCTGGTCATAGTTGGAAAAAAGAAAAAAAAATCAAAAAATTGGGGTTTTGGCCTTGTATGTGTAAAAAGATGAATTTTTCTCGAATTTTAGTATATAATTTTTCTATTTCAGAGCCCCTCCTCCCTCGAGTAGTCTCGTTCGTCCGAGAATTCCCGGAATACCTGAAAATTATCGTGTATTGCGCGAGAAAAACGGAACTCGCCATCAGAAACCACCTATTCACCGTAGCGCACCATCCCCGAGAATTGTTCCGAATGTGCCTCGAAGAGGAGCAATTGGAAACCGCAACTAGCTGCTTGATAGTCCTACAGAGCTTGGAAACAGCCGTGGCCAGCGTCGAATTCGCCACAACACTTTTGGACGAAGCTCTGACCAAAAGAAAATGGAAAATTGCGAGGGATATTGTCCGATTCTTGCACAGTATCGACAAGAAGGATCTTGAAGATGTACCGGAAAGCCCGTTGGGACAGAAATTGGCTGGCAAACAAACGAATAAACCCTTGTTTTTGCCCGATGATGACACCGAGGATTATGGATTGGTTTATAATTCAAGTAGTGGTAAGTTGAGGGGGAAAATGGATGTTGAGGAGGGAATTTTTGTAATGTAGAGAGAGCCAAGGGCATAAGAAGGACCGTGTAGGATTTGGATATCGAAATTTTGGCCAAATTTTAGCGGTTTTGCCGAAAATTATGTTGTAGTAGACATCAAATGAGAAAGGTTAATATATAGTAAAAGATGGATGTTGAGAACGGAATTTTTACAATGTAGAGAGAGTGAAAGGCATAAGGAGGACTTTTTTACATTTGGATATTGAAATTTTTGCCAAATTTTATCGGTTTTGCCGGGAATTATGTTGTAGTAGACATCAAATGAGAAAAGATAAAATAAATGGAGTAGAATGGTTAAAATGAACGCTTAGAGTCGTGGAATTAAACAAAGAAGACATAAAGGCGTATTTTAAGAAAAAATTATGTTTTAATTTTACGTTTAATGGGAGTTATATTACACTTGACATCAGATGGTCAAGTATAATATAAATGATGTTTGATAGATTAACTTTATGTTTTTGGTTATGGAATACCTTGAGGAGGTCAGGAAACATTGGTTGTGAAAATTTAAGACTTGTGGCTTTAGAATTTAAAAGTTTATATTACATTTGACATCAGATGGTCAAGTATAATATAAATAGGTTTTGATACAATCAATTGTTGTTTTCGGTTCTAGAACAGTCTGTGGAGGTCAGGAAATATGCGTGATGGGAGTTTAAGACTTGAATTAAGTCGAATTGGACAGTTATATTACACTTGACATCAAATGATAAAGTGTAATTTAATGGATTTGCAACGGATTGAGATTATTATTTTTTGAGTAAAACAGTAAGCTAAGACGTTCAGCTTTAGTATTGCAAAAGAAGGCGGTCGTTTTGATAATTTTTTTGTACTCAACTTTCTGATGTCAAGTGTAATATAAATTTTGCGATTTTTTTGTGATTAAAATATAAGTCTGATGTTTTTTTCGTATTTTACCTTATTCTCCCAAAGCACTAAATTTGCTTTATTATTCTCGAATTTTAGAGCACAAAACGTCAATTACAAGCCCAGCGCCACCCAGATCCGCCAAGCCATCGCTGGTTTCCCAGCCCTCATTCGGAAGCACAACCTCCCCACCCTCAACCACAGTCCCTAGGCTGATTTTGAACAGAAGCGGAAGCATACATTCCCCTCCGCCAGCACTACCGGCCCCCACAACAACTCCACCCCCATTATCGGACATGCCGGAGTTGATTTCAACGCAAGTCAACGAAATTTTGAATCATCACGCGGTCGGGTTACTACACAATTTTGGAGTCAGAGATCTAGGTGAGAATTTGAAGAGAAATTTTTTGATTTTTTGGCGGAAATTTGGAGAAATTAAAAAGAAAATGTTTTTTGAGTATAGAAAAACTCAAAAAAAAAAGTGGGGAAAGGCGTGTATCTATGGGAACTGGAATAAAAAACCTCTGTACAACGAACCCTACGCGCACAGCGGAAGTTATTCGAAAGCAAAGTACGATTGATTTAACCAAGGTTCCATGCGCTGTACAGTGGGGCCAAAGCGTAATAAAAACCTCTGTACAACGAACCCTACGCGCTGTGACAATTGGGGAACCCGAAAAGTATTATTTTTCTTCGATACAAGTGTCGAAGTTAGGATAATCGAGGATGCTGATTTCAAAAATAACTAATTTTTTTGATAGCTACTTTTTCCTTAAGTAGTACTGTAAAGTAGTAATTTTTTGATTTTTTTCATGAATACTCGATTTGAGGGATTTCGATGGTGCTGATTTCACATGAGCAAAAATGAATAGCATTTTTTGAAATCAGCACCATCGAAAACCCCTAAGGCGAGTATTTATGAAAAAAATTCAAAAAATTACTACTTTACATTACTACTGAAGGAAAAAAGTAAACATCAAAAAAATGAATGTAATTTTCGAAATCATCACCCTCGATTATCCTAATTTCGACACTTGCATCGAAAAAAATAATACCTTTCGGTTTCTCAAATCGTACTTTTCCCCAATCGTCCAACTCCGGTATCTGTGAGGTCTTTTTTGATGAAAATATGAGGCATTTTTTGATGAAAAAAAATTTTTTCAGGTTTTTTTTCCGGCCATCTGGGCTACGATCTGACCGCTTTCTTCCGCCACCCGTCCAGCAAATTCCACGCAACCCCCGAACAATTCCCCCTGATTCTGATGAAACTACACGCACAATTCAACTGGCCATACCCCATGGCCACCGAATTGGTCGTCTCGAATGGCCATGGCCCAATTGTGAGCCCATCACCGTCGTCGATTAGCATAGTAGATGAGACGTCTTCATTGTCGTCGGAGGATGTGATGACCTCACCGAATTTTGTCATGACCCCCAGAATTAATGGAGAATCTCAGCAGGACCGGATTAGGTGAGATTTGGAGGGTTTGGAGAGATTTTGAGAAAGCAGATAGGGCGCAGCTCGCGGATTTTAATTTGTGATGAAAAACGATGAAAAGTGTAAAAATTTTTATATGAGTGGAATTGGATATGATTTTTGGCTCCAATGAGATGATTTTGGAGCCATTTTGGATGACATTTTACACAAAGGTAGGGCGCAGCCTGCGATTTTTAAAATTTTGAAAACCGATGAAATTGTGAATGTTGCCGGGAAACGTGATAAGTAGAGATTGTAAAACACTATTTTCCACATTTTTATAACTTTTGTAGGGCGCAGCTCGCCAAAAATTTTTATTATTTTTACCTAAAATTTCTGATTTTTTTGAGTTTGGTTGGTTTTTTGCTACGTAATAAAGATTATTTTTTAGTCGACGAGTGGCGACCGACTTCAATCGAAAGGTTTTCGAGAAACTTTGCGAAAAATCCAAAGCCAAAGGCACAAAACAATCGGAAGATGAGATTTCATACATCCAATCAGCCATCGCCGAAGCCGATGCCATCGAATGGACCCTGTTTTTGGCCATATTGCGGCAGGATGTGGCTCCGCTGAGCAAAGTGCTACAAAGATCGGCGCAGAATTTGAACAAAATGGGGAGGTTTGTGAAAATTGCGAGGCCAGGACTGGGGAAATTGATCGAATGGTCGGAAACGAGCTGGTAAGTGGCGAGAAAAGGATTTGTGGCATGAAAGAATGACTTATGCGGGGTGTTAGTGTCATTTGAAATGGAGATTTGATGGGATTTTGAGATTTTTGGGTCGGCAGCTCGCGCCCAGGCTTTGCCATTTTTGACTGGTTTTTAAGTGATTTTTTATGGTAAGGAGAAGTTTGACAGGGCGCTGCGTATTTTACCAACTTTTTTGGAGCTTTTGGGAGATATTTTAGGTTAGCTCGGGCGCAACTCGCCGATTTTCAATCTGCCTAAATTGAGTAAAAAACTAAAAAAAAATGAAAATTGAATGTCATGAAGTTGTAATCAACAAATTTCAGCACCGCCTACACCCCCATCCTCGAATTTTTCCGCGAATTTATCGAAGTCTCACTCGATTCAAGACCCCCAAAAGCAGTGACCGTGGAACTCGCTCAAGACGCCCTAAAAACCCTCGACCTGAATGACCCTATCGTCAACGGCAATTGAACCCACCTGAGATACCAAAACTTGTGATACAAATGTAATTACCGATATATATTTATATTGTTCATATCAAGTAAAATATTCTTTGCAAAAAATTGACTGAAAATGCATTTTATTCCCCGCAAATGGGGTCATACAGCGGTTACTTTTGATGACGGAGGTTCGTCGAGGTAGAACCGCCCATTTTCTAGTTCAATTTCTTACTTTATGAGGGAAATGTTGCAAGTGTGTCATGTATAATATAAGGAATGTTTTCTATTGTGTTACTTGTTTGAGGAAACGCTTCAAGTAGGTTTTCAAAGCAGCTTGTGGCATTTTGCACTGGCTTCGAGCGGTTTCTTATCAGTATTTTTGAGTCCCATCACGAAAACAATGAATGCCAAAACTTCTTGGCATTACGTTTATTTGTCAAATTTTGTTTTCCAACCGCTTATTTCAATGTTTTTGTTTACACCCTTTCGAAATTCATCCAGTTTCTTTTTCAAATCTCGAAATCCAATAGTAAAACGGTAAATCCAGCCAAATCTTGTAAACTGATCGAGTTTAGAGCAATGTCAACGAAGAAATTGAATCGTCTCGCGCAAGAGAAGTCACCGTACCTCCTTCAACACGCAGACAACCCAGTAGACTGGTGGCCATGGGGTGAAGAGGCCTTCGAGAAGGCCAGGACTTTGAAACGGCCAATTTTTTTGTCCAGTAAGTGTGTTACACTTGATGTTTTTGACTTTTAGGTGTAAAAGAGGTGCGAGCGAGTGCAGGTGTCTAGATGTTTGGTTTAATGTGGTAGGGAGTCATTTTACGACTAAAAACAGTCATTAATTTTTATGTTATTTGCCGCTTTGCAGAATTGGGGCCAAGTTATATTATACTAGGTATGTCTACGTAAAAAGGCAGTAAGACGTCATAAGCGCTTTTTAAAGTTAAATTTTTACTGGAATAAGTTGACGTAGGACCTATTCTTGGTGAAGAGCATCAAAATTTAAGGGGGACATAAGGAAGTTGAGGTGTTTGACATCATTTTATATTAGACTTGACGTATTGATAAAAATTTGAGAAAAAATTATTCCAAAGTCAATGAAGTTGGCTGAAACTCATGTAGAAATGTAGAATAGACCATACTTAATGATAATATTTTTAGTTGGTTACTCCACATGTCATTGGTGTCACGTTATGGCCCACGAATCATTCGAGGACGAAGAAATCGCCAAATTTTTGAACGAAAACTTTATTTCCATCAAAGTGGATCGTGAAGAACGACCGGATGTGGATCGAGTCTACATGTCCTTTGTTCAAGCAATGTTGGGAAGCGGTGGATGGCCTTTGACAATCTTCTTGGCACCAAATTTGGCGCCATTTTTGGGAGGGACGTATTTTCCTCCGAAAGATTCTCCAAATCAAACTGGGCTGTTGAGCATTTTGAAGCTGGTGGACGAGAAGGTGAGTGTTTCTGTTTATTCTGTTGTTTTGAAGTTTAGGTTGATCAATTTATAGCAATTTATATTGTCCATGGCATTTGTCATGGGTAATATAGAATTGTCAGAAGATATTTGCTGTTTTAATTGGAAGTCAAGGCCCTATTTTATTACGTGAATCGAAGTTTTGTTCGAAATATGGAAATTAATAAGAGTTATGACTCATTTCATATTATCCATGGCTATTTGATGACAAAGCGAATTTTCAGATTTCCAGACATGTTTTATTAGAAGTTTTGTGTTTCTAATTGAGGAATGGGGCCTTATTTACAAGTCGCACAAGTTTTTCCAATGAGATTTAACAATTTCTCAAAGTTATGGCCCATTTTATATTATCCATGGCTATTTGGTGCCAAAGCGAATTTTTAGATTTCCAGACATGTTTTATTAGACGTTTTGTGTTTCTAATTGAGGAATGGGGCCTTATTTACAAGTCGCACAAGTTTTTCCAATGAGATTTAACAATTTCTCAAAGTTATGGCCCATTTTATATTATCCATGGCTATTTGGTGCCAAAGCGAATTTTTAAATCTTCAGGAATCTTTTATTAGATATCCCGTATTTTACATTGAAGACTGGGGCCTATTTTACAAGTCACAAAAGTTTTTCCTATGAGATTTTACAATTTCTCAAAGTTATGATCAATTTTATATTATCCATGACACTCTGATCTTTCAGTGGAAAGAAGATGCCGCTGCGACAACCAAGCAAGCTGATGTCTTGGCCGGTATCCTCAAAGAGAAGCTGAATACCAAGGGAAGTACCGTGGAAGTTGATTTCCTCAAGATTGATGAGAAATCTATCGAGCATTTCGAAAAATCCTTCGACTCCAAACATGGTGGATTTACGGTTGCGCCAAAGTTCCCAGAACCTTGTAGGTTTGGTTGAGATTTGTTGTATGGCTTATTGAAGAAGTTAGAAGAGTAATGAGAAGTGAATTTTCAGCAAATTTTGTCTTCTTATATCACTACATCACCTTCAACAAAGGGGCGGAAAAGGCGATTTTGACCGAAAAATGGGCCACAAAAACGTTGGATGCGATGAATGCCGGGGGAATTCATGATCATATTGGAGGGGTAAGTGGAAATTTTGGAAAATTAAAAAAAAAACTTAATTAAAAAATAAAAAAAAAATTTTTTGGTATTTTAGTTTTCAAAATGGTTGATTTGTGGGCAGTTTATTGTGTATATGCAAAATTTAAAGAAATTGGGACCTTACGCTTGGGGCAGCCCCCAAAAATATCGATTTTTCTCCAATTTTTCGCCTTTTTCAGGGATTCCACCGTTATTCCGTCGACCCCACCTGGCATGTCCCGCACTTCGAGAAAATGCTCTACGACCAAGCCCAACTCCTCTCGGCGTACGCGAATTTCCATCGTCTCGGGCATGAGTACGCCACCGTCATCAGAGATATCATCGGATATCTGAAGGAACGGCTCTTGTCCAAATCTGGAGGCTTTTATAGCGCCGAAGACGCGGATTCCCTGCCGAAAACGGACTCGCCGAAGAAAACGGAAGGCGCGTTTTACGTGTGGACCCGCGACGAAACGGATGAGCTGCTGGAGGACATTGCAAACGTGATCAATGAGAATATCACTTATGGAGAGCTGTTTGGGACAAGTTTTGATGTTCGAATCGAAGGAAATGTGGATAGAGTTTTTGTAAGTGGAGTGTTTTGGATTGAATTTGGGTTAGGAAGTGATTCGGAGAGTTTTGATCGACTTCCCCTGATCTTCAGGGTTTTCGTGGTGGGACCAAAAATTAAAAAAAAAAATGGCTGGAAACGTATTTTACGACGACGTTGAGTACTCTAGAGCTTATTTGGAGTATCTTTGACGTTTGATTTCAAAATTTGGCATGTTTCAGGTTTTCGTGGTGGGACCAAAAATTTTTTAAAAATGGCTGAAAACGTATTTTAAGGTAAAACAGAGTACTCTAGTGATTATTATGAGTATTGTTGACTTTTGTTTTCGAAATTTGACACTTTTCAGGTTTTCGTGGTGGGACCAAAAATTTACAAAAAACCACTAAAAACATGGTTTTATACCATTTTTGATATTTGCTTCAGCTTGTAGACATTATTTTGCCTTTATTTTTTAAACTCAGCTCAGTTCAAGTTTTCGCTGCGAGACCCAGTTTACTAAAAAAAAAGTTATAAAATTTAATTTCAGGACCCTCACAACGAGCTCAAAGGCGTCAACGTCCTCCACCGCACTCGCCCCATTGCGGACTTGGCCCAGGAATTCAAGATGTCCGAAAAAGACTACCTCTTCTGTCTTGATGAATGTAAGAAAATTCTGAAAGAACGCCGCGACCAACGACCCCGCCCCCATCGCGATAACAAAGTCATCACCTCGTGGAATTCGATGACAATCAGTGGACTTGTCGATGCCGCGAAAGCTTTGCCTGAGATCAAAAAAGAGGCCTTGGAGTTGGCGGAGAACTCTTTAAAATTCATTGAAAGCAATTTGATGGACTTGGAGAAATATGAATTACAGCGAAGTGTTTTGGTCGACGATCAAGGAGAGGTCAAGAAAAGGTGGGATTTTGGGAAATTTTAGAGAGATTTGGGAGGTTTTTTGGGTTACGGTAGGTTTAATCGACATTTTTTTGGTAGTTAAATGTAAAACTGATCATTATTTTTTGTAACCTTGACGTCTAGAGCAATTTCGTGCAGTTTTTGGCCATTTTTGAGAGACTTCAGGTTTTCGTGGTGGGACCCGATTTTTTTATTTCAGTGTCTTTTTGAGGATAAATTTGAATTTTAGACGAAACGTTTGGTTCCTAGAGCAATTCTAGCCAGTTTTCGACCGCTTTCGAGCCATTTCAGGTTTTCGTGGTGAGACCCAATTTTCATGAGTCACCGTCTTTTTGGGGATAAATTTTTATTTTAGACATAACGTGGGGTTCCTAGAGCAATTCTAGCCAGTTAACCATCGAATTTGAGGCACTTCAGGTTTTCGTGGCGGGACCCACAATTTTTGATTTTTTTCAAATTTCTTTTCTTTTTTTTATTTTTTTAGGTTGAACACGAGTAATAATGATAATCTTTTACTGTTTTCAGCAACCCCATCCCAGCAGTCGCCGATGACTACGCCAATTTGATCAAGGCCTATCTAGATTTATTCGAATTCACCCAGAAAGATGACTACTTGGTAAAGGCGATCAAATTGCAAGAAGTATTCGATAAGAAGTTCTATGACACAGAGGACAAGTCCGGATACTTTTTGAATGAGACCAATGTGAATTTGTACATGCGACCCAAAAATGGTAAGGAAATGCGGTTTTTATTGGAAAAAAGTCAAATCTTTTATCAAATTTACAGGGTGCGGCAATTTTTCGGCCGGATTTGAACTGGCTATAACTTTTTTAGTTTTTATCCGAATGTTAAAATTCTTTTTTTCCCTAAATCCTCAGACAACCCCATTTTGTTTAATACCAAATATGTTATATATACAGGGACCTAGTTCGTAGTTATTGGCCTTTCGGTCATTTTCTCTGCTTTTTCGGCGTGTGTGAAAATCGCCAGAAAAAATGACTTTTTTTACGAATTTTGTCGTAAAAAGTTTCATGCCTGTTCATGCCATGGAGAATACCGTTTCCACAAAAAATCAGCTATCTCCGCACAAAACTAGCGAAGATATAGCCAAAAAGTCTTTCTGTGTGACCACTCATGTGTCCTCCTGATCGCAAAGAATCGTTGAATATCTTGGTCGCTCCTGAAAGGTTCGGGCTGAAACTTCCAGGAATTGATGTGTGGCCTGTGTCTGGCCCATGTGCAAAATTTAAAGAAAATCTGAGAGTCGCACTAGGGCTAATTCCATTGACAGCTATGAAAATTAGTGCTTTTTCTTTGTCTCGAATTTTTACTGTAGTCTATTGAACGGGTATAACATATTTGGTATTAAACAAAATGGGGTTGTCTATGGATTCAGGGAAAAAAAGAATTTTAACATTTGCCCAAAAACTAAAAAAGTTATGGCCAATTAAAATCCGGCCGAAAAATTGCCGCACCCTGTAATGCTTTTGTTATGAAATTTTTTATGGAGCAGTAATTTATGGGCCTTATGCAAGAAGCTGAAGAAATTTTCAGTGGTTTTCGATTAGTTTTTTTCGAATTTTGGGTCCCACCACGAAAACTGGAAAGTTTGGAATTGTGACGGAAACTTGTTTTTTGGGCTTCTGGAGGGATGATTACGATGTTCTGAGGTAATTTTGGTATTCTTCGGCAATTTTTTTTTAACTTTCGGGTCCCACCACGAAAAGCTGAAACTTTGGAATTATGCCGGGGATTTGTTTTTTGGGCCTCTGGAGAGATTATTACGATCTTCTGGGGCAATTTTAATACTCTCAGGAAATTTGCTCTCAATTTTTGGGTCCCACCACGAAAACCTGAAATCTCCGAATTTGATTGGAAATCCTATCGAACGAGTTGACAAGGCCCCACGTGGCAACTATTAATGATTTCCGCGAAAATATCTATCTGAATTGCTCTAAATTTCTCGTATTTTAGAGCAAGACACCGCCGAGCCGTCCCATAACTCCGTTGCCGCCGAAAATCTCCACAGACTCCATGGGTTCGCCGGAGATGAAAAGTACAAAAAACAAGCGACAGAACTGGTCCAAGGACTCGGAGAAACGCTGAATAGAAATCCAAATGCCCTTCCGTATTTGGCATCCGTCGCTCATCGATTGGGAAAGTCCGGCACACAGGTAAGAGACAAAAAATTTTTGGTGTTACAGTAACCCAGGTGACCTGAGACTTTGAGATTTTAACGGAAATGTGTTTTTTAGACCTCAGGAAGAACATTTATATAGTTTTCCCCTAAAAATTCGAGGGTTTTCCAATTTTGGGTCCCACCACGAAAACCTGAAACTTTGATATTTTTACGGAAATGCGTTTTTTAGACCTCTGAGCTATTCATATATTTTTTTCAAGAAATCCAAACTTTTTCCAATTTTTGGTCCCACCACGAAAACCTGAAACTTTGAGATTTGACTCCAAATTTAATTCTGACTTATTTTAGGTCCTCGTGGTCACCCCAACCTTCGACGAAAATACAGAAAAGGCGCTGGAATTGATCAACCAAACTCCAATCCCCAATTCGACGTTGATCCTCCTAGAATTGGATAAAGAGTCGTATATCCGAAAAAACAACCCTCATGTGGCGGAAATGGCCGAATACATGAAGGACTGGATGGTTCAGATCTGCCAAGATGAGAGCTGTGGAATGCCAGCGCAGAATTTAAATCAACTTGAAATCCAGTTGAAGGAGTACAGAAAGTAATGGAGATGTATAGAAAATGAAGTGAAAAGTGCGACTTATAGAGTAAATTTTTTTTACTGCGGTTTGCAGTAAGAGTGCAGATTTGTGTATTTTGTTGAATAAATTTTAATATTTTTTTGCGATTGGTATTTCAATTCACTTAAGAGATCCTAGAAATTTTCACAAAGTACGTGGACTTTTTTTTGCATTTTTATTTTTCATAAAGTGAGTAGACTCATTGAAAAAGTAAAAAAAAATCATCTCAATTTGACCGGTAAACAAAATGAAAATTTATTGACGGTGAGTGGCAGCAGGCTCCAATTAGTCCCGCCGCAAAACAAGCAGGCTGGATCGAGATATAGGAGATGGAAATGGAGGAATTCAATTCAGTCCGAGAAGGAGAAAACAGTCAATTTGGGTGAGCGGAAGGAAGGCGATGGAGACAATTGGTCAGTTCGGAGTTTGATGAATAGATTCCACAGAAAACGGTGGAACTTACGAGCATCGAAGCTGGGCCTCAGCCATGAATGGAATTTTCACTTTTTAAAACCGACATCAGTTTGTCGGGAAAATAGTGAGCGCAATGTCGCTGAAGCTGAAAGCGACTTGATTTTGCAGCGACACAATTCATTTTCTCAAGTTGAAAATCTAAGCGTTTGATCGCTTTCCTTGTTGTGCCAAAATGACGCTTTTTCTCTAGTATGTCGGAAAAATAGTGAGCACAATTTCGATGCCACAATTGTGTCGCTGAAGTGAAAAACATTTTGATTTTGCAGCGACACAATTTGATTTTCTCTGCTGCGATCCGATTTTCGATGCGACAGAATGCTCATTATTTTCCCGACGTGCGGACAGAATCTATTCTTTAATTAAGGATGTCTTCTGGGGATCACAGAAGCTAATATTTTTCCTGGATTTTAGGAACAGATGGATGGGTTTCGACTATGGCCATGATATTCTTCGTTTATATTTACAGGGGAAGTACCCCAAGTGCGACGCTCAGATTTTGATGAAACTTGGCACAAATTCGGGATATTTTTTTCAAAAATATATGCGAGTATCCTAGCTCTCGCTTTGCAGAAACAACCGAGATTTTTGGATCGAAATTTGGCGAAAATTTAGGACTTTTTGCCGAACGAAAAATTTCATGACTATTTCTACAATAGAGGGTAATGTTTCCTCAAGAAATCAATTTTTTCCGCACGAAACTGGCAAAGTTATGGCCAAAAAGTGCTTTTCTCTCTGAATGCTCTCTGCGTTTAGCGTACTCTTTCGGCAGCAAAGACCGTTCAATATCTCGGCGGTACTGGCAAAGCGCGAGCTAAAACTTTCAAGGACTGATTCTTAGTTCACAACCAACGTGTATGCAAAATTTTAAAAAAATCTGAGTGCCGCACTTGGGGTACTTCCCTTGTTCAAAATTTTCATCATTTTTTTGAAATCAAATTTTTCATATTTTTTGAAGTGTTGAATGTAGTAATATAATATGTGAGTATTTCTTTACTATGCATTTTTTCAATCGCCTCTTTATTTTTGATCCCTCCGATCTATATTAATTTGGCCTTTGAGGCCTTTCCCACTCTCAAGCCTCAAGTTGACTCGAGATCAACAAAAAAGAATACGAAAAGAAAGGGAGGTGTGTGAAAATAAGCAAACGTCGGGAGGGAAAAACGTTTGGCGGCCGCCGGGGAAAACGATTGCAAAAAGTCTTTCGGGGACGGGATCATGGAAATCCGTGTTCGAATTTCCAAAAAACTTTTCTCGCTTGTCAGCTTTATGCGTCGGAAATTGATTTTTGAATACTCGTTTCTTGAGCGGCCAGCGTTTTGGCAGATGTTGGGAAAAGTTTGGCTGTGTAGGAGGTATAGAATAGTATAATATATAGTAGTCAAGGTGGTCGTATTCTTGATATTCTTTTTATACAAGGGCTGAAAGCATAGCCCTTGTCTAATCCGCGCCAAAACTTTTGACCCCCTTCTAACTCGGTCCAAAGTGTACCTATTTGGACCAAACTTGGTACATAGTCTACTGACAACCTAGTAATAAAAAATATCATAGCAGGACAAACCATACATAAGTAGACTATGTTCCAAGTTTGCTTGAAATTGGTACACTTTGGACCGAGTTAGAAGGGGGTCAAAACTTTTGGCGCGGAGTATACAAGGGCTATACTTTCAGCCCCTGTATAAAGAATTTCTGTCTATGAGGCTGTCGGTAAAATAAACCTGAACTTTGTGGCTATTATATACGTTCTTTTAGAGGAAAAGGGACGACAGGGTGGTGGGATATCAACTTTTTTATCATAAAATCAGTCTATCAGTCTGTCGGGGAAATAATGAGCACTCTATCGCATCGAAAATCGCGTCCCAGCAAAGAAAATAAATTGTGTCGCGAAAAAATCAAATTGCTTTTCATTTCAGCTTTCCGCAAAGCGACAGCGCTCATTATTTTCCCGACAGCCTCATAGAAGAGTTTTTCATTGTACAGAGGTTCATATTAGCCTAAAACGAACTCCAAGGAGCTCTGAAATTGTTTGTTATTGAAAGGTTTTTGTTCTACCATAACTTGTTGTACAGAAGTTTCACTATGACCAAAAATTCTGACCACGCAGCTTCCACTATATAGTAGAACCGCTCTAAACCCCGTATACAACAAAACTATCAGTCTGTCGGGAAAATAATGAGCACTCTGTCGCATCGAAAATCTCATCGTCGCCGAGAAAATGAATTGTGTTGCGAAAAAATCAAATTGCTTTTAACTTCAGCTATGCGATTGGCGCAGCGACATTATGCTCATTATTTTCCCGACAGACTGATTTTATACATACCAGTCCACTTGTAAAGACATTAAAGTAATTTTTTGCCTTTGCACTGTGCAGAAAACGTCCCAGCCCGAAAAAACCCATTGCATGGTGCAAAAAGCAATAGTTGCACAGTGCAAAGTGAACTTTTGTTTTTGCACCGTGCATGTCGCGAAAATCACTCCAGCGACTTGCTGGACGGACTACAACGATAAACAGTTCTAAAGAGGCTCACTTTGCCCTAAAATCGCATTTGAGACCTCTGAAATCTCTTGTTATCGATAGGCTTTTATGTATATAATATAAAAGCTGAAATGAACAGTAACGGACCTGATCCATTGGCAAAAAAACGTACCACTTTGGATTTGGGAAGTATCAAAAATGCAGCAAAATACCTCCCTCTCCAAGTGAAATTTCAAAAGCGCGCCCGCTCTGTTTGTGAGGGAAAGGGCGCGCATTTCAAAACGGAGTTTTTTTTTAATTGTAGTGGGAGGTATTTTGCCACATTTTTGATACTTCCCAGATCCAAAGTGGTACGTTTTTTTGCCAATGGATCAGGTCGCTCACTGTACATTTCAGCTTTTATACATCAAAACCTATCTAAAACAAGGAATTTCAGAAATCTCATGGGCGATTTCAATAGGGCAAATTGAGTCTCTATAGGGCTGTTTATCGTTATAGTACGTCCGGCAAGTCGCTGGAGTGATTTTCGCAACATGCACGATGAAAAAAATGAAAGTTCACTTTGCACTGTGCAATTTCTTACTTTTGCACAGTGCACTAGGATCTTTCAGGCTCGGACGTTTTCTGCACAGTGCAAAGGAGAAAAATAACTTCAGCGACTTTACAAATAGACTGGTATGTATAAAATCAGTCTGTCGGGAAAATTATACGTTTTTTGCTGTTGGATCAGGTGCCTCACTGTATAAAAGCAGAACTGTACTTAGATTTCCCGGCTGGAAAGGTTTGACAAGACTATTATCTCGTTGCTTCTTTCACCTTTTTTACCATTTCTCAAAAAAATCCATTTTTCCATTTTTCGATTAATTTTAATCCCGGAAATGCTCCTGACTTTACAAATTCCCTAAAAACAAAATTGAAAAATTATCTTGAAATTCCCAGCGAAAATTTGGCCCACAATTAATTGCCCCCAAACGAACACATGCCGACATTTCGTTCTCTGGGATTCCGAACAGAAGGCCCGTTAATTAAAACCGTTCCTATTTGCCGAGCCCTGCGGGCAATAATTAATTTATCATCTCAATATTTCCATGGCCATGCCTTCGGCATCATAAACCCAAAGGTTGTTTTATTTGTAGTATCTTTCGCGTCCGTTCCCCGGAAAGCCCTCAGGGCCTCTCTTTACTACGCTTCTTGACAGTTGTTTTGTTTTCTCGCTTCTCTCTTTTCCCGTGCCCGCGGCCCCACGGCACTGAAAGCGGCCCCGTTCCGCGGCTTGCGGGCTTGTTTTTTCGCCGGCTTGAAGGCTACAGAATATTGTATTACAAGAAGGTGAGGAGTGGGATGACGGGGAAGAGGGGGAGATTGGAGGACTTCAAAGTGCCAAACCGTTTCAGCACTTGGTTTGAGGAGAGGCCTGGGGGTAAATACATGGATTTTTGGCTTTGTTTTTTTTTCAAATTGAATGGTATTTCATTGGAGATGGTAAAATTATGAGAGAAAATATAAAATTTTCCTTTTTTTTATAAGCTATCAGTCTGTCGGGAAAATAATGAGCACAATTTCGCTGTGCCAATTGCGTCGCGGAAGTGAAAAAAAACCTCATTTTTACAATTTATTTTCTCGGCGGGGATATTATTTTCGTTGCGACAGAGTGCTCATTATTTTCCCGACAGATTGAGAGACAGGTTTTATGATAAAAAAAACTTGATATCCCATCACCCTGTCCTTCTTTTTTCTTCCAAAAGAACGTCAATAATAGCCAAAAAGTTCAGGTTTATCTGCTCAATAACGATCTCTCTTTATTAGCCGTCTGGAGGCCGAAAATTTCTTGAACAGTCATGAAAACTTTTCTCGCTAAAATAAAGCTATAGCTAGCTATTATTTTTAACTAGTCTTTCCATAAAGCGCGTAGAATTTTCATCGCTAATTGTAAGCAAAAAATCCATCTTGTTTTATTAAAACAGCTTTTTTGTAAGGGTCGAGCTAGCTGTGCACATGAAACAGGATGTCGCAGCAGAGCCGTGAAACAGTAACCATAGCTTTCCCTAATCACGAATATTACATTTCAGAAAAAATTTTTTTGATTATTGGCCTACTGTAGGTGTACTGTAGCTTTCCCACATTTCCAGGATCTCAGCTACAAGAGGTCGGGTTGTATCCGGACCTTCTCTGAATCATAGAATGGACAATTCTAAGTACACCTACAGTAGGCCAATAATCAAAAAATTTTTTTTGAAATTTAACACTCGTGTTTAGGGAAACCTATGGTTACTGTTTCACGGCTCTGCTGCGACATCCTGTTTCATGTGCACAAGGCAAATCTGAAAGCTCGAGTCTTTCGCAAAACCTGTTTTAATAAATCTACAGTCTAGACGCGCACTAATAATTACATTACTGTTCGCAATTGCTTTTCCTTTGTCTCCTTGACTTTTTTGAAAAGTTCAAAAGACTATGCAGCAACTTCGTTTGTATCAAATTTCTTCGAAACTTTTTTCTCTCACCGCAAACCTCAAAGAATACGGGTAACTTCTTCCTCTTCTAATCAGTGCAAACCTCAATTTGCAATATCGCCATCTCCCGAAGTGTGCAAAAAATTTCAGGGAAATCAGGAAAATCTAGGCGTCGCGTTTGGAGTACTTCTCTGTTAGTCTCTCTGCAACAAACGATAAAGGGGCACAAAAAATTCGCTGTGAAAAAGTTTGTATTTTCGTCTAACATTGGCTCTTTGGTTAGTAAAAATATATATATGTATGTCGACTTGGGTTAGTTATATTAGGTTTATTTATATATTATAACCTCAACCCAGAGATATGGACTCGGACGCGACCGTCCGGCTTTCTCACTTATTCAATCCTCCTTTGATCCGGTCCTCGATCTTGCCAGATCGAGGTGGGCGGAGTTTAGACTTGGGATTACAATGGTAGAGAGATATTGTACATTCATATCAGACCGTTAGAGAATCTCACAGGTTCACCGTTTCAATTCTTCGTTATAAACAAGCTCTGTTGTACAGAAATGAAGTCCTAGTATAATGTCAATCTGTCAGGAAAATAATGAACACTATGTCAAACCTGTCAATAACAAAGAATTTCAGAGCTCCTTGAAGTCCATTTTAAGTCAAAATGAACCTCTGTAAAATGAAACCCTTTTATGAGGCTGTCGGGAAAATAATGAACACATTTTCGCTGCCCCGACAGCGTCGCTGAAGCGAAAAGCAATTTGATTTCGCCGCGACAAAATTCATTTTCTCGGCGGCGATGCGATTTTCGCTGCGACAGATTGCTCATTCTTTTCCCGACAGACCGACAGTAATCTTTGAACAGTAGCCTAAACCTCTCTATAATAATTTTCCATGCATCAAACCCCCCGCTTGAGGCGAATAAATCTCCTTTTCTTGCTCTGTGCGCGGCCGAAAAAGAGAGCGAAAGAGCGCGCCTCGAAGAAAATGTATAAAAAAGCACGCGGCCCCCGTCCAATTCTTCATGCCCGCAGGGCTTAATGCCCAAAAAATCCGCCGCAAGATTTCGGATGGGGTTGTTTTTTCGGGTGGAGTAATGTTGTTTAATGCAATCCCGAATATTTACATTGTGTTTTGCGCGTCCAAATCTGACAAGTCATGTGGTTTTTGGGAATGAGAAAGCATATGGCTAAAGAGATATCGGGAAAATGCGGTTTACAACATGCATTTGAGTGCTCGGGCTCTCGTCTAAATGGGTGTGGGAGAGGTTTTTAGACTTGTTGTTCAAATTTTTAAACCTTTTTTTTGACTATCTGGCATAAATTTGGGAATGAAAATCGAATGAAAATCTAGTTTAAATACCTTTTAAAGGCCTTGTAAGAGTAACAAGGAGCGGTCATAGAAAAATTTTTCAGAGAATCTGAGATATTTTACTTAGGAAACAGAGAAAGGAGAGCTAGAAACCCTTGAAGAACGAGCTTCGTACAACGAAGTCTGACCATAACGAATGGTTTTGAAGGTTTCTGGACCAACAGGGGAAGTACCGCAAGTGCGACGACCAGATTTTGATGAAACTTGGAACAAATTTAGAATACTTTTTTCTAATACATATATGAGACTTCTAGTTTGCGCTTTGCAGAAACGACCGAGATTTTTAGACCAAAAGTTTTCCAAAAAAGACGATTTTTTTCGAATTTCGCCATTAAAAGTTTCAAGCTTGTCTCTACTATAGAGAGTAATGTCTCCACAAAAAATCAATTTTCTCCGTGCGAAATTGGCAAAGATATGGCCAAAAAAGCGTTTTTGTCTGTGAGCGCCCTCCGCTTTGCAGAAACGACCGAGATTTTTAGGTCAAAAGCTGGCAAAAATGCGATAATTTTACAAATTTTACATAATTTTACAAACTTTTGTTAGACCAAAAGTTTTCCAAAAATGACAAAAAAATTTTTTTTCGAATTTTTTCACAAAAAATTTCATGCCTATTTCTACCATAAAGAGTAATGTTTCCACAAAAAATTAATTTTTTCCGCGCAAAACTAGCAAAGAATATCGCCAAAAAGTGTTTTTCTCTCTGACCGTTTCGCGTTCTCTCTCGGCCCCAAAGATCGTTGAATATCTCGGCGGCGCTTGCAAAGCGTGAGCAAAAACTTTCACGAATTGATATATGACTTATGTACAAGTTGTGTGCAAAATTTTAGAAAAATCTGAGCGTCGCACTTTGAGCACTTCCCTTTCTAAATTTACCTACTTTTTTCTGTAACTTGGCGCTAAATTCACTAAATTTTGTAGCCTATTATTCCATGACACTTCGACCAGCACATATTTGTCATTGTTTATTCAACCAACGTTTATAAATAACAGTTATTTGTCATCTACAAACGCTAATTCATCTCGTGCAATCATTTTATTTTTATGTAAAATTTGGGATAAGCTCGATTTTAGCGTCGAATCCTCAGCCTTGGACATCCGCCGGGGGTTTGTAAACAACGAAAGGAGAAGGCCAGATCCCGGATTGAACAAATAAAATCAAACAACATGATAAACATTTGGCTTTGCCTCTTTTTGAGTGCACTTTTTTGCTTCCAGTAAGTGACTTTTATTGGAAAAGTTTGATTTTTTTGGCCATTCTTTTAAATAACATGCCTCAAGATATCCTAGGCTTTATATGTGCCTCGGGACTTACAAATCTTTGTATGTCTACAAAATGTGTCACGATGACACCGGTCTAAAATGTGCCGGTGGAATAAACAGTAGCTTTATATGGCTATGAGTACTCTCTTTCTCGCTGCAAAAAAAATCGTAAAAATTCAGAAAATCCGTCATCCAAAAATTTTAAAAGCTTTGAATTTTTTTATAACTACTCTACGAAGTAGTTCTAGCCATATACAGCCATTTTTTATACCGCTGAAACATTTTTAAGTGGTGTCATCATGACACATTTTCTGGACACACAAAGATTTATTAGTTCCGAGCCATACATAGCTCAAAAATCCATTCAAAAAAATATTTCAGAGCAGAAGCACACGCCTCATATGACAAAGTTCAACGGACCAGACAGATTGCCACAGAAAGTCAGATTGTGAATCGACTGTTCAGCGGCGACTATCAAGCATCAGCGAGACCGCCGGCTCGAGGTAATTAAGAGTTTTTAAAATACGATAAACGACATAAAGGCGGTATACCGCCTTTATGTCGTCCGCGGTATGAATGCAAATCGGTGTACGAAAAGAACTTGATTTTTCCGCGACACAATTCATTTTGATGCGATTTCCGATGCGACAGAGTGCTCATTATTTTCCCGACAGACTGATAGTGCTGTCTGGCATCCTGTAACTGGGTTTCCGCTCAGATTTTGATGAAACTTGGCACAAGTTTAGAATAATTTTTTTTTTTTTTTTTATATATGCGAGAATCATAACTCGCGCTTTGCAGAAACAACCGAGATTTTTAGATCGAAAGTCGGCGAAAATGTAGGACTTTTTGCCGAATTTCGGTACGAAAATTTTCATGCCTATTTCGACCGTAAAGGATAATGTTTCTACAAAAAATCAAATTTTTTCGCACGAAACTGCCAAAGTTATGCCAAAAAGTGCTTTTCTCTCTGACCGCTCTCCACGTTTAGCGTGCTCTCTCGGCGGCAAAAATCGTTCGATATCTCGGCGGCGCCCGCAAAGCGCGGGCTAAAACTTTCAGGAATTGATATATAGTCCATACACGACGTGTGTGCAAAATTTTGAGAAAATCTGAGCGTCGCACTTGGAGTAGTGGAAAGAGCTTCAAATCGTTTGCGATTGACAGGCTTGTTGCATCGAAGTTCGTTTTTCAGAGGTTTACAGCGGTTTCTATAGTTGCCCTACCTCATTTTTTTCTAGTTTCTCCCTAAAGGTGTATTTATACCGTGAAGGGTACTAGTCCATTACTAGTACGAGCAATAACAGCTCTCAAAACAATAATTATGATTTTCAGAATCAGTGGATCACGCCACAATTGTGGTCATCACCTCCATTCACATCAACCGCGTCTCGTGGAAGACCTACACAGCGGTATGTTTTAAATTTATCATTATTTATTTCTCTCCTTTCAGGAAGTCGATCTCTATCTGCGCCAACAATGGGAGGACAATCGGCTAAAATACGACGTGGATGTGCGCGAGCAGATCGAAGAGATTGTGATTCCGGCCGACAAGAAGGTGTGGATGCCGGACACCTACTTCGGAACGGCCAAAGAGCTGACTACCGCGGGCAGTGACAAATACAGAGTTGTTGTCGAGCCTAGTGGATATGTCCGATCCAGCGAGCAGTAGGTTAAAGCGGGTTTTTAAAATACGCCAAAATAAATGATTCTGGAATTTTTTTTCCTTTGTTACTGTAAAAGAAAATCAAAAAAAATATATATTTTTTTTTTTAAATTTGATGAAATTTTTTCAGAAAAGTCATCGAAGTCGTGGTGGAGAACAGCATCGCCTATCCATTCCACAACACCAAGTCTTTCCGGATCCGGCTGGCTTCTTGTAAGTTCAGAAAATTTGAGAAAGTTGAGAACATACTTTACCCCAAAAATCATTTTTAGGATACTGCATTAGAAAAAAATTCATTCACCTTTACTATTCGTTGTCTCCGTCCACGCACTATCGGTTGACAAAAAGATTTTATAATAGATAGCAAAATTCTTTCAGACGAATTTTTGGAATGCTAAATTGGTCCTAAAGAATCAAGAGAAATTTAGAATTTTGTGCCCAGAAAGCAAGGTTTTGTCCAGGCAGCCAAAAAAAAACAGTGAAAAATTTTCTTCAAATACGTCGCACATTTTCCTCGAAGAATTGTATAGCTCACTCTTTACAACAGGAACTGTTATATGAACAGTTTTATACATGATTATATAGATAAGATATGGACGGCCGGTTATAGCCAGAGATTGCCACGGCTCCGGAGCCGGCTTTTGGCTCCGGCTCTGAGCGGCTCCGGCTCCGAGCCGGAGGCCAGAGCCGGAGCCGGAAATTTTGGGGTCGGCTCCGGCTCCCGAGCCCAAAGTCGGAGCCAGGCTTCCCAGCGGTCAGAAAAGTAAAAATTTCGTGATCTTGTTAAACCAAATTGCTTGAAAAACACTGCGGAGGATGTGACTTGACTGCAAAAACGTTGGCTGTATGATCTATGGCACTAATAACTTTTATTTTTGGAAAAATATTTTTAAAAAAACATTTTGCATAGGAGCCGGGATTCGGAGCCGGAGGCCTTTTTAAATTTTGCACGGAGCCAAGAGCCGGAGCCGGAGCTGCAAATTTGGCCTCGGCTCCGGCTCTGGGGGCTAAGAGCCGGAGCCGACATTTTGACCGTGGCAATTAATAATTATAGCATTGTTTTTCAGAGGCGTAGTTGACCCAAAATTCAAAATTTTACCTTGCTTCCCCTTTTCCATCTTTTCTTCGACTTGCCGGATACCCGTCATGTGTCCCCCCTAGCCCTGTCTTGCCATGCTTGCTATTCGCTTAATTCTGCCTAGAAATAGATGGCGACTCTAAATTTCATGCTGGCGAAAAAATTCTACGATCTTTATTACTCTAGGAGTAATTCTAGTCACGACAAACCGGCTCAAAAATTTTTTGGGTAAGATTAAAGATTTCACTAACAGGGGAAGTACTCCAAGTGCGACGCTCAGATTTCCTTTAAATTTTGCACACACGTCGGGTATAGACTAAATATCAATTCCTGAAGGTTTTAGCTCGCGCGTTGCGGGCGTCGCCGAGATATCGAACGATTTTTGCAGCCGAGAGAGCACGCTAAACGTGGAGAGCGGTCAGAGAGAAAACACCTTTTTGGCCATAACTTTGACAGTTTCGTGCGGAAAAATTTGATTTTTTGTAGAAACATTATCCTTTACGGTAGAAATAGGCATAAAACTTTTCGAGTCAAAATTCGGCAAGAAGTCCTAAATTTTGGCCGACTTTTGATTTAAAATCTCGGTTGTTTCTGCAAAGCGCGAGCTAGAATTCTCTGTCATCGTCTTCTGAAGACTTGATTTTCTAACCCCGTGTCATTATCCTTTCCGTATTTTACCCCTTCTTTACCACAGGCAGTTCTCTATTTTTTCAGACAACTACCCCATTACCGACGTGGTGTACATGTGGGCGAACGCTCCACCCAAGATAGTTCCGGTTGAGGTTTCCAAGGAGCTTTTGGACGGCGATGGATACGTCCTGAAGGACGCGTATGTGGGAGAGTGCGTTGGAAATTACACGGTCGGGATTTACTCCTGCATCGATGTTGTGGTGACATTCACCGGGTCGGCGGCTGCTCCCATTTTCCAGCTGCTGGGACCCTCGATTTTGCTGGTAAGCAAAAATTAGAGTCTTTATCATAAAATGAGACTTGTTATTCTATTGTTTGGATAGTAGGATTCTAAAATACGATGTGTGAAACTCTCTGGTTTTAGGTGATCTTCTCATGGCTTCACTTCTGGATCCACGGCTCATGGTCGGTACCTCGAACAATCAGTTCCACTGTGCCTTTCATCCTCTTCACTGTGCTCATTGTGAGTTGTTGCATTGTAAAATACGGGGCACTTACTTTTCACTCTTTTCTGAAAAAAGAATTTGCGATTTTTTTTGGCTATTTTGCTAACTTTTTTCTTGTTTTTAAAACTTAAAAATACCATGTAAAAAAATAAAATTAGCTCACGATGTATAAAGCTTTAAAAAGCGGTTATTTCTGAAAAATTTTGAATTTCTTCAAATTTTTCGAACCTATCCTACATGTCAAACAAACAAACTTCTGAAAATTTTTGTTCATACTTTCCAAGAGGAACCAAGATATTCATGAATCTTTTCTTTTGTGATCTTTTTTTCTTTAACGACCTCGAGAGAGTACATGAAATGCGGAGAGCGGTCAGAGAGAAACACTTTTTGGACATATCTCGGCCAGTTTTGTACGGAAAAAATTGATTTTTTGTGGAAACATTATCCTTTACGGTAGAAATAGGTGCGAAATTTTTCATGTCAAAATTCACAAAAAAATGTGTCAAATTTTTGCCAACTTTTGATCTAAAATTCTCGGTGGTTTCTGGAAATCGCTAGGAGTCTCTGATATGTCTTACAAAAAATTATTCTAAATTTGGGCCAAGTTTTGATAAAAATCTGAGCGTCGCACTTGGGGTACCTCCCAATAAAACAAAAAAAATTTTTTTAAAATTTAAAAAATTTTCAGAAAATTAAAAAAAAATTTAATTCCATTTTCACTTTCCAGATCTTCTACCCCCAGCCCCATCTCGGCCGCACCGGCATCGGCGCCACTCAGGTTTGGCTGATCTTCTGCGCAGCCATTACGTTCGCCTCGTTGGTCGAGTATTTCCTCGTGATTTGCACCGGCGCCGGCTCCACGAAACGCGCCAAATACGCGCCTCCGCAAACGCTCGAGAAGACCCCGCTCACCGAGGTGGAGATTCAGAGCGAAAGCCGCCGCGGCAACTATCAGGCCACCAGCAATTTGGACATCATTGCCAGAATCATCTTCCCCATCATCTTCATCATCTTTGTCATCATCTTCCTCATCTTCTATCTCATTTGAGGCGGAGATTTGTCGAATTTTTTTCGATTTTTTTTGTATTGAATCAGGTTATTAAAGTGTAAAAATGTAGAGGGATGAGTGGATAATGGCTCAAAAAACGGCTACAGAAGTCTGGCTTCGTATTCAAAAAAAAAAAAAAAAAAAAAAAAAATGAATGTCCCCGAATAGTTCTTGCACAGCCTTCCTATCTTATCCGTATTTATTTTCCACCCGTAAAATACACATAGAATGAAAGTAATCGCAAAATTACATTTACAGAGAGACGGAAAGTTTGGGGTATGGCAATGTTACAAGTATTGGAGTGGACTGTTCATTTCGATTCAATAGAAAATGATAGTCGTTTGGCACAAAAATTGAGGTTTTATTTTTCGGCGTAAAAGTTTTTGGCAAAGTCGAGAAACTTGTAAATCTCCATATGTCCAGAAAATATAATATGTCATGATGACACCTGTTTAAACTATGTCTGTGGTATAAACAATGGCTGTATATGGCTAGGAGTACTCCCTAGAATAGACATAAAAGAATTTATGCAATTTGGATGACGGATTTTCTAGATTTTCCGCAACGAGCGTCTAGAAAATATGTCATGATGACACCCGTTTAAAATGCCCAGTAGTAGAAAAATGGCTGTATATGGCTAGGAGAACTCTCTAGAGCATGTCAAAAAAATTTCAGAGATTTCCGGGTGTTTGCCGCGGAAAAAATCCAGAAAATCCGTCATCCAAACCGCGCATCGCAAAAGTTGCGCACCTAAATTATTTTATTGATACTCTAGGAAGTACTCCTAGCCGAATACAGTTGTTGTTTATACCACTTCCATATTTTTAACGGGTGTCATCGTGACATATTTCCTAGACTAGTGGCGCAACATCTAGAAAATCGTCATCCAAATTGCATAAATTTTTTATATGTACTCTAGGGAGCACTCCTAGCCATATACAGCCGTTGTTTATACCACTGTCACATTTTTTACGGGTGTCATCATGACATATTTTCTGGACACACAGAGATTTACATGTTCCAAGGGTTACATAAATACATTCTCCCTTTGATCATAAATCAAAGGGAGACGTGTTACATGATAAGCTCAGAGGACTAATTAAAATTATTACGTAAATAGACATCGTATACTATTACGTAACATCCCGATTACCGCTATCGAACATGACGTCATACAATCTTCATTTTCTTGAGCGGCGAGTCGATTTGCGGCAATTTTGGCGATGACTTGATTGGCGTGTTGGGTTTTTCACTTGGAAGTTTCGCCGGCAAGCTTTGCCGGCGTTTCGCAATCTCCTCCAGATACGGCTTTGCTTCGTTTTTCAGTAAACACATTTTTTTGACCCGTCCGATCACCATAGCTTCCTTATACTTTGGCAAAATTCGCTCAATGTGGACGTAGAGTTGACCGGTGGAAAGGCGCTGAGGTGGCGACTGAAAACACAGGATATATTATATTATATTATATTTATGCAGTACAATAGGACCCCGTACAACCAAAGCTGGACGGTCAATTTCAGTGGTATAACGGGAGTTGATATTTATTCTAACAGTGGAAGTATGCGACCCTCAAATTTTGATGAAACTTGGCAAGATTTGAAACAATTTTTTTTTCTAAAGAATATGCGACTCGCGCTTTGCAGAAACGACTTTGATTTTTAGGTCAAAAGTTAACAAAAAATGTCAATTTTTTTTTGCGAATTGAGGATCGCGAGCCAAAAACTAATCTGCAGAAAATCTAACAATTTTTAAGCTTTTTACCCTCTGTAAAATGGGCTCCCTCCATCTACAAACGCGTTCGCAAAGACAATTTTCGTTCTTTTATATAAGCCAGAGATATGTCGCAATAAGGTGTTGCATAATATTGCGCTCCAAGCTTACATTATTAATTTTCTCTTTGAGCCAGACGGACGGACTCGCTTTGACCACCGGTTTCAACGTCAGCCCTTGCGACGTGGAAGGCAGTTGTTGTTGGACCGCCACTCCCGAGTTCTGAGCCATACCCGAAATTGACTGAAAATGGAAAAAATAAAACAAATTTCTATTGATATACGAAATGGCTGACATTTTAAAATACGAGCAGGAACTTTTGAATATTTATAGCTAGCGTTTTGCTGGAATAATCGTGATTTTTTGATGAGAAATTGGTAAAAATTTAGGGGTTTCTTGTGATTCTTTGGTATGGCAAAATAAAACACTGTTAAAATCAAAGAGCACGATATTTTTATTTCCACAAAAAATAATCGTTTTCCAAGCGAATTAAAAGGTTTCAGCAAAAAACTTTTTTTTTCTGACCAACTCTCCTCATTTGACGTACTCTCTCGCAAAAAAGGTTAAATACCTATGCCTCATTTGTCAAGCAACAGCTAAAACTTTCAGCAATCAATATATAGATTACATAGACTAACTATGCGAAATTTCAAAGCTATTGAAAGATTTCATTTGAGGTACCCTTTAAAAAATCAAAAAAATCAACTTTTTGGTGGAGATGGTCACAAAAATCGTTGAATATCTCAGCGCCTCTTGCCAAGCAAAAGCTAAATTTTTCAGTAATCAATGTATAGACTACATAGACTATCTATGCAAAATGTCAAGGCAATCGAGGAATTTCATTTGAGGTACCATTTATAAAATCAAAAAAACACATTTTTGATGGTGATATTCAGAAAAATCGTTGAATATCTCGACTTATCTTCAAAATAAAAAGCTAAATTTTTTGAAAATGCAAAACTAGACTCTACTGAGTAATCAAACAAAATTTTGGACAAATTTTATTTTCCGGATTTCGAGTAATCCCCTCCAATTTCCAATTCGAAGATCCCCCTCGCAACCGCAATAAACTCAAAGGAAACGTCCGGCTCCTCTCTTAACTGGAGGTCATTTGGGCCTCTGACAATAAACACAGACCCTCCATAGGTTATAACGCGAATTATCGGAGTCGTGAATAAGACGAGGGAATCGCAAAAATGGCGCGTAAAAATGGGCGCTTTTCTCGATGCGAAATGGCGCTCAAAACACGCGTCACTCTCGAAAAGCCGCCACGATTTCACGACAACACCGTCTTATCGCCGCCCGACCTCATTGAGTCCACATATGCTAATGAAAAAATTTGCATATTGCACTGTGCAAAAAAATATTTTTGAAAATCACAAAATTAGTTTATAAAAACAAAGCAAAATTTTGTAGGAAGACACTATGAACCCATCACGTCACAATTGTCAGTTTTTTTGACCGATTTTTTAGAAGAAAAAATTGTGTTGCACTGTGCATAGAAATTTTCCGAATCCACCGAAAAAGTTTTAATATCTCCTCAATTCATTTGCATTTAAATTCAAAATACAAGTTACATGCCTATCAAAACATTACCCCGAGGGCGCCAGCCAATTCCGGTATTGCATCAGTTACTGTAACAAAAAATAAATTTATTCATCGCACTGTGCAAAAACAAATTCTTAATTTCTCAAAATTTAGAATTCAAAGGTAACATTAACCAATAAAAAAATCTTTATCGCACTCTGCCCATCATTTCTAACAAATTTGTTTTGATCGTAATCAAATTTCCGCCCTTTTGTGACATTCCGCCGCAATCGATAATTCTTGTGACATTTCGTCCAATTCGTGGAAATTCCCGCTTGAAAATGTTTTTTTATCAAAAAAGCGATCGTTCTGAATGTCTTGTGATTTTTTGGCTACAGAAACCACAAATTGTCTCATAAATTTTTTGATCCGACGTGATTTATCTTATTTTATCTTATCTGCGCCTTCTAAATTAATGTTTTCGCTTCTATTTCAGGTTTTTAGCCATGAATGGAAATACCATCTTCTCAAAAGAGACGCTGAAGGATCTCCCCTTCTGGCGGGCTGTTATTGGACAGCACAAAGATAAGCGGAAGGTTCTGAACCGACTGACCACGGATATCCATGAGGTTAATGGGAAGATCGAGTTGAACAAACTTGCATTGATTTATTACCATCGTTATAATGAGGTTCTGAGTGTCAATGAGGTATGCTGCAGCTATTTATTGTTTGTTTTTAGGAATTCATCACGAATCTGACGATATTATTTTAGTCTTGGAGTAACTACCTAAATTAATATTTTCGTGTGTAATGTCCACGATTTCCTGAACACTTTCGGTATAAAATCTTGCGATGAGGCATACAGATTGTGTGGAAATGCGATTCAGACTTTTTCTTTGCCGTGAGACCTCTAAAATTGATCAGTCTTCTATCTAAAGTAATATAATTTCAAAGAGGGGAAATAAAATTCAAAAATGTTGATGGAATTAGAAACTGATTTCGTCTTATATAAAGCCTAAAGTATATTTTATTTTCAGCTCAATTATTGCCTTGGATTGAACGAAAATTGCGTGGTCGATTGCCTTCGGCAATGCAAGGGCGTTTTTCGAGTCCGAATCAGCGAGCAATTAGTTGAAATCAAGTTGGAGAGCCTTCCGGTCCCTGACGGACCTTGTTGTCTTGTGGTAAGCCTTTTTCGTTTTATTTTTTTCGTTTTTAGACTCACTTGGATATCAGATGTCTAGTGTAATATAAAAAGTTTTGATGAATCTCAAACTTTATCTACAATTGGTTAAAGCAACTTTCTTTCATCCCAAAATCTTTCAGCAAGTCACCGAGAAGCTTCTAGAACAGCAAGCACACTGGGAATTTCAAAAATTGTGCGCTCTGAAGCATGATTTGGGTCAAGGCGCTCGTTTTCAAGTTGAATATGACAAAATCAAGAAATCAATGAACTTGGATCCTGACCTGGACAATGACGCAGTAGTTGACTACATTGAGAACGTTTTTCAAGGGTTTTACAAAATCGAATTTCCAACTCAAGAGCAGTTCTTCAAAATGCAAGAATTGGTAAGAATTTTTGAATTATTTCTTGGATTTTAGGTACATTGAAGAGGTAATTGACAGCGAGAATGGGATTTTTAAACGTTTTAGCGGTCGAGACTAACTTCCAATTTAGTTGCCGACCTTTTTTTCAAAAATTGGCTCAAAAATCTGGTTTTTTTGAATTTTCTCTTCAAAAATTCTTGATAAGTTTGCAACAAATGCCAAATTCAAAGCTCAAATGCCCTATTATTTCTAACTAAACCAAAATTACATACGTGTTTCACCATTAACCATAATTTTCGACCTTATTTTAGTCACTTCCTCCATACCTTAAGCCCGAACGGGAAATTTTCCGGAATCTCAAGGCCTCTCGGCAATATGAATCTTGTTTCATATCACAGAAATTCCTCAGGGTTACGTTGGTCAGCACTGGAGACTTCAGAAGGCCAATTTTGGTTCAGCAAAAATCGGAAAAGGTCAAAAAGGATCTGGAAGAAATTATGAGGTAAGTTTGGGATTTTTTGGAAAATTTTTGTGGGTTTTTGGGTAAATTAAGGTAGGATTGGACGGAATATATGCTCTATGGTGATTGAAACGTATTTTAAAAATTTTTGACAATTTTTTTTTTCGATTTTTTTTCTAAATTTTTTTAAAATTTTTATCCCATAATCTTTCCAGAAAGGCATTTGGCTACATAAACGAGCTCAAAGCGAATCCCGTTTATCTCCCCAGAGAACAATATTGCTGCCTTTTGATCGACGAAACCGTAAATACAAAGGTTCGTCGAGTTCAGATCCTCAGACCCCTGTTTAATCGTCTTCTCTGCCTCGATGTGGACAGTGGAGAGTTTTTGAAGGCATTTATTCATGAGCTTTTCGAAGCACCGCCCGACTTTTTTACCATTCCAAGATTGGTGGAACCAATGGTTTTTGTAGACGATCAGCGTGGAAGAAAGGAGTGCATGCAGAAGAATCCAGTGCCATATGTAAGTTTGGACTGGTTTTTTTGGCTTTGAAAAAAAACTGCAAATTCAAAAAAATTTTTTTTTGAAATTTTGGAAGGTTGGATTTTCCAAAAGGAAATTTCCTAAAATTTGACCCTTCGATGTTGTTGAAATTTGGTGAAAATTTAGAACAGACGTTTTTAACGAGGAAAGTACTTTTATGGGGTATGGAGTTACAGGTCGAGTCATATATCAAAAAATTCGCGAAATTTTTCTGATTCAGAATATGCAAAAATTAGCTGCCTAATTTTGGTTTGTAAGGGTGAAAAAAATCCTCAGAACTTTTCTTTTTTTTCGCAACACCACTCAAATGCCCCCTTTTTTAAATTTTTTACATTGGAACTACTAATTAAGGTGTAGTACAAATTAAATTTGATATTTTTAGGCTTGTAAAGATACCAGAGTTTACATTAACTCAAAAACAAGCTTTTGATTTGGTAAAAACTTGGTCAAAAAGGCATTTGCGTGGTGTTTCGAGAAAAGTTCCGAGGGTTTTTTTTTCACCCCTACAAACCAAAATTAGGCAGCTAACTTTTACATATTCTGAATCAGAAAAATTTTGCGATTTTTTTGATGTATGACTCGACCAGTAACTCCATACCCCATAGAAGTACTTTCCTTGTAAGACATATGCGAGATATTTGTTATTGATTTTTAGATCGAAAAATGGTAAATTCGATTTTTTGAACTTCCGATTTTTTGATTTTTTGATACTTTTAAACATGATGTGTTAGAAATGAGGTTTACATTGACTTTTACAAAAAAAATCTGTTTTCCCAAGCATTTCCGAAAGGTTATAGTCGAAGTGTTTTTTCTCATCAGCGCCCCTCACTTTATGTGTGCTCTCGGCAAAAAAAATGAATATCTCGGCTTCCATTGCAACTCGTAGGCTAAATATTTGCAGCGATTATTGCAGTGAGGGACCTGATCCAGTGGCAGAAAACGTACCATTTTGCATTCGGGAGGCATCAAAAATGTGGCAAAATGCTTCCCTCTCCAAGTGAAAATACACGGAAGCATTTTGCCACATTTTTGATACTTCCCGGACGCTAAATGGTACGTTTTTTGCCACTGGATTGGGTCCCACACTGCAATAATCGCTGCAAATATTTAGCCCACGAGTTGCAATGGAAGCCGAGATATTCATTTTTTTGCCGAGAGCACACATACAGGGTGACCCAAAATAACGGAGACAAATTTTGGAAGGGCCCACCGCGAAACCCGGGCGTTATAGAAACACAAGCGACAGTGGGTAATATTCTATAAGACTTTCTCTATAATCCACGAAAATTTGGCGGAGTCATCATGTCGCAGGAAAAAGTTACAGCTTAACAAAAATGCCTTGCGTCGTTTTTTTGGCCCTCAATTTTGGTTCCTTTGTGTTGTGTAGAGCATGGCTGTACAACAGCCGCAGAAATGGCAAGTTCATTTGTTTTGCTAGACTACTACGTCTCTAAGCAAGCAGTTATGTAGGTTTCTGGGCTACGGTTTTTATTTCTACGGTGGTACCAATCTCAACATTGAAGATCGCCATTTTTTCCAAATTTTTTCGATAAAAAATTCAGTTTTTTTAGAATAAAGCTAAAACCGCTAGAACTTATTCTATTCATAAATACAATAATTCTGGAAAAAGCTGTGATTGCTTGCTGGTTGCAACAGATTTTCCTTGACAAGTTTCTCGCCCAGAACTACCCCATGGCACGCGGCTTTGAGAAAGATGGGTTATCGATAACAAAATGACAAGATAGATAAAAACGGCGCATTCTGCTCTTGTACACTTATGAATACGACTCTTGAGAATCGGCCTAGGGCACTTTCGGTCTTTATGTGTCACCGGCTCGACTGGTATTCCGCCTAAGGCAAAAACAAGGCACAATTCTAGTGATTACCAAATAGCATTCCGTAGCAGTTACAAAATGTTTCTCTTTTGGTTTTACGGTGTTCCTTTAATCATGTTCTAGTAACTCATATTACATTTTGCCTTATCTAACATTTAAACTCCTTTTTACCGATACATTTCCAAAAAAGGCCGATTTTTGCACTTCAACTCCCTGAAAATACTCGGCTGTAACTTTTGAACCATCGATAGCTGAGCTTAGTACGATGGCTCGTTTTAAAGGCCATATTATGATAATTAAGCACAGCAAATCTCAAACTATTCCGAATTTTCTTTTTTGAGTAAGGCAGCTTTCTTGCAAAAAGACCCCACGGGCAGAAAGGTCCGAGTCAACCGGATATATTGATGTGGTTCAAGGCACAAGAGCGTCGTACAACAAAACTTCCGGTATATAAAACTACACTAACGTGGTACTGTAGTATAAATAAGGAATCACTCATGAATCTTCATAGGCCGCAGAAAAAACGGGAAATCTTTTGTCTCCGTTGTTTTGGGTCACCCTGTAAAGTGAGGGGCGCTGATGAGGAAAAAAAATTTTTCGGCTATAACCTTTAGGAAATGCTTGGGAAAACAGATTTTTTTGTAAAAGTCAATGAAAACCTCATTTCTAACACATCATGTTTAAAAGTATCAAAAAAAAAATAAAAAAATCGAATTTACCATTTCGACCTTTGGAGGAAATCTGGATCTTACACTTATACCTTTTGGTAGTGTTACAAAAAAATTGTCTATTTCCCCAAGAAATCTCCTTTTTATCATTTGTTTGATTTTTGAATCGAGTTGGCATTTTTTTCGCCGTATTTTACCAATTTTTCACTTTCAGTTTGGCCCAGAAGCCGAAATGGAAGCGGATGTTCTCCAACGAATCTTCGACGCCGCCTTCGACAACAACCTCAAACACCCAGCTCAATGTCTTGGCGGCCCTACCAGAGACCTCCAGAAGGACTTTTACACTGTCTCTGACAACGGAAGAGAACGAAAAATGAAGACGTTCAATTTTGTCGTCAAATTGAACAGCGATGACCTGATGGAGACGGGAGATATCCTATTTCCTAGAGCCAAAGGCGGAAGCTTTACGATTCGAACCAGCAAAGAGCAGGAAATTTATCCACAGAAGTTGATCGCTGATTACAAATATAATAGAAGGAGCTTTGTGGAGCCTCTGGAGGTGATCGAACGCTAATTGGTTGGTGGATTTTTTTAGATTTTTATGATTCTTTTCGATAATTGAAAAAACAAAAAAAAACTTTTTTTGGATTTTTCATAAAATTTTTTTATGTTAGAATGTCCAGAATTTCCTAAAATTCGTCAAAAATCCCATTAAAATTGCTCAAGTTTTCGGTTATACATTGTTTTTTTTGTCATATTGGTTCTAATCTTGTTTTTGATCTGATAGCGAAAATTTGAATGAATTGACAAAAGTCTCGGGTAGAAAAGACCACATTTTCTTCCACTAAGATGTTGCCATGTTTTTAGATATTTTCGTCTTCTTGCCTTTTCAGAGATATCATAGCTTGCTGTCTCGGTGTTTTCGGGTCATATTGATAATATATTTCTAATAATTTTACCGTGCTGTAATAAAAAAGTAATGATAATGCTGGAGGTGGTTGTATTATATAGGAATGCAACAGTGTATCGATGATTATTTGTATGCACTTTAATTTTGAAGTAAGTGGAAATATGAATACGTAGATGAATCACGCGTAGGGTTCGTTGTACAGAGGTTTTTTATTACGCTCTGGTCCAAGTGAACAGCGCATGGAACCTTGGATAAATCAATCGTACTTTGCTTTCAAGTCACTTTCGCTGTACGCGTAGGGCTCGTTGTACAGAGGTCTTTTATTACGCTTTCCTCGTAATGATATTCTAAGTTTAAACTAACGTTAGAGAAACCCGACGTCAGTCTCGTTTACAGATGCATAGACGATGCATGTAATGGGAAACTAGCTTACGTCGAAATGAACCGCGTATGGAAATCTGCAGTACCTTCTGGTAGATAAGTGTCTATGTTCCTTTCCATCGTAGTGTCAAAATTCAGATTGACATAAATTTGTTTACGTACTCGAATCCTTTGTAGTTTAGTGGTGTTTCGACGTTAGACAACCCAACATCAGCTTCGTTTACAGATGCGTGAACGATGCATCTAAAGGGGAACTAGCTTCCCTCCAAATGAACTGCGCATGGAATCTTGAATAAACCAATCGTACTTTGCTCTCAAGTTACTTTCGCTGTGCGCGTATGGTTCGTTGTACAGAGGTTTTTATTACGCTTTCCTCGTAATGATATTCAAGTTTAAACTAACGTTAGAGAAACCCGACATCAGTCTCGTTTACAGATGCAAGGACGATGCATGTAATGGGGAAATAGCTTACGTTGAAACGAATCAAATGCGTACTGAGCGTTAGCAGTAGCTTCCGTGTAATAAGTGTCTACTTCCCTTTCCACTATAGTATTCATAAATCCTGAATAATATAAATTCTTACGCAAGCGAAAGTTACATGTAGGATTTAACTACGTAAAGCGGCATTCAGCCAACAGTAAGAGTTGTTCGGGTTGCAAAAAGGTAATAGTTCATTCGGATTAATGTCGATGTTTTCGCTTTGCAATGCGCGTGATGATGGAGGCTGCGGCTTGTTGATCGAATCAGCCCGATTGGCTTGTACACGGCATATATGCAGGTTATATAACATAATAATATATAACATAATAATATCAAACATAATATAATATATAACATTATATAACATAATATAATACATAGCATACATACCATTGTAATGGTTAACGATTACGGTGCTAACCAAGCAATTTCTAGTATATTAAGCGAACTATATCATAATATATGTTGATAATGAAATTTATATAATTTTCAAGGATTATATAGTATATAAGTGTAAAACCTAACGGCTTCAAGAAACGCATTATAAGAAAAAAAGCTCACAATCTTTTAAGTGTATAAAAATATGAATGAGTGATCCCCCAATAAAAAGTTCTGTCTCGAAACGCAGATAAAATTGGCAGAAAATTCTGTCATTTTTTCTGCATTGCTCGTTTTTTACTCGAATTTTGAAAAAAAATCAAATTTTAGAGCAGAAAAAATTAGAACAGAAAATTCCTGCAGATCATTACAACTTCGTATTCTGTTCTTTGATTTAAAGCTTGAAATACAATTCGAATTATGCAAATAGTTTTTATTGTGAAACAACAAATTCTATACAATGCAATTGTTGAGCAAATGCATAACCAAGATACAAACGATATGCACTGAGATGTGAATATATGCAAAATTTTGGAAGAATTAGAAAATCTGGCACTAACAATGGATATTACACGGATATGAGGTTGAATGTGTAGATGGAAACGGTAAAAATCTTAAAATAGGTTATTTTTCTATTTTACAAATGGGTTTATGTATGTAACTTATAGGAAGTTGAAAATGGGCAGTAATGAAACTATAGGAATCTACAACAACGATACAGTCAAACTTCTAAACAACGAATCGCCAGAGACAAAAAAAAATATACGTTATAGTACAAAGATTTCACTGTATAATGAATTTAAGACGAATATTGGGATATTTTATGATTCTTGACCATCAGTGCGGCCGTAGTTTAGATGAGCGTAGATGAGAACTCCAATATCTCGGTGCTGGTTTTCCATAGCAATGGACAAGGCTGATTGGTTGTCCTGAAAATGAGTTTTTATCAGTTTTGAAGTTCAGATTTTCATGAAACCTGCAAAATGCGAACTAGTTTTTAGGAATTGAAATGTTGCATATGGCCTACATGTGTGCAAGATTCGGGACTGAATTTTCGACATTTTCCGCATTTCTACCCGCGTTTTGCAGAAATCGCATAGTTTTTTGGATTGAAATTGGAAAGAAGCCCCTGGTTGATTCAAAGAAGTAGAATAAAAACATAATATTGTTGCTTACACAATCAGTCAAGCTAGCGTCAATTCCCGGTCGTTTGAGCAAAATCTTGACCAGCTCCTTGTGCCCATGTTCGGCGGCACACATCAGCGCGGTTGAGCCATCAATGTCCTTCAAATTTACGTCAGCTCCGCAGCTGATCAACAAGTTTGTCGTCTCCACACGGCCATGCGAAACGGCCAACATTAGAGCAGTCTGGCCGTGCTGAAAGAACGGAGGAAATTGATAGGTAAATTTGAGATTTTGCCAACAAATTTCAGTGTTAAAGACTTACATAAACAGCCTTGGCATTAACGTTTCCACGTTCGAAGAGTCTCTGAACAATTGCGGCTTCGGTTTCATTTTTGATATCACACAATGCGGCCAACATTACTGGCGAATAGCCAGCTTTGTTGGTGTCGTCGACTCGGCAAATTTTGGCGTCTAATAAAACGCTGACAACTCCGTAATTCTCATGAGATACTGCGTAGTGAAGAGCGGTGTTGCCCTAAAAAATTTTTTGAAATTTAGGCTTGACTCTATTGCCACTTACGTTCTGATCCTGGAAGTTGATGACGGTCTCCATTAATTTGGCCGACAAAACTTCCAGCGCGTCAATAAAGTGCTCGATTGTCTGTGGACTCGCGTTCTTCTTCGTACTCAACCTTAGCCATTCGTGTTGGACATATTTATACGCCCAGTCACTGGAATGCATTGTTTCTTCGGGCTCATCCATGAGGTGTTTGTTCAGGGTCTCCAGCGCCTCTTTTAATGGCGCTGACATCTCGAATCCAACGTTCTCGTCGTCACTGCTTTGGCGTTCCATCTCCGCCTCATCGGAAGTGAGACTTGAATTGCTGGAGGTGCTAACGGGATCGTTGGGATCGAAGCCGGTAGCCTCATCGTCGGATTCGTAATCTGGAGCGTCGATCTGAGGGGCAACTTCGTTGAAGGGCCGGCGGAATCGGCGGTAACGATTCGATCGCCATTCATCAAAGTATTGGAGCTCGGAGCGGAGCGGAGTCAGTTTGTCTTGGGCTTCGGCGGCCTGAAAATTTGTTTGTAATAGAATGTTTGGGGATTTTCGAAAGTGATACAGTAGATTGGTCCGTATTTTACTTATGTTTATCTATTTTGCGCTGCAAAAAAGCGTGTCCAGAAACATTATCTGGACACTCAGACGTTTATAAGTTCCTCGACTTATACATAAGCAAAATTTTGATGTAAATCGATCATACAGACTTAGAATACCCCATTTAAAAAATCATCCAAATTCCGATAATTTTGATGGCATAAATTTGAAAACTTTTGAAACCACTTCCTCACCTCATCCGGACTCTCCACATGCTCCATCTCACTGGGCTGCGGCGAATACTTGGCAAACTTGGGCCTCGGAATTCTGGCACTCACGGGCTCCGGGAAGTTGCTGGGAATGTTCTGGAATTTCTTCAACACCACCATCTCTTTCAACGGTTTCTCCGGATCACTCGAAGGCGTCGTTGAGGGTTGCGGTTTACGTACCTGAAAGCGGTTTGTAAGCGAGAAAAAAACTGTTTGATTTTTCGACCAAATCGGATTTATCGGCCAGGTTTTTCTCCTCCTCCTCTCTCTCGCTTTTTTCTCTCAAAATGAGGCTTGTTTTTGAATAAAGAAAGGTCTTTCTTTTGGTTGAGTAAGGTTGGGAAAGTCATAAACAAGCGAGCGCTGGGTAACTTGAGTAAATATTGAGGAAAGAGTTATTGGGGATTAGGGGAAGACCTCGGAGTTTTTCTAGTCAGTATATATGGTTCGGGACTTGTAAATAGCATGTTAAGAAATTTAATTTTGGGCATTGTAAAGATCCTCATCGCGGGAAAATCCATAAAATCCATCATCCAAATTGCGAATTGCAAAAGCTCTGAACCTAATTTTTTTGTGGGTACTCTAGGCAGTACTCCAGCCATATACAGCCGTTGTTTAAACTATTAGGCATAGAAGTATGACCGTGCCGTTTTTTTAGTTGCGCCTTTTTTACAAGTAGAGTTAAAGTTTTGGTGCATCTGTTGATATCGCCTGAAAGAACGTTGAAAACGCTGTCTATCGATATATGCTTCGTGTGATTAGGTTTAGAACAGCGGTTTTTATAAAGCTTCAAAGATGACCAACTTTCGTCCCAGAAAAATGCCATTTGCGGGAAATTTTCCTCTACATATATCATGTGAGCAAAAGCGCCGTCGACGCATGGAACGCTTACAGAAGCTTACTGTGGTCGTGCTCTGTAAAAAAAATTCCGTCGGAAAAGGGTTCAACGTTTCAAATCCCGTGATTTTCCAAGCCATATGAGAAATTTGAATATGGAGATTATTGCAAACAACACGATGACGGTGCGCAAGAAAAGCTAGCTGTGATGTTACACGTGTTGTATAAAGGAGCTTCACTCAGTTTGGAACAATTGGGAAAGATCCAGAGTGAAAGGACTTGGGTGTCATATGGATTGACCTAACTCAACATGGATAACATACAAAATTTTGATGGACAGACAGAAAGGATGTCATTTTTGCATTGTCTAGTGACCAGAGAAGAACAATGGATCGATTTTGACGACCCGAAACACAAGCGACAGCACAGTCCAACATTACCGGGAAGGAAGTGTTGCTCTGTATATGACGACAAAAGCAAGATCTTCTATTCTATGAGATCATGAAACCCGACAAAACGGTTACTGGCATCCGTTGTCAACAAGACTTGATGCAACTCCACCAAGAGATATGATAAAAGCGGTCGGTATGACCAATTTTTGTTTTGCTGCATGTTGACGCCAAACCCCATGTTGAAAAACTGGTCAAGGGCACTCCAGAACCGCCGAGTTCGGACGTTTTACCCCATCCGCGACACTCTCCGGACGCAGCACTTTCAGATTATCACTGGTTTCGACCGATGGAACGCGATCTGTGGCAGCAGCGCTTCGATGAATACAACGATGCCGAAAATTGGGTTGATATTTAGATGGCTTCAAAAAAGCCAAAACTTTTCTTTGATGGATTTGAAAGTTGGCCAAATTGTGCAAACCCCTCGGAATTAATAATAGAATATAAAATTGGATAAGGTTTAGTGTAAAAATTTTTTGTTTTGATTGAAATTATGGGCCGGAAAAACGGCACGATCATGCTTCTACGCCTAATAGATAGTGGAACCGCTCTAAAAAAACCCTTTTACAACAAAGATTGTCTATAGCGAAAATTTCATAGGCCCCGCAAGGCGATTTTAACAACTTTCAAGCCGAAACGAACCTCCATACAACGAAGCCCTTCTGTAACGCATGAATTTTTGAACTTTAGAGATTTGTTTTACAGATTCTGCAATACGAAAGAAAATCTGAAAAACAAACCGCGAGGTAGTAAACAATTGTCGTAGAAGGGTTTCGTTGTTGAGAGACTTTATTTTTGTCGAAAATCTCTCCTTGGAACCTCCGAATCACCTGTTAGAGACGAAAACCTGTTGTATTTTGAGATTTGTTGTAGTAATTTCAATGATTTAACTTTGCTTTGCTACACAGCCCTAAAAATGACGCATGGTCTTCCACATTGTCCGTTATAGACAGGCTTCATCGTATGCAGTTCGTTGTCAGAGATCACTGTACTTTTCAAATTACCTGGGTATGTTTCTCGGTGATGTAATCTAAGTCATCGGCCTTTGTTTTCTCCACCTTGAAGCTCCGATACGCCCCGCTTTCCCGTTGGAAACCCGGCCGATTTGGCTCTGTCAGCAATTTTCGAATCGCTTCGGTCTGAACCGGCGTGAGGTTCTTCTGGATCTCCACGTGATCTCCATTCTCATTCACAATGGCATGCACCGCCTCTTGTTGATTGATGGCGTCCAACATGATGACCGTCTGGACGTCGGTGTCGATGGAGAATCGATCGGGCTCGATGGTGGCTAGACGCTCGAGATTGGCGAGCATTTCGGCTTCTTCTTGTTCCTGCAAGGGGCAAATTAGGTGGAATTTTTATTGCAAGGGATTAAAAAGTAAATTTAGCAGGGTCTTTGAGGGTTGAAGGGTTTAACCAAGAGATGGGTGGAAACATATGGCAAGAGGAGACTTACAAATATGGTATATAAGGTGACCCGAAATTTCAGAGACATTCCGCTGTACCCAAATATGACTTTTTTGCACTGACCATTTTTTTCCTACAGTCCTTTTATACCCCAAAACAGACGGGTTATTGCCCAAACAAACATGCCCCAAACAATCCCCAATTAACGTGAAGCCTCCGCCAACAAAGAGAGGACATTCGAAATCCCATTAAAACTACCGACTTGGATTTCCTGCGGTGATTTTCGGCGCTCGATCAGCTCCTCGATGCTCCGAATCGCCGTCCTCTCCACCACCACCTCATGCGGCGCGGCGTGCTGGTGTTGATGGGTGATGATCTGTCGTTCCAGCTCCTCGAACTCCCACTCCTCCTCGGACATGGGGCTGGTCTTGCTGAGGATGTGCAGCGCCGGGCTGGGCTCGGCCGGCGGCTCCGAGTCGTCCGGGATCTGGATCGACACGTCCTGGAAATGGGTTGAGGTAAGGGAGAAGAGAGGGAGATCAACGGAGAAACGCAAAATCAAGGGATTTTTGGGGGTAAAGATTGACATAATCATCGCGGACATGAGCAAAAAAGTATCAAAAACAACTGGCAACGATGATATTAAATGTCGTATTTTACATCATTCGTACAGATAGAACCTCTGTATTAAGAATAGCAAGGGTCAGAGAAATATGTTTGTTATAGAAGGCCTTCGTATAAATGAGATTGATTTTGGCCAAAAATTATTTTTTGACTTCTTACGTCGATAATTATACAGAGACTATTCTGCAAAGGCTCTTTTGTACAGTAGGTCCTCTGCGCAACAAACTGTTATACGACGAAACTTGTCTATAACGAACAATTTCTCTAGCGTCAATTTTTGGCCTACAAATACTACTGACCGTTCTAAAAAGTGCGTAGACTTTTTTCGGAATTTTTTCTGGAACTATGAATGCTGTGCGCCGTGATCCTTTTCGAAACATTTTTCACTGTGCAATTTCTTTTCACACGCCCAGGACTGGCTGCTTTGCGAACAGACTAGTATTTCCAACAAAAAATCTCACCTCAATTTTCTCGAAGAACTCATGCGACTTGGCGACATCAGTCTGTGCACATTTTGAACAAGTAATCATAATGAAGTCAGACGCCTCTTCATCCTCAGTCTCCGTCTTTTTATCGACGCTCTTCACACTTTGGCGTTCCAGTTTCTCGGCCAAAAGAAGCGCTTCGACTTCGTCTTGAATCCAATCGATATTCGTTTGAGTTCCAGAAGTCTCCTGATCCTTTGGCGACAAAAGAGGCGCTGAATTCTGAGCGGAGACTGTTTTCTTTTCGATATTGTCGGCATGAGCTTCAGTTTGAGTGTGAATCTGAAATTTTCAATAAAGATGAATTTTTTTGGGGTTAAAATACGGAGATATATATGTCGTTCTGCTTTGAGCAAAATCACTATAGAAAAAAGACAGTACAAGAAATCGAATGGCACACAAAATATTTGGTTTGGAAAGGTCTCGCTGTACGTAGGCATTTTGATTTTGATCCTAAATCGGATCATAGAACCTCAGAAATTCGGGAGTTTGTTGTGCAAAGCTTTGACTGAATACTGGATCTCTGTACAACGAAAACAGATGAAAAAATCCTTGGAGAAAAATTCTGTTCTGCGAAGGTAGACTTTGGCCTAAAATTGGCCTTGTGCGCTTTTAAGACCGCTAATCACCGACAGCTTAGTTTTGTTTTTTAGTACTCTAGTGAGAGTCTCAATGTGACAGAGTAAAATACGCTCTTAATAACCTCCTCACTCTTAAGCACTTTTTTCTAACATCAAGAAAAGAAGGTCTCCCTGAGAATGAGAGTTGTTTCTTACTTTTTCTCGAAATTTTGACTCCACGCGTTCATGCAACAACCACAAATATATCACACAATAGTTACAAAAAATGCTTTATTCTTGCACTCAGCTTTTGCTTTTGCACCGTGCAAAAGGTTTTTTCGGCTCTCAAAGTGCATGTCGTCAAAATCACCCCAGCGGCTTTGCGAACGAACTAATAATAGAATTTTCAGGAATCAAAGTATGGCCTATTTACAGTATGCACCCAACATAATTAGGAAAATCGTGGAGACACCTTTGGGGTACCCTAAATTTTCTCTGGTATCAAAAACTATCAAAATGTCCCACCTCCGCCGCCACATTGCCATGGTGAGTGCCCACCTCCTTCAGCAATGGTCTAGCTTCCGTCGAAGCATCATTAAACTTTTTGCTGGCCTTTAATTTCTCCTCAATGTCCCTCAAATGATGCTCCGATTCGTGCCCAATGCAATACTGGAACTCAACGCTCAGCCCCTCATTCCACCGTTTTTTCTTCGGCTCCAAGCCTTCTGTGTCCGTTGAGACTTCGAGTTTCTCGAAATGAATCGGCGAGGTTGCAATGTCAATCGTCAAAGGTTTTTTTACGTCCTTGATTAGCTCCGCTTGCTCTCCGATCTCGCGTTTTAGCACCAACTTGGTCTGAGAGAACTGTTCCAACTTTATTTTTCGCTCGGTTTGGCTCTCGTCGTCCTTGTGCGGCCGTTTTTTGGGTGCGGTCAGATGTAGCGGAGGTGTTTGAGTCATCGTTGATTGGAGATTTCTCGGTATCTCGGCGCTCTTCGGAGTTGAGGTGATAAATGACTTGGATTTGGGAGTGCTATGAAGAAGAGGCCCGGATCGAACGACATTTGGAGGGTAGTCGTCCTGAAAAGTTGGATTTATTTGGTGAATGAAAAGACGGTTGATCACAGAGGAACCATAGAAAATTCGCCTAATTCAAAACCTCTTTATAAAGAACAGCTTCAGAAGTCGAGAGTGTCAATTTTAGGGAAAGGCTGACTACAAGGCCCATCATTTGACTTTTTTGGGTTTTCGGCCACACCTTTGTAAACATTTCAGTAGAAAAAAATTTTCCCGACAGACTGATAAAAGCTCGAACAATTTTGTAGACCAACCCTTACTTACCACAGCGCTCAAATCCAGCCCCAACGAATCCGGTTGAACTCTCGGATAAGGGTCTTCAATCGCCCTGTGTGGATCGCTTGATTTTCGATAATTCTCTTCAGTCTTCCTGTGCGGATCCTCAATGATCCGCTCAATCTCCTCAATTGGTTTCTTGAACTCTTCCAGCAATAAATCGACAGGATCTTCCACCTTGTACTTGATATCAGCTGTCTGCGAAATAGGGGCAGAGTAATGACTTTCCACTTTTTTTCTCTGTTCCTGATATCCGTTATGATTCACAATGCCCTGTGGAGTATACTGACTCAAAATCGAGTCATTCCGACCGGTCGAATATCGGTTATCGACCGTTTCTTTTGGAGTGGAATATCCATTAGACAGTCCGTTAAAATTGCTTTCAATTTTCGCGGAATATCGATTATCGGCCGGCTCCGTACGTATAGTCGAATATCGTGGGTCGTTGTCGTATTTTAGGGTAGAATAGCGACTTTCCGAAGGCTCATTTCGGTCCCGCAGCACTGACGCGAACTGATCGTAAAAGCTGGGCAATTGGGCCCCTGTGCTTTTGCTTCGATACGGAACACGATGACTTGAGGAACTACTGCTTGTTGTGTCTTGACGAGGAGAAGTGCTGGTGGTGTAGTAGGTGCGGTTGTGGAGATTGGAATTTCTGAAAATTCAGGAATTTTAGAGTGATCTTTATCATGTATTTTCATGGCTACGGAGCTGTTCTTCTCAGCGTGCAGAAAAGTAAAAATTTTGTGATCTTGCCAAATCAATTGCTTGCAAAATTCTGGGAAGGATGTGTTTCGTACGACTTGGCTCAAAAATGTTGGGTGTCTTATCTCTGACACTAATAACTTTTATTTTTGGAAAACTTTTTTTTGAGTGCCAGGCACGTTGAACGCGTTTAGTTAGTTACTTCATGGAGCCGGGAGCCCGAACCGCAAATTCGGCCTCGGCCCCGGCTCTGGGAGCTATGAACCGAAGCCGAAATTTTGGCCGTGGCAGTCTCTAGTCTTCACTGCAGTAATCTTTTAGGAAGGACGTCCAGATGAAGCCTGCTCGTAAATTTAGACGCAAAAAGGCCTGTCGAGGGAAATTTTTTGTTTTATCAGTCTGTCGGAAAAATAATGAGCACTTTGTCGCATCGAAAATTGCATCGCGGAGAAAATGAATTGTGTCGTGGCAAAATCAAATTGCTTTTCGCTTCAGCAATGCGATTACACGAAAATTGTGCTCATTATTTTCCCGACAGACTGTTAGAAGGGTTTCATTGAACAGGAGGTTCGCTTTGGCCTAAACTTGACTCTCGAGACCGTTGAAATTTTTTGTTATAGACAGGTTTTTGTTGTACCGTAATTAGTCCAAATCCTAATATGTAGGAGTTCTGACGTGATCAGCCCAGCGACATGTGCTCAAAATTTTCCCGACAGACCGATATATCTAATGTTTTGATGTTAACACACCTCAATGTGCTCGGCGATCGAGTTTTCTCCGGTTCCGGCGACAAGACTCGTGGATATCGTCGCTGTGGCTCGAAATAGCGTCTCGGTAGTGGGGGCTTTGCCTTCGCTGCGGGTTCATAAATTCTCTCTCGTTTCGGTCCCGCGGCAAAAGCTCCAGTTGAGGGAAGGGTGGCTCCACCAAATGGAGTGGCTTCTTGATGGAGAATCGGCGACAAGGGGGCGCGATTTCGAAGATTCGCCAAGGATTGGCCTAGTGCTGTGTAGAAGGCTGAAAAAAATTGAATAGTTTGTCTTGAAGTAAATTGTAATTAAATTTTGCCAAAAATTGATTATTTTTTATAGGTCGCTTTTTTAAATTAGACGATATTTAAATCATCCCGTATTTTACAAATAAAAAAATCGTATTTTAGAAACTAATTACAATTTTTTGCGAATTTTGGCAAGCGAAGTTTCTAGCCTATTTCTAATGGTAATGTTTCCAAAAAAGTCAATTGTTTCCGCATGAAACTTCCAACGATATAGTCAAAAAGTGGTTTTTCTCTGACCGCTCTCCGAATTTTGTGTACTCTCTCGGCAGCAAAGATCGTTGGATATCTCGGCCGCCCCTGCAAAGCGTAAGCTAAAATTTTCGGGAATTGATATGTGGCCTATGTGCGAAATGTATGCACGATTTAAAGAAAATCGGATCTTCGCATTTTGGGGTACTTCCCTTATAAATATTTCTACTGGAACTCTTCTGGGTCCATTCGAAAGGAAACCAAAGGAGAAAGCAAGGCGTGGCCGCGTGGCGCAATGGATAACGCGTCGGTCTACGGAACCGAAGATTGTAGGTTCGAATCCTGCCGTGGTCGAAACAACTTTTTGAATAATTTTTCCTATTTTTAGGTTGGCCAACGTATTTTACAAGGAAAGTACTTCTATGGGGTGTGGAGTTACAGGTCGAGATATATATCAAAAAATTCGCAAAAATTTTCTGATTCAGAATGTATAAAAATTAGCTGCCTAATTTTGGTCTACCTACGAGTTTTATCAATAAATGTATTTCTCGAGGAAAAAAATCTGCGGCAACAAAAGCGCGCTCGGTCTCTTCCTTCGGAAGAGAGCGGTGTGGCCGAGTGGTTAGAGCGCTAGATTGGGAATCCGAAGGGAACGGGTTCGATTCGTTTTGCCACACGAGAACCTATTTTATACATTTGAACTGCTTCTAAGGTGTAGTTGTAATCCAATTTGATATTTTAAGGCTTGTCAAGGCCTCAGAATTTATTTTAGGACAAAACAAAGTTTTTTTATTGGTAAAAACACGGTCAAAAAGACACTTGCATGGTGTCGCGAGAAAACTTCTGAGGACAAAAACATGTCATCAGACCAAAATTAGGCAGCTAATTTTTATATATTCTGAATCAGAAAATTTTTGCAAATTTTTTGATATATATCTCGACCTGTAACTCCACACCCCATAGAAGTACTTTCCTTGTTAAACTCTAATTAAATTTTAAACGCTCTATATTTTACATCAAATTGTGTTTCTTTTTGTAAAATTGGTAAAAAACGTACTTTTTCCGGGGACTGGTGATGTAGGAGCAGATGTCACAGATCGCCTGAGGGTTGGCAAAGTCCTTGACCGGTCAGAGAATATTTGAGACACCTGAAAGTTCAATTAACACTCTGCTTTTAACCAAAAAATCCAAAATTTGTCCAGAAACAGCACAAAAAATCAAAATTTCTCGTAAAAAACCTCAAAATACATCCCAGAAAATGGTAAAAACCCTACCTCTTCATTGGCCACTACAGTTAACGGTGTTTTACTGTGTTCATGATGATCTACAGTTGAATTTGGCAAGGTAGAATAGGGGTCAAACGGGGAATAGGCATTACTCCTCTCGGCTACTCGATTACTCCCTGAATGAGCTGGAGTTCTGATGTCCGAAAGCAGTGGATTTCGAAGGCTCCCACTGCTGAACCCTCCGAGATATTGACGACGAGTCTCGGCAGGTTTTGGAGCTTGAAACTGATAATTTCCATTTTCTGGCCGAGGCATTGTTGAATGCGCTGTACTGGGCTCAGTTCTCGGCTGATCCTCGTGCAACAGACGGTCATAATCTTGACTTAGGGCGTTTAGGTCATTCACAACATCATTTAGCGATTTTCTAAAAAAAGTTTTTTTTAATTTTTTTGCACAGTGCGAAAAATTTTGTTTTGGCCGTTGCACAGTGCGCAGCTAAAATGATGACTCAAAATTTTTACAGAGTAAATTAGAGACACTGTAGTATGATATCATAAAACAAATTTCAGAAAAACTTTGTTCACAAAGCCGCACGGTGCAAAATTTTTTAGACTGCACCGTGCAAAATTAAAAAATTTTTCAAAAGCCATAAAAATCGAGAAAATAATGTCTAGATTCAAAAATTCAGGTCTCTAATCATCATGACGTCCATATACTTCCCTTTTGCACCGTGCAATTTTTCAAAAACTTACTTTGAAAGGCTTTTGAAGGCACTTCCATTCGCCGGAGGGGTTTCCACTCCGTTTCCATTGGAATCCCGAATCCCCTTTGATTTTGTCAACGGTCTCGACCGTCTAGGCTCGGTGTTGAAATGATAGTCAGGAGTTTTTCGCCGCTAAAAATGAGATTTTTTACCAAAAACATCAAAAAACTCTTAAAAATCATCAAAAATTAGACTTTTTCTATATTTTTCAAAGAAAAAATGATAAATAAAGTGATGAAATTTTACCTCCTTGCCTGAGGCGACGTCCTCAGCAAACGCCACGAAGTCCAAATCCAAATGAAAGCCGTACGGACAACAGGTACACTTTTCTTGACCATTCGGCGGAAGAACGGCCGAATTTTGTGAGGCAAGCATATTTACAACCGGTATGAGGGGAAAATGGCAAGTTCAGGCAGGCTTTTGATCACTTCTCACATTTATTCCAATCTACGCATACTGTTACGCGAGATCTGAAAGTTTGATTTTTTTGCTGATTTTTGAGATTTTTTTGGGGAAATCGCGGAAAATCGAAACATATTTAGGATGATTCGGATGGCAGAGAGTGTAATCTTGATTTTAAGTTAATATTTCATATATAAATTGAAGAAAAATTAGGTGAAAATGACAAAAATTAGGAGTTTTGGGCAAAAAAGCCGGGTTTTTAGGGAAAAATAGACGATTTAAAAAAAAATCAAGTTGAATATGCAAATATTTTGATGTCTCAAGAAAATATAAACTTCCTTTTTCTTTTGTGATCCCATTTCACAATCTAACTTGCCTTAAAAAGTCATCAATTTTACAAATTTTCCCATTTTTCCCCAAAAAACCGAGTTTTGGTCAAAAAATAGATGATTTTGTGAAAATTCAGTTTGAATATGCAAATATTTTGATGTCTCAAGAAAACATAACCTTTCTTTTTATTTTGTGACACCATTTCACAATCTAATTTGCCTTAAAAGGTCATCAATTTTACAAATTTCCCCATTCCTTTCAAAAAATTCCAAACTTTCATTTTTTTTATTTTTCCGACAAAAAATCAAACCAAAACCCAATTTTTTTGCCTCCAAAAATCGCAGACATCAATGACGCACGTCATAATACCATTAACACCACCAATTACATCTCGCCGCGTTCGCTTTCCCATATTTACCCAACCAAAACAAACACGCAAAACTTCCCAAAAAAACTCGTAAAATTCAGCCCAAAAATGCGAAATAAATCATCGACAGGATTCAAGACATCCCCCCTTCTTTTAATTTTTTTCTAATTTCTTGGCGGTTTTTTTGAAAGAAAGTCCGAAAAAACGACTAATGAGAAACCGGTTCAATTTCAGAATCGAAAACCCCTTTTTTCAAGCGATTTAAAATGAGAGGAAAGCGGATCGATCCCGCTACAAAACCGAATTAGTGGAAAAAAGAGTAAAAAGTAAAAAAAAGGGGGGAAAACACCACTTTCAGGGGTGAAAAACGTATTTTATGGAGGAAAACGTGAGTTTTCACTGGAAAAAATCTTTTCTTTATCAAATTGAGATAATCGTTTTTGATATTTTACAAAAAAATCCGTATTTTAGAAAGCAAAAAATTGAGTTTTGAAGAAAACGTAAATTTTATGGACAAAAACGTGTGCCTTTCCCTTTCGAAAGAAATCGGAGGGAAAAGTGACCAAAAGGCAGCCGTGGCCGCGTGGCGCAATGGATAACGCGTCGGTCTACGGAACCGAAGATTGTAGGTTCGAATCCTGCCGTGGTCGAAAAAACTTTTTGGGTTTTTATGGAAATTTGGAGGAATATAAGTTTAAAAAATTTGCATAACATCTCAATTTGATTTTTTTTGTGTGTTAACGGAAAATAAAAGGGGAAAAAATGAAAAAAAATCTAAATTTTTTGTGGAAATTCCAAACAAAATTTAAATTTCAAATTGAAAATTTAAATTAAATTGTTGAAAGTACTTTCTAAACAGCTAGAAAATTCTGTATTTCCATTTTCAACCTGAAAAATCAACAAAAATCCCTTTTTTCGACTAAACTTCCCAAAAAATTTCATTAAACCGCAATTACGCCACTTTTCCAAACTTCGAGCCGATCTCATGATGACATCTCGCCGCTTTTGTAAACAAACCAAAAACGTAAAATCGCGAAGGGAAAACGCCGCGGAACAGCTTCCACAGACGTCTCGGCATCCCTTTCTTTGCTCCCGCTGCTCCCCAAAATCAGATTCCATAAAAGGGAAAGGAAATGTTCGAGTGGAGAAAATGCTAATTTAATGAAATCAAGACGTCTCGTTTTATAGTAGTTTTATGTTAGGGGCTTTGTTCCGAGAGGGATGTTTTTCGCAGCGCGCTTCCAAGTCTTGAGGGAATGGGACCGGATTTTAGTTTTATTTTCGATTTTAAGGACCCGCAATCAAGCTTTATATGAATGGGCAGGGAGAAATGGAGAAGAAGAGGGAATAACCAACAGTTTTTCGGGAAATTAGAGAGTGTTTTTTGTCAATTCAGTAGCTGATTTGGGGAAAAATTGATAAGAAAGGGGAGAGGCAACAAAAACAAAGTAAAAAACAGCAATATTAGAGACAAATATAAACAAGAAGGTTTGTAAAATACGCTTCCTGCATCTAGTAACTCAAAAATTCCCAGCATTCCTAAAAAATATCGAAAAATTTTTGTTAGATTTTTTGAAATTTTATCTAAATCATCAATGGAAGCCATAAGATCTTCATATTAGTATTTTCATAAAGTGCATGGACATTTTCTCTTCTGTCGGGAAAACCATGAGCACGATGAAAATAAAAAAAAATATGAGACATGGCAGAGGCTGGGCTTCGAAAATTTCGAAAAGGGCCGGACCGGGTTGACCTCCTTTTCTAGAGCCGGCTCGATCAAAGTTTTTGGCGCCAAGATGCGGGTTCAAGATTGAAAATTTTAGGCTCAGCTCCACAATTACAGATGTCAGATGATGCAAATTTAAGCCAAACCAAGTTTCTGTTCGATGAAGCCTTGATGCCAGTCTGTCGGGAAAATAATGATTTCGATGCGACATAATGCTCATTATTTTCCCGACAGACTGATACAGCAAATTAATTTTTTGGCCCACACATTTTTTTGTACAGGGACTTGACTGTATAAAAATACCCATTTTCACTTCCTCATCTCCATTTTCGCCACCTTTTCCGACGAATAATGAAAAGCTCTCTTCAAAAAAACAATTTCTCCGAGTAGTCAAAGTCATTGTCAAAAAAACGCAAAGCCCCCTTCACAATTTGCGCGCTAATATAACGAATGATCCAGCGGTGTTTTTGCGACGTTATTTATGAGCTTATTAAAGCGTTGAGATCTGTTGTTTTGTTCGCTTTTCGCCCCACGGAAACCTAATGAATTGATTAATAAATCAAGTGTAACCATTACAATTTTTTATCACCTTTCTTGGGAATGTGAACCGAAGAGGGGGAGAGCGAGAGAACAACGAAATCGAATTTGAAAGGGGTTGTAAAATACGTTTTTTTCATGGCTTGCGGAAATTGGAGGTTAGCCAAAATGCCAAAAATTTCTCACCATTTGGAGATTTAAAAACCATCAAGATTTTTCGATTGGAAGTCGAAGACCTTGAGATCTGTTTTTGCAATTTTGGGTTTATTAAACTTACAATCAGTTACCAGCTTTATGTCAGCAAAAAACAATTTTTCTAACAGGGGAAGTACTCAAGTGCGACGCTCAGATTTTGATGAAACTTGGCACAAGTTTAGAATGATCTTTTCTAAGATATATGAGAGAATCCTAGCTCGCGCTTTGCAGAAACAACCGAGATTTTTAGATCGAAAGTCGGCCAAAATTCAGGACTTTTTGCCGAATTTCGGCACGAAAACTTTCATGCCTATTTCTACCGTAAAGGATAATGTTTCTACAAAAAATCAAAATTTTCCGCACGAAACTGCCAAAGTTATGGCCAAAAAGCGCTTTTCTCTCTGACCGCTCTCCACGTTTAGCGTGCTCTCCCGGCGAAAAAATCGTTCGATATCTCGGCGGCGCCCGCAAAGCGCGAGCTAAAACTTTCAGGAATTGATATCTAGTTCATACCCGACGTGTGTGTAAAATTTTAAGAAAATCTGAACGTCGCACTTGGAGTACTTCCCTTGTGAGTGAGTTCTGGAGTATCACACGGTAATCAGCCGTGCTGGTTTAGAACACTAAATTAATTTTTTTGAAGTGTTTCTACAAAGCACAGGTCGGCATTTCGAGAATTGTTTTTAAAATACGCGATAAATACAAAAATCTGCAATTCTTGGAATAAAATGTGGCGTCTGAACATAAGTGCGACCCTCAGATTTTCTTAAAATTTTGCGCACACTGCGGACATAAGACATATATCATTTCCTCAATATTTTAGCTCACGCTTTGCAGTTACAGCTGAGATATTCAACGATCTTTGCGGCCGAGAGAGTACGCGAAACGCGGAGAGCTGTCACTGAGAAAAAAGCTTTTTGGCCATATCTTTGTCAGTTTCGTGCGGAAATTTTTGATTTTTTGTGGAATTATTATACTCGACGGTAGAAATAGGTATGCACCTTTTCGTGGCAAAAATTCGCAAAAAAAATTTCATTTTTTTTCAACTTTTCATCAAAAAATCTCGGTCATTTGTGTAAAGCGCTAGCTAGGAGTCTCGCAGATGTCATAGAAAAAACTTTTTTAAATTTGTGCCAAGTTTCATCAAAATCTGAGCGTCGCAATTTCAGTAGCTCCCGTTTAGCGAAAAAAACCCCAAAATTTTTCAATTTTCTCATCAAAATCCTAAATTTTCACTTGGGAAATTAAGTCAAATCCACTTCGAAACCCCTTTAAACATCTCGAAAGTCAATACGAACCAAAATTTACTTCCAAAATCGCTTTATCTCACGGGTTTTCTAATCAAATTAGCCTCCAAATCCACGAAAAATCGAACGAAAATTCCTTTCATTCCCCCAAAAAAAAAGTTTCCGTCAAATTACTCGCAGCTGATGGCGGAGAATAATCAAATAAACATAAAAGGTCCTTATTTGACCGGCTTTTCGCGGGTCTTCAATAAAAAAAGTTGGCGGTCAGCAAATATTTGCGCACCGAATGGACCAAGTAATTGGGCCGGAGGGCAATAAAAAATTTTTTTTTGGGGAAAAAAGTGGTCCGAGAGATTGTAAAAAAGGGAGATAATAGGGAAAAGGCAGTGAAGAGAATTCAAAATTGCCAAAAATCAAAAAAAAAAAATAAATAAAATAAAAAGGTCACAGAGATGATTTTCAAGCGCCAACTTTAGTACCCCTTGTTCTCACCAGAGATTGCCACGGTCAAAATTTCGGCTCCGGCTCCGGCTCTTAGCTCCGAGTGCCGGAGCCGAGGCCAAATTTGCAG